CAAGTGATTGATATTACGAGCATCGTCCCTGTCTTCGTGATATTATGATGCGCAAACAACCAAATCACCGACCCTGACTACCTGGTCCATTTCGTCTAATATAGAATCACCACAGCTTCCTATGTTTGTGCATACTGATACATGAATATATCCTCTAAACACTAAACTATGTCTATATTATTAACACTAAACACATACCTTAACACACCCGCCATCGTAACTTTAACATTTTGTGTGAACACATATTTCCTTAGATATATATCTCAGTTCCTACTTCGCAAATCAAAATGTCATGCACTGTAATGATGCCTTTCTCGTTTAGACTGGTTCTTAGCTGTATTTGCATTGCATCATCTTCATGGCTGCCACTTGTGTCACCACTTGTCCGCAATATATGATGCAGGGATTGGTTTTGAGACATGACTGTTTAAGATTCATGTCCATTATTCACAATCAATATAACACAACTTGTATTTTAATCCATCATACCGATTTAAAAAAACAAAACAAATGCATACATTAGGATCTTGTTGAGTAGCAATTCAAAGGACCAAGCATAAGTATCTATTTATCTGGAACTTATTTTTTTTGAGACATTTCAACCTTTTCATAAAAAAATAATATAATTGCAAAGATACACATAGACAAGATGAAATAATGAAAGCTTAATAACTGCACATTCAACCTAATTAACATGATAAACAAAGTATTCACTGCAAAACAGATATCATAGCACTAGTGTCAGGGACAGATTGTCACGTGTTCACCCATAATACACCCACCCATACACCCACTCATTCACTCACAATAGTCTTTGCTATACCAAGTCAAAATGACTTATAAGTTCTATGTTAAAAATATCACATATCGCACACATGTATTCTGCATATAGTTACAAAAATCATAAAATATGAAACATCATAGTTTTTGTGACAAACACTCTTTCATACGATTCAGACAAATTCGAATTTACTTTTAAAGAAATAGCATGTCAAAAAATCCCTGCCAAGTCCAATTAGTCTGTTTGTTTAATGGTGAACAGTGTATCCATGTTTCAGTATTGATGATTCATTTCAACATTTAATTCAATATACCGGTAGCGAATGACATCTTCGACGAAATCATGTGGGGGCCTATTATTTATTAGTGTGGTTGCTATTTTCCGGTACTCATCCGAGGAGATCGATATCACACTCAAACTTGACTACAGCATGTCAAAAATGCTTACCATAATCGGAATGCTATTTAAGATTGTCAATCATCATGTCTTGAGGGGTGGTCGGGTGGCCTAGTGGTTGAAGCGTTCGCTCGTCACGTCGAAGACCCGGGTTCAAGTCCCGACATGGGTACAACGTGTGAAGCCCATTTCTAGTGTCCCCCGCCGTGATATTGCTGGAACATTGCTAAAAGCGGCATAAAACCATACTCACTCACTCATGCCTAGAAATCTATTATTGGATAAGTTTTAGTGGACCTCTGACATTGAATGGTTTCAATAAGTTTGTAAAAAGAGCGAACTACAACTGCTCATTGAGTCGTTGCAAGATGTGACCCAGTTTCGTGTGTCACTCTGTCCTTGCAGTGTAGACGAATATATGGCTCCACTGAAAGAAGTTTGAATATCACTGTTATGTTGCTGACTAACCAACCCTCTCACCACCTTTTGTCTACAATACAGTTCCCTCTTGCAGGGTTTCAATAGGGAAAGGGGAGTCAGGGGAGAGACACTGTTTTGGGGGCGTTATGAAAAATGGAAAGTTCGTTTCATACCGGGGTACTTAAGATATTTAATTTAATGAAAATTCATTTATATTTTCCCCGGGCAAAAACCAGTACAGCTTTTCCTTTCGAGGACATTGAGGATGCAACCCTACATAGAAACTTGTTGCCTTTTATACCACTTGGCCACCCGTTCTTGCCCACAATAGCAAGGTTGATACCATACATTAATACTCCATCTAACATACATTAGCATCTGTCTTCTCAAATCAATCCCGACAGACATTCAGTGATAGAATTAGACGCCTAGCTATACTTGCTGCAACAGTGGACATACTTGAAGCCGGCAACCTTGGTGACTTGGTTGACAGGGGTTGACAGGATTGGGTGGTCAGGATCGCTGACTTGGTTGAAGCATGTCATCGATCCCAATTACATGGATCGATGCTCACGATATCAATCACTGGATTGTCTGGTCCAGACTCGATTATTTACAGACTGACGTCATATAGCTTGAATATTGCTGAGTGGGGCGTTAAACAACAAACCAACCAACCAATCCTATTCATCACTGGTTTGTCTGGTCGAGGATGCCACCAAGATACAGCTGCTGACTGTGGCGCAAAACAACACTCACTCACTCACTCACTTCCTCAAGTAGCATCTGATATGGAAAATAAATAGATGTACATAAATAAAAGGTCCAGACTCGAATATTTACAGACCACAGTCATATAGCTTGAATATTGCTGAGTGCATCATTTAGCAACAAACAAACATAAATAAATGAATAAATAAATAAATAAAGTATAATTCCAGGTGGAAGATAATAAAGATTTTAATAATCAAAGTACAAACAATATTGGTAAAAACAAACAATAGATTCTCCATTATATTCGAAGGATTGAAAAACATGTGAGTGTTTATATATCAAAACAAGTACAAAATAATATACATCAATTTGAATATTGAATTAACAAGGGCAAAACTTAACTTTGCATTTGTATAAAATCCTATATTGGTTAATATATATTAAAACTTATTAAAGAAAGGAACTTTTAAAATGTATTCCTACAATATTCAGGCAACTATTACTACACAAAAGTTCAAATAACAAATATTGCACGTTTACAAATTAATAAAAATACTTCTGTGAATAATAAATAACAGCACAAACGTTATCCGTGGCTAAATCAACATGACATTATGCACTAGACAACAAACATAACAAGGCGGTGAGGTGAGGTGAAATTGGGTTTAACGTCGCGTCCAAGATTATTGCACTTATATAGCGACGTGCATGCATGTGTGTGTGTGTGTGGCTGCTTGTACTAGTCCGGACTGATGCCGATTTATAGTGCTAGCTCACTGAGATACCATGCCGCAGTTTAACATGAATACCCCACTCAGACACAGTATACTGACTCCGAGCCGACCAGTCCATGTTTTAGCCCCTTAATGCCGAGCGCCAGACAGGGTAACAACAAGTACCATCTTTTAACGTCTTTTGGTATGACGCGGACGGGGATCGAACCCCGAACCTTCCGCTCTCCGGGCGGACGCTCTACCACAAGACCACGGAGGCGGCACATAACAAGGCAATATTCACATGATTTTTAAAAAGTATTGTCATGAGAATTGAGTTGATGTTTGGAATATCCTTCCCAACTAAGGCCTCTAACGTAGAAAAATAAGGTACATAAAATTGTCCAAAAAGCCTCAAAGCTGAAAGCCCTCCTTGTCTACTTAATATTTACCCCAGTGAAATTCTACCTTTAGAAACCTTAATTTTAAATTTTTTTTATCTAAATTCCTATAAACACTGATAAAAAAATATTCTTCTTAAGTATTAAACAATGAATAATTCTATTATTGAAAAGTGTGTATTGTTGCATTTTCTTGTGTATAAAACGTACCCGCCATTCTACCATGAATTTGGAAAATACTTGATTCTGATTGGTCAATCAGAGGCTATTAAATCACAATAAACCCCCTCTGATTGAAACAGCTGGTTTAACGGCCTCTTTACCTCGTCAGGATATGCATGTGCGCTTTGAGCTTGCCCATAAAGATGGGGGAGTTCATGAATTCTGTATCACTATCAGTGGGAACTTTTGATATAGGAAGTTTTGCTGAAGTCTACCGGTATCTCGATCCTGCAAATGCATGGAGTGACGAGGATTTTGACCTTATACTATCCAATATGGACAATTCTGGTGACTATGGTAACACAAACATCTTCAGAAATATGTTTTGAAAAAATCAGTTGAACAAACACAGAAACAACATTTGACGTCTGCTTCGCCTAAGCCATCATATTATTCTAACATGAATTTGGAAAATACTTGATTCTGATTGGTCAATTAATAAGGAATTAACCATACTGTGTTTTCAATGTAGAACGAGGTAACCCATAGCTTTAACCGCTCTAAATTGAATTTGGAACAGAATGTGCAATCTAGCGCAGTGACATCTACAGGTAACCTAGCTCTACGTTGAAAACACAGTAGGTTTATCTCCATTCTACCATGACTAAATAAAACGCGAACTCTTTGGTTCAAGCTACACGTTCGGTTTCAAACTCAATCAACGCGGTGATATCCATGGGTAACCTAGCTCTACATTGAAAACACAGTATGCTTATCTCCTAATTATAACCTCTCCTGGTAGCAACCACAAAGAGACTCAAAATGTCAATGTTTACTCAAGCCCTGTTGATCCGACACACATTAAGCTGACAATCAGTTTTATCCGACACTAATGATGCACTTGTAAATTATTAGAAAAAAGATTGTCGGACATGATTATTTTTCGATAAGTGGATCTGTAAGACAAGTAATTAAGTTGATCTGTCGCTACATAAAAAATGCATATACAAATATGACACATGTTCATTGGGGTGGTATGGGGTGCATGGCTTGTAAATGTGAAAGACAGAATGGTTTCAAATTGGGTTCAACGTTTCAAGCCAATTCTTGGTACGATACATGCGACGTTCCAACAGTGACTGTCATGGAAGAGAATTACATATGCATGTTGTACCAAACTAAAATATAGTATTCCTAAGAAATCATGGAAGTGTTTTGCTAATCCCAACACATCCATGCTGCAATCTCTTGCATTTATCACATTTAGCTCTTTGCTATCTTCAATAATGAGTTTACTTTTAACAAGGCCATGCTCCGATCTCTGGCATTCACCACAAAGTCTTTACTAGTGATGCTTCTAACACGGCCATGCTCCGATCTCTGGCATTAACCACAAAGTCTTTACTATTGATGCTTCTAACACAGCCATGCTCCGATCTCTGGCATTCACCACAAAGTCTTTACTAGTGATGCTTCTAACACGGCCATGCTCCGATCTCCCATCTCTGGCATTCACCACAAAGTCTTTACTAGTGATGCTTCTAACACGGCCATGCTCCGATCTCTGGCAATCACCACAAAGTCTTTACTAGTGATGCTTCTAACACAGCCATGCTCCGATCTCTGGCATTCACCACAAAGTCTTTACTAGTGATGCTTCTAACACGGCCAAGCTCCGATCTCTGGCATTCACCACAAAGTCTTTACTAGTGATGCTTCTAATATGCCCATGTTCCGATCTCTGGCAATCAGGACAAAGTTTCTACTAGGTGAGTTTGCTTCTGAGACGGCCATATGCAGATCTCCTTGCAGCCGTTTCTGCAAGAGGTGGCATACCCAGTTTTTTCCTCAGCACGTTGGGGATGTATGGGTTAGAGTTGCAGTGACTATGACGGTTTGGGATGTCCGACTCACGATAAATGTGAATCTGGATGTTGGAGCGAAGATCAACATCAATCTCACTCCAAGCCTGAAAGGTACATGAACAAGTTTCAAGGAGGATGTTAAGCTCAAGATGATGTTAAGCACAAGACGAAGTCACAACTTTATATTGACAGGGTAAGTGGGAAGGGAACTAGCATTACTTGACACTGTGTTCAGCAATATTCCAGTCCTGTCACATCCAGGGACACCAAGAAACATCCTCTTTTTAAGAAATAAATGACGAGTGGGATTTGTTTATCATACAATAAAACACTGCATGGAGAATAGACCATGAGGCTGTGCCCCTCATTGTTTATTTATCCTGCAGTGTTTTATTGTATGATAACAACGATCACGACTCGTTTACTTCTTATATTGGACATCAATATTATTTACAGTCTCTTTAATGAATATAAATCATATGTACAAGCTTTACAAGTATTTATAAAATGATGACTCCTTGAATAGAATCCGTTCTCAGCAATGGCGGACAAGTTCATTTTATGAACGTGGGCGGGAGAATTTGGTCTTTCCAGGCATATTCTCACAATTCTCACACCAGTTATCTGTAACTTTACTCCCAATACACATTGTCATATCTCTCCCATTTTTGAAAGCGATCATTAAGCCATTACGTTTATCTGCATTGCCACTCTACATCTATGGGGACCACTCACAAGACACTTCCTCTCAAAAATAAACGTCGTCCAATATACAACGTCATCAAGTTTCGACAGCATGTTCAAATCTCCAGAAATGACATCATGATAAAAACAATGTTTTATCGGGAAATAAACACTGCTTTGTTTTTTCAGTATTCTTGTGATTTATCACGTAACTATCTTGTATTAGCCAGTGTGAGAAAACAGTTGTTAGATTGTGCTGAGGTTAACTTATGCTATGTCACGTGACTTTCATAGGCTCAGAAAAAGCAAGCAGCTTTTTGCTTTGAAGCGGGTATAAGGGATTTATTCTGCCTCTGCCTTAGAAATCCATGTGCAGCCTGTCTTGTTCATGGGGGGGTATAAGGGATTTATTCTCACGCTAAGAAATGTATTCCCCTCCAAAGAGGGATACATAGTATTTTACCTTACTCAATTAACTGTGAGTTGCTTGCATAAATATACTGTACTGCAGTGGATGCTGCCCCAGAAAGGTTATGTCTCTCTTACTGCAACTGTACTGCAGTGGATGCTGCCCCAGAAAGGTTATGTCTTTCTTACTGCAACTGTACTGCAGTGGATGCTGCCCAAAAAGGTTATGTCTCTCTTACTGCAACTATACTGCAGTGGATGCTGCCCCAGAAAGGTTATGTCTCTCTTACTGCAACTGTACTGCAGTGGATGCTGCCCAAAAAGGTTATGTCTCTCTTACTGCAACTGTACTGCAGTGGATGCTGCCCCAGAAAGGTTATGTCTCTCTTACTGCAACTATACTGCAGTGGATGCTGCCCAAAAAGGTTATGTCTCTCTTATTGCAACTGTACTGCAGTGGATGCTGCCCCAGAAAGGTTATGTCTCTCTTATTGCAACTGTACTGCAGTGGATGCTGCCCCAGAAAGGTTATGTCTCTCTTACTGCAACTATACTGCAGTGGATGCTGCCCCAGAAAGGTTATGTCTCTCTTACTGCAACTGTACTGCAGTGGATGCTGCCCAAAAAGGTTATGTCTCTCTTACTGCAACTGTACTGCAGTGGATGCTGCCCCAGAAAGGTTATGTCTCTCTTACTGCAACTATACTGCAGTGGATGCTGCCCAAAAAGGTTATGTCTCTCTTATTGCAACTGTACTGCAGTGGATGCTGCCCCAGAAAGGTTATGTCTCTCTTATTGCAACTGTACTGCAGTGGATGCTGCCCCAGAAAGGTTATGTCTCTCTTACTGCAACTGTACTGCAGTGGATGCTGCCCAAAAAGGTTATGTCTCTCTTACTGCAACTGTACTGCAGTGGATGCTGCCCAAAAAGGTTATGTCTCTCTTACTGCAACTGTACTGCAGTGGATGCTGCCCCAGAAAGGTTATGTCTCTCTTACTGCAACTGTACTGCAGTGGATGCTGCCCCAGAAAGGTTATGTCTCTCTTATTGCAACTGTACTGCAGTGGATGCTGCCCCAGAAAGGTTATGTCTCTCTTACTGCAACTGTACTGCAGTGGATGCTGCCCAAAAAGGTTATGTCTCTCTTACTGCAACTGTACTGCAGTGGATGCTGCCCAAAAAGGTTATGTCTCTCTTACTGCAACTATACTGCAGTGGATGCTGCCCAAAAAGGTTATGTCTCTCTTACTGCAACTGTACTGCAGTGGATGCTGCCCCAGAAAGGTTATGTCTCTCTTACTGCAACTGTACTGCAGTGGATGCTGCCCAAAAAGGTTATGTCTCTCTTACTGCAACTATACTGCAGTGGATGCTGCCCCAGAAAGGTTATGTCTCTCTTACTGCAACTGTACTGCAGTGGATGCTGCCCAAAAAGGTTATGTCTCTCTTATTGCAAATGTACTGCAGTGGATGCTGCCCCAGAAAGGTTATGTCTCTCTTACTGCAACTGTACTGCAGTGGATGCTGCCCCAGAAAGGTTGTCTCTCTTACTGCAACTGTACTGCAGTGGATGCTGCCCCAGAAAGGTTATGTCTCTCTTACTGCAACTGTACTGCAGTGGATGCTGCCCCAGAAAGGTTATGTCTCTCTTACTGCAACTGTACTGCAGTGGATGCTGCCCCAGAAAGGTTATGTCTCTCTTACTGCAACTGTACTGCAGTGGATGCTGCCCCAGAAAGGTTATGTCTCTCTTACTGCAACTATACTGCAGTGGATGCTGCCCAAAAAGGTTATGTCTCTCTTATTGCAACTGTACTGCAGTGGATGCTGCCCCAGAAAGGTTATGTCTCTCTTATTGCAACTGTACTGCAGTGGATGCTGCCCCAGAAAGGTTATGTCTCTCTTACTGCAACTATACTGCAGTGGATGCTGCCCAAAAAGGTTATGTCTCTCTTACTGCAACTGTACTGCAGTGGATGCTGCCCCAGAAAGGTTATGTCTCTCTTACTGCAACTGTACTGCAGTGGATGCTGCCCCAGAAAGGTTATGTCTCTCTTACTGCAACTGTACTGCAGTGGATGCTGCCCAAAAAGGTTATGTCTCTCTTATTGCAACTGTACTGCAGTGGATGCTGCCCCAGAAAGGTTATGTCTCTCTTACTGCAACTGTACTGCAGTGGATGCTGCCCCAGAAAGGTTGTCTCTCTTACTGCAACTGTACTGCAGTGGATGCTGCCCCAGAAAGGTTATGTCTCTCTTACTGCAACTGTACTGCAGTGGATGCTGCCCCAGAAAGGTTATGTCTCTCTTACTGCAACTGTACTGCAGTGGATGCTGCCCCAGAAAGGTTATGTCTCTCTTACTGCAACTGTACTGCAGTGGATGCTGCCCCAGAAAGGTTATGTCTCTCTTACTGCAACTATACTGCAGTCGATGCTGCCCAAAAAGGTTATGTCTCTCTTATTGCAACTGTACTGCAGTGGATGCTGCCCCAGAAAGGTTATGTCTCTCTTACTGCAACTGTACTGCAGTGGATGCTGCCCCAGAAAGGTTATGTCTCTCTTACTGCAACTATACTGCAGTGGATGCTGCCCAAAAAGGTTATGTCTCTCTTACTGCAACTGTACTGCAGTGGATGCTGCCCCAGAAAGGTTATGTCTCTCTTACTGCAACTGTACTGCAGTGGATGCTGCCCCAGAAAGGTTATGTCTCTCTTACTGCAACTGTACTGCAGTGGATGCTGCCCCAGAAAGGTTATGTCTCTCTTACTGCAACTGTACTGCAGTGGATGCTGCCCCAGAAAGGTTATGTCTCTCTTACTGCAACTGTACTGCAGTGGATGCTGCCCCAGAAAGGTTATGTCTCTCTTACTGCAACTATACTGCAGTGGATGCTGCCCAAAAAGGTTATGTCTCTCTTATTGCAACTGTACTGCAGTGGATGCTGCCCCAGAAAGGTTATGTCTCTCTTACTGCAACTGTACTGCAGTGGATGCTGCCCCAGAAAGGTTATGTCTCTCTTACTGCAACTATACTGCAGTGGATGCTGCCCAAAAAGGTTATGTCTCTCTTACTGCAACTGTACTGCAGTGGATGCTGCCCCAGAAAGGTTATGTCTCTCTTACTGCAACTGTACTGCAGTGGATGCTGCCCAAAAAGGTTATGTCTCTCTTACTGCAACTATACTGCAGTGGATGCTGCCCCAGAAAGGTTATGTCTCTCTTACTGCAACTGTACTGCAGTGGATGCTGCCCAAAAAGGTTATGTCTCTCTTATTGCAACTGTACTGCAGTGGATGCTGCCCCAGAAAGGTTATGTCTCTCTTACTGCAACTGTACTGCAGTGGATGCTGCCCCAGAAAGGTTGTCTCTCTTACTGCAACTGTACTGCAGTGGATGCTGCCCCAGAAAGGTTATGTCTCTCTTACTGCAACTGTACTGCAGTGGATGCTGCCCCAGAAAGGTTATGTCTCTCTTACTGCAACTGTACTGCAGTGGATGCTGCCCCAGAAAGGTTATGTCTCTCTTACTGCAACTGTACTGCAGTGGATGCTGCCCCAGAAAGGTTATGTCTCTCTTACTGCAACTATACTGCAGTGGATGCTGCCCAAAAAGGTTATGTCTCTCTTATTGCAACTGTACTGCAGTGGATGCTGCCCCAGAAAGGTTATGTCTCTCTTACTGCAACTGTACTGCAGTGGATGCTGCCCCAGAAAGGTTATGTCTCTCTTACTGCAACTATACTGCAGTGGATGCTGCCCAAAAAGGTTATGTCTCTCTTACTGCAACTGTACTGCAGTGGATGCTGCCCCAGAAAGGTTATGTCTCTCTTACTGCAACTGTACTGCAGTGGATGCTGCCCCAGAAAGGTTATGTCTCTCTTACTGCAACTGTACTGCAGTGGATGCTGCCCAAAAAGGTTATGTCTCTCTTATTGCAACTGTACTGCAGTGGATGCTGCCCCAGAAAGGTTATGTCTCTCTTACTGCAACTGTACTGCAGTGGATGCTGCCCCAGAAAGGTTGTCTCTCTTACTGCAACTGTACTGCAGTGGATGCTGCCCCAGAAAGGTTATGTCTCTCTTACTGCAACTGTACTGCAGTGGATGCTGCCCCAGAAAGGTTATGTCTCTCTTACTGCAACTGTACTGCAGTGGATGCTGCCCCAGAAAGGTTATGTCTCTCTTACTGCAACTGTACTGCAGTGGATGCTGCCCCAGAAAGGTTATGTCTCTCTTACTGCAACTATACTGCAGTGGATGCTGCCCAAAAAGGTTATGTCTCTCTTATTGCAACTGTACTGCAGTGGATGCTGCCCCAGAAAGGTTATGTCTCTCTTACTGCAACTGTACTGCAGTGGATGCTGCCCCAGAAAGGTTATGTCTCTCTTACTGCAACTATACTGCAGTGGATGCTGCCCAAAAAGGTTATGTCTCTCTTACTGCAACTGTACTGCAGTGGATGCTGCCCCAGAAAGGTTATGTCTCTCTTACTGCAACTGTACTGCAGTGGATGCTGCCCCAGAAAGGTTATGTCTCTCTTACTGCAACTGTACTGCAGTGGATGCTGCCCCAGAAAGGTTATGTCTCTCTTACTGCAACTGTACTGCAGTGGATGCTGCCCCAGAAAGGTTACGTCTCTCTTACTGCAACTGTACTGCAGTGGATGCTGCCCCAGAAAGGTTATGTCTCTCTTACTGCAACTATACTGCAGTGGATGCTGCCCAAAAAGGTTATGTCTCTCTTATTGCAACTGTACTGCAGTGGATGCTGCCCCAGAAAGGTTATGTCTCTCTTACTGCAACTGTACTGCAGTGGATGCTGCCCCAGAAAGGTTATGTCTCTCTTACTGCAACTGTACTGCAGTGGATGCTGCCCCAGAAAGGTTATGTCTCTCTTACTGCAACTGTACTGCAGTGGATGCTGCCCCAGAAAGGTTATGTCTCTCTTACTGCAACTATACTGCAGTGGATGCTGCCCAAAAAGGTTATGTCTCTCTTATTGCAACTGTACTGCAGTGGATGCTGCCCCAGAAAGGTTATGTCTCTCTTACTGCAACTGTACTGCAGTGGATGCTGCCCAAAAAGGTTATGTCTGTTACTGCAACTGACCCATGTATCACTGTTGTCAGCTTATGTGACATCGGACACATCTGAGGCAGCACGTGAACAGAAGAACATTAGACGTGACCTGAGACAGCATCTAGGCAGGGTTATCTACAACATGTCTTCTTATTGGTTTAAAATACAACATGTCTTCTTATTGGTTTAAAAATACCCAAATATTTTGAATACCCAAAGAAAACTACCAATACCCAATGTGAATGATGACTTCTGAGTTAATACTCACTGGCTTAAGGAATTGATCTGGAGCCCTGGGCCCACTTGCACTTAGCGATCTTAGCACTAAGACTATTGTAAGCCTATGTTAAAGTATGGGCATTATGATCACCTTTGCACTAAGATCGCTTTGTGCAAGTGGGCCCTGGTGTATAGGAGGCTAACAAGCAAGATAGCAGATTTTCACGGCTCCACGGCCTCTTGCTTTCAGCTTCAGACTTGTGACATACCTCAGTGCCAACCACTTGCTCAAACTTCTTGGTGAGTTTCTTTTCAGGCAGCCAGCAGTTTCCGTTAGCATAGACCATGTAGTCCTGCCACTTCCCGTTGAGAATTACACGCAGCTTGTCTGCCAGGTGCGGGATTGAGGCTGCACTGTCACATGACACGATGCTGTCCACAAGGAGGCTGATCCCCTCATCACGATCCTTGTAGGTGCTGATGAGGTATCCTGTAAATAGCAGGTGGAACTGACTTTCAGAGTTTATGTCATGGCTTAAACATGGCTCCCAGGGCCAAGCTCAAGCTAGGTGAGGTGAGGCCAGGCGAGGCAAGGCAAGGCAAGGAGAGGTGACGTGATATTGTGTTTAACGTCAAGATTATCTCACTTTTATGGTGACATATAGCCCCTTAATGCTGAGCACCAGACAGGGTAACCGCAAGGACCATCTATTAAGGTCTTTTGGTATGATACGCCCGAAAATGAAAAACTCAAAGTTATAAAAACAGCACGCGTAAATACCCACTGAAGCTTTTTCAGCATGCATACAAAGGAGCTAATTGCCTAAACACAATTACGAGATAATTTACTTTCCGAGTCAAGCCTATATATTTAGACCAGTTATATACACCTAAAACATTATTTCATTTTCTTGAAATCTTAAAATGTTAACTCTTTTGGGGAGTGTAAAAATATTAGTTACCCAATGAAAAATATAATAACCCAATTAAAATAGAAACCCTAGAGTAAAATCTCAATTGCTCAAAAAGTTATCTGAAGCTCTGAGTGTGTAGTAGTGTGGTTTTACGCCACTTTCAGCAATATTACAGCAATATCATGGCGGGGGACACCAGAAATGGGCTTCACACATTGTACCCATGTCAGGAATCGAACTCAGGTCTTCGGCATGACGAGCTTGGAGCTCTGGGTTTAGATCTAGTTGTGAAAAGTTAATTCAGGTATGACAGGTTACTAAATTGGAGGTACATGGTTTGGAAGGGCCCACAGAGAATATACAGGTTATAGTAATGTTATAAAGATGTTATTATCATGTTATTTCATCGAATACCAGGTTATTGTAAGTTTGTAGAATTCATGAAATACCAATCATAGTTGAAACCCTAATATGCCAGAACTTGGATCAGACACAGAATTACAAGTTACTAGAGCTCTCGCCCCCTGGGAATTTCAGGGAAGAAGTGGTCCCCAGCAACCTGTGATTATTGTACAAGACAATCGGGTTGTCATTAGGCTGAATGTGCCCTAATACAATGGGTCGTTGTTCAGGCTATCAACCACTAGTCCGTCTGGCCCAGACTCGATAACATTCAGCCTTACTGTAACATAGCCGGACTACTGCTGACTGCGATTACTCAACACAAAAATCGAGTAAAGTGGCCCCTGCTTGATGGAGGGCTGGATTCAGGGCCTTTATTTTCGGACTCACCAACAAAGGCCCACACTGTCTGTGCATGTAGCATGCTGTAGTTGGCTCTCTCCCACAGTACTTTGTTTCTCAGACTCGATAGGGCGCCCTTTCGACGCAGTTCTAGCAGGGCGTGGAAGTCACAGATAGTAACATCAGCATTGCCTGAAAACGGAATTCAGTGCCTATGAAACTCTATGTACTCATCAATCAGAAGGGGTGCTAACTGGGATTGTTCACAAGGCAATATATTTACGAACCGGTTTTCGATTTCGTTGCGCGATTTTGATTGGACTATGTATAGACTCGTTAGTCCAGTCAAAATGTAACTCCATAATACCAGCGTAGTTCGGCAATGGTGGGAACTGGACTTTTATAGTCAGTTAACTCTCTTGCCTCGGGAAGATGGCCTAGTTCGGCAAGGGTGGAAACTGGACTTTTATGGTCAGTTAACTCCCTTACCTCAGGAAGATGGCCTATTTCGGCAAGGGTGGAAACTGGACTTGTATAGTCAGTTAACTCCCTTTCCTCAGGAAGATGGGGTCCTTATAGCCTGCAGTAAATTTATACATGTGTCGATTTATTTGTCACAATAAGCTGCAGTACTTTAAGAGCCTGGAGAGCTTCATCAGCGCATGCAGTTTCTTAAGTTTGTGGGTCCTGATTGCACGGCTGAAACAAGGGTCAGAATACTGTGCCTGATTTTGTTATTCATGTGAAACTGCGGCATGGTATCTCAGTGGGCTAGCACTAAAAATCTGGCAATAGTCTGAACTAGTAACTACACACAAATGCACACACACATGAATGCCTGTGCCATAATTTTTAACACAATTAAACGTCACCAATGTATTCATAGTTGATGACATCCGTAAAGATCAGTGTCAGAATAGGACTACAGCAACCATGCTTGCCGTAAAAGGAAACAATGTTTCTAAGGCAACTAACGGGATCGGGTGGTCAGGCTCTCTGACTTGGTTGATGCATGTCATCGATCCCAATTCAATGGATCGATGCTCATGATGTCAATCGCTGGGTTGTCTGGTCCAGACCGATAATTTACAGACCACCGTCATATAGCTGGAATATTGCTGAGTGCGGCGTTAAACAACAAACAAACAAAGAAATAAAAAACAAACACAGGTGATGAAGGACCGTAGTGTATACAATCTCGTGAAGTAGTGATGATGATTCTCACCTGTACAACCGAGGTCCTTGAGTTGTCCCTCTTTGGCTCCAGCCCTGGCACGGCTGTTAGTGTGGAAGGCCACAGCTTGGCACAGCATTGCTCGAATCATGTTCACCTGATTAATGTCCGTATTCACACAGTGGAGGATCATGGGAAGATTGACACGTCGTTGGATTGCACGCTTCCGTCTTGCTGGGGCGTGTTCATCCTCGGAATCATCACTAACATAGTTAACCCCATCACTGTCATTTCCTGCTGCATTACCATCAGCATCCTTGACGTCATCAACACCAGTTACCTCCCCTGTCGACACGTCTGCTTCAGGTATTGTGGTGGAAGCAGCTGCCATGAGTTCCTCATCTGTTGCCATGACAACAAGAGTATTTGGATCCGATGTTTCAGTCTGCTTTACTTCAGCCTCACATGTCTGAAGAAATCCTGAAAATATATTTAAAAAAAAAAATTAATTAGAGTTTCAATTATATCCCCCACATAATATGCTGGGGGATAGAAATCAAATATAAATGGGGTATGAATATTGTCAAGCCTAATTACCTAAATTTGAGATAGAGAAAAAAGATACTTGTAAGGATAGACACACATACAAAGGGTAAATCCCATTTAACAACATCAAGGCGCCTGGAACAATGGTCTCCTTTTACTTCATGGAGTTCCCGACCACCACCGTAGTCTAGTGGTAGAGCGTCCGCCCGGGGAGTGGAGGGTCCGGAGTTCCATCCCCGACCGCATCATACCAAAAGACATTAAAAGATGGTACTTGTTGTTACCCTGTCTGGCGCTCGGCATTAAGGGACTAAAACAAGGACTGGTTGGCTCAGAGTCAGTATACTGTGTCTGAGTGGGGTATTCATGTTGAACTGCGGCATAGTATCTGTGGGCTACCACTATAAATCGGCATCAGTCCGGTCTAGTACAAGCAGACACACACACACATGTGCATGCATGTCGCCATATAAGCGCAATAATCTTGGACGCGACGTTAAACCCCATTTCACCTCACCTCACCTCATGGAGTTCCCCAGTGTACAATATTCCCCTGAAACATTTTGTAATTCAAACAATACCGGATTTACTTCTGGTATAATGGAAATTTGCTTACACTAGGTTTTTAAGAACTGAGAAATATGGGCCGGTCAAAACAATTATGTCAGTGGACAAATAAATTGTTTTCACACAAAGAACTGTTGTATATGGAAGCCTTTAGGGGCCATTTGGTTTTTTTCTTCAAATTTCAAGAGCCTAATTTTAAAATTTTAACTTGAAATTTCAACTTAGTCTCTTAAAATTTCAAGATGCAATGTTGAAATTTCAAGAGGCTAAGTTGAAAATTTCATGATACATACTTAGTTGATAATACATTGAAATATTAAGATTTTAACTTGAAATTTCAACGTACGTATCATGAAATTTCAACTTAGTATCTAGAAATTTCAAGAAAAATATACAAAAACAAGTGGTCCTAAAAGTCTTCCTTAGTTATATTACTGATCCCTTATTTCTACTCACCATTCATCTTGGCATACAACTCTGAAACAGCAACCTTCACCCCGCCGACCCAGATATATGGGGCCAAGCCACCGTTTTTGTCCATCTGTACATAGTCCCGCTCTTGTCCTAGCCAGTGATGAAGAAAAGCAAGGAACCCTGGGATGGAATTCAGATTGGGGAAGCTGTTTCTCGTGAGTCTCTCAAGGAGCTATAAAAAAACATACAGTCATGTTTAGTAAATGATTGAATCGTGTTTTGTGTCACTGTGAACCATAGGAACAGTATTTCAGTTTTACAATGGCATGAAGCCTTACTGTGAACGGACAGCCGAAAGTGTTTGTTTGTTTCTTGTTTAACACCTCAACATTACATCTATATGATGGCGCTCTGTAAATAATCGAGTCTAGACCAGACAATCCAGTAATTGACATCATGAGCATCGATCCACGCAACTGTGATACGATAACATGCATCAACCAAGTCAGCGAGACTGACCACCCGATCCTGTTAGTCGCTTCTTACGACAAGCATAGTCACCTTTTACGGAAAGCATGGGTTGCTGAAGACCTATTCTACCCCGGATCTTCATGGGTCCAGCCAAAAGTGACACAGGTCTTAGACGTTCACCACTTTGTGGACGTGAAATTCATGAGCACAGGCACAGACAAACCAAAAGTCATCATGGGGGCAATTCTGGGATTTAAACCACATCTACAGGATTTGGGTACAACTGAGACATGGATATCTGCACATTGAATTGCTGGCTGTAACAGTATGGGTCATCTGTCTCCCAAGTCATTTTTAGATCAACATTGATCTAAATTTTGCACACATAATAAGTCAAGTTTTAACACAATAAGGCAAGAAGTGGTTAAAGTCATCGATATTCCCGGCAATGATAAATAATAGTCGTGACTATGTCAACTAATTTATATGTATATATATATTGCCATGGAAACTCGAAAAATCTCAAACTATCAAAAGGCACCAGTTCAACACCAGACCTATCAATGTGCCAACTTTGGTGGAGAAATATTGTATGGTTTTCAAGATCTGCTCCGGAAACAAGCACTACTGCCATTTCCAGCTTAAGTCAAAGTTGTTGCCTTGGAAACAATATTTGTTAAAAAAGACTGAAACTATCAAAAGGCAACAGTTGTCCACTCGATCTATCTATGTGCCAAGTTTGGTGAAGAGTTAATTAACAGTTTTCAAGATCTGCTCCGATACGATCACTACTGCAATTTCCAGCCTAAGTCAAAGTCGTTCCCATCAAAGCTCGAACAAAGAATATTTTTTTTAAATCCCAAACTATCAAAAGGCACCAGTTCACCACTAGACCTATCAATCTGGTTACTTTGGTGGAGAAATATTGTACAGTTATTAAGATCTGATCTGGAAACAACATCTTGCACAAACGTAAGAATGATGTTTATTTTATTACAAAAACCAAATCACGCATTGCAGGGGATAATGATGATTACTCGATGAGATTTCATCCCTACGCTTTCCTAAAGTTTTTACGTTTACAGATCTACCAATCATGACTAAAAAGCAAAAGATGATCAGAAATCTATGTACCGGGTAGTGTTATCTAACTGTTCTACTTCAACATAAGCAAGACGCTCTACAAGAGAGGTAGGGGAGGTAGGTCTTGTTACATCATTGGAAGAGAGTTCAAGGGAGATAACTTTTGTTAGACCACAAGTCATCCTACGTTGGCACAAGAGATGATACTCAGAAAGCTATGTTGTACCTTGGCTGTAACCTCCAGTATTGTCGAGTCTACGTTATCTACATCAAAACCATCTTCTTCGGCTGCCTCAGTAGCGCCCTCTACATCTGTTGGTGTCGGCCCTGAGTCTGCGTCCACCCCAGCCTGCCTTTTCCCCTCCTTCAACCATCTCTTCACCTCCTTGTCTGCCGTCAACACCTGCTCCTCTCTGCTCTTGTTCTGGGAGGGAGAAAAGTATGACTCAATTCCACGAAGGATCCATGACTGGTTTCATGTTAAGTGACTCACTTACAAGACTCATTCACTGACACGACTAACTCACCTACAACACGACCTCTTCACCGAAACCAAGAATCACTCACCGAAATCAAAAGTCACTTTCCGAATACATTACCAATTCATTGACAACACGACCCATTCATAAACACGACCAATTCATCGACAAGAAGACTCACTCACCAACAACATGACTCGCTCACAACAACATGACTCGCTCACAACAACATGACTCGCTCACCAACAACGCGACTCACTCACCAACAACATGACTCGCTCACAACAACATGACTCGCTCACAACAACATGACTCGCTCACAACAACATGACTCCTTCACCAACAACATGACTCCTTCACCAACAACATGACTCCTTCACCAACAACATGACTCGCTCACAACAACATGACTCCTTCACCAACAACATGACTCGCTCACAACAACATGACTCGCTCACAACAACATGACTCGCTCACAACAACATGACTCCTTCACCAACAACATGACTCCTTCACCAACAACATGACTCGCTCACAACAACAAGACTCACTCACCACCAACATGACAACACAACTCACTCACAACAACAAGACTCACTCACCAACAACACGACTCACTCACCAACAACATGACAACACAACTCACTCACAACAAGACTCACTCACCACCAACATGACAACACAACTCACTCACAACAACAAGACTCACTCACCAACAACAGAACAACAAGACTCACTCACCAACAACATGACAACACAACTCACTCACAACAACATGACTCGCTTACCAACAACAGAACAACAAGACTCACTCACCACCAACATGACAACACAACTCACTCACAACAACACAACTCACTCACAACAACATGACTCGCTTACCAACAACAGAACAACAAGACTCACTCACCAACAACATGACAACACGACTCGCTTACCAACAACAGGACAACATGACTCGCTCATCAACAAGACTCACTCACCAACAACATGACAACACGACTCGCTTACCAACAACAGGACAACATGACTCGCTCATCAACAAGACTCACTCACCAACAACATGACAACACGACTCGCTTACCAACAACAGGACAACATGACTCGCTCATCAACAAGACTCACTCACCAACAACATGACAACACGACTCGCTTACCAACAACAGGACAACATGACTCGCTCATCAACAAGACTCACTCACCAACAACATGACAACACGACTCGCTTACCAACAACAGGACAACATGACTCGCTCATCAACAAGACTCGCTCACCAACAACATGACAACACGACTCGCTTACCAACAACAGGACAACATGACTCGCTCATCAACAAGACTCGCTCACCAACAACGTGACTTACTCACAAACGTGACTTACTCACCAACAACATGACAACACGACTTACTCACCAACAACAGGACAACACGACTCACTCACCAACAACATGACAACACGACTCGCTTACCAACAACAGGACAACATGACTCGCTCATCAACAAGACTCACTCACCAACAACATGACAACAAGACTCGCTCACCAACAACGTGACTTATTCACCAACAACGTGACTTACTCACCAACAACGTGACAACATGACTCGCTTACCAACAACAGGACAACACGACTCACTCACCAACAACATGACAACATGACTCGCTAACCAACAACGTGACTTACTCACCACCAACAAGAATCACTCAACAACAAGACTCGCTCATCAACAAGACTCACTCACCAACAACATGATAACACAACTCACTCAACCAGAACACGACTCGCTCACTAACAACACGACTCACTCACAAGGCTCTGGGCAGTGCTTACCGAGATGGCTCCACACTTTGCCTGGCCCCAGACATCCATGACTTTGTCCACTGCCACCGAGTGTTTCAGTTCTACAGCAGGTCGCTCCAGTCCCACTGTGGGGTCAAACTCCGTCATCTTCAGCTTAATGTTACCAGTGTCCTCATCTTGGAGGCACCTGCACTGCGTCACCAGTCGGGCTTGAGTTGTCTCCCTTGCATTATCATCCACTGCAGACGTGGTTGCTGGAAAGCAGACGGTCAATTATTAACAATTATTTTTTGTGTGTGTTCAAAGTAAATCCTGCAAAGTGGTTGACTGAATGTAAAAAATAACCAACACACACAGACAGACTACTTTCACCAGCATGGTATGTTGAGGAATCCCAGTCTAAGATGAGGAAAGGCCCTTGCCGGCCCACCATCTCCTCATGAGGAATTAGCGAACTTCAAAATAGAAAAATAACGAAAGTGGTCTAAGCAGCGATGAAGCGCCATGCAACAACCCCTTGATCAAAGTGACCAAAATGCATCATCACTTTTTTCTCATTGCAACAAAAATGCAGTTAGGTCCCCTGTGTCCATTTGGCCAACCAGAACAGCCAGAGACACTCTACACTTGGGCTGGGACAAGTCCATATTTATAACCCCGGGTACTCTACCCCCTATGATCTGACCCTACCCAGTGTAGGTCTCAAGAGTTGGGACATAATGTCCGATTTGGAATTATTATTTCTGGAGCCCTGGCAAATGCTATTAACATGTATACAACCTACGGATCAGGCTTAAAAAAATAAAAGAATTGGTTCTCGGACAATGGTTTTGGAAAATATAGTGCGGGCGAGCGGTGTCCTTTTTTCTTCTTTTTGGGGGGGGGTTGTTCAAACTAGTACGTAACCAAATAAACAGTTGTGTAACCAGATAAACAATTGTGTACTATCAATCTGGGAAAGGGCCTCCTACATAAATGTATTCCTTGATGAGTAAAATAGTGGAATACAGTATTTGAGTACCGTTAGACTTGGAATATTTAAGGATTTTTTACAAATCAAAAATGGAAATAAATACGAAACGTGCATCAAGCTTTATGATGATGCGGGCGGTGCCTGAGAACCAAGACTATTAGGTTTTTTTTGCCTCATGCATACATTGAAGTCGACTTAATCAGATCTTTACTCAAACGTATTAAAGTAAGAAACAATGCTTGCAGAGTCAGGAAGAAAGGCAAACATGAGCGACTTTTATTGATATTGTATTAAACAATGTATCACGTGACCTACTCAGGACCCACGAGACCCGAGTACCCAGGTTACCTGTCCCAGCCCTACTCTGCCACACAATCTCAGCTCCACAATGTTCTGTCTTCAGATCTCACACTCACACTGTGCAAATTGTGTCTTCCAGCTACCAGGAGACTGCTATCATGTTTGAAACTGGCAGTTACTGACTATACCAGCTTGTCACCTACGTCCTGGCCAAGTGTTGTTCTGACGTGATAAAAGTTGCAGTTCACATTGTAGTTACAGGACCTTTCAACACACCTCTTGAGTGAGTGAGTGAGTGAGTGTGGGTTTACGCCGCTTTTAGCAATATTCCAGAAGGTAGAGCATCCTTCATATTTTATTACCGTATTCGACGTAATAAGCGCCCTACTCTAATATTTGCTAATATATTGGCTAGTGATCAATGTACACAAGATATATTTATTCGTGTATAATACGCATTCGTGTGTTATATGCGCCCTTAATTATCGGCAATTAAATTCTGGAAAATATATCTGTCGTGTATGACACGCAGACTTTTCTTTTGTATCCTTTCAGGCTGACAGCATAAACTACAAAATTTACAATCTTTCATCTCTGTTTTTTTCTCTCACCAAAATTATATTCTAATAACAGCCCCCTATTTCTAATTTTGAGAGCGCCCAAAGACTAAGGGATATGTCATAGGGCTGGTACTCGGGTCGGGTGGGTAGTGAGTAGGACCCGTGGTTAGTCATGTGATACATTGTTTAATGACAAATACATGTTGCCAGGGCGAAGGTCAAACTATTCCCAATTGGATATTTTCTACCCGTCTCTTGAGACCTGGTGCAGATACCCAGGTAGGGTCGGGTAATAGGGGGCCAGGTACCTGGGTTGTAACTTTGGAACCGTCACAGCCCTAATATGTAAATACAGAAATGGAACTCGGTACTATTATTTTCATCAAAATGTAAACATTTTGCAATTTTTAAAACTCAATTTCAAACAGAAGAACTTTTGCAAAAGTTTAGAATACCTTTTTCTCAAATAGATGCTCATCGCTTATTCTTAACATTGAACGGGGAAGATATTAAAAGAACATAGAATTTGTTAATTATGCAAAAAAACAAGAAGTAGGAAATGAATACCAGCCACCAAATGTGTTCAGTTTATTTTACTAATGTCTTCCAAAAATATCAACTTGTTAAAAAGTGTGACATCATAATTTATCATCCAAATCTGGCTCCCACAGGAGATATCGCTTGGGTGAGATCAAACGATATCTACATGGTTACCATGACGTCACAATCAAATGACATCACTAATGGCTCTGCCGCTGAAGCTGTTAGCAGTACTTTATACACTCAAGGTCGCTAGATGGCTGAAAAAATGCCGATGCGACGTTAATTTTAACTCACTCACTTTCACACTCAAGACACTGATTATTACTGTCTATAAACTGCAAAAGTTGGAAGAATGATGTTGGAGGATGAATAAAATCTCACCCTCGTGTCTTTTGATATCATATACATCAACACTTGTTGATAAAAGTGGAAAAACTCCTTGACAAGCCTCAGAGTTTTCCCACTTTTATCAACTCGTTTTGATATATTTGTTATCATAAGACACTCGGGTGAGATTCTCTATTTATTCCACACAATGAATTATAGAAAATGTATTTTGAAGGAGGAATTAATAACATATATATTACACTAGGCCTGTGGTCGTTCAGTATGTGTGTAAAATAAAGATTGATTGATACCTCTGGGGTTGACTAGATGGTCAATGACCCCATCCAGCTTGGCGTCGCTGATGTCATGGAAGAGTGACCCGCCAGCTCTACGAAGACACTCTGTGATAAATGCAAACCAGAAGCTGCAGGCTTTTTCTGGCATTTCATCGTCTTTGGCTGAAACAGACACACAAATATGTAATAATATTTCTTTTTGACAAAACTTTTATCAAACTGTCTTCTTAAATACTGGTTTTACACATTCACTGTGTAAAGCATCTATTATTATTATTATTATTATTATTATTATTATTATTATTATTATTGATTAAAATAAAATATGCAGCAAAGAGGGTTTGGGTGATCCTGGCACAGTCAGGCTGGTTGGGCTCTTCATCAGCTCAGGGCCCTTGCCCCCTCTACATGCAGCCCAGACAGCGAATGGGACTTCTCCAGGGAAGCGCTGCCTAGTCAAACCCACCCAGAGCTTTTCGGAGAATGTGAAGACTCCCCAACACTGCAGCCTTCTGCATTACCCAGATTGTCAGAAAGGCTGTATTCCTGCTAGGAAACCCGGGCATGCTCCAAATGTCAGTCAACAGATTGGGAGGTACCAAACCTAAGGCACGAGAACAATGGGAAGTATTGGGGTTAACCTACCTTGGTCGTAGCCAAAGAGAGGTCTGCTGACACTTGTTGGCATGGCAACCAGATAGCCAATCAGGGTACAGAGATTAGGGATGACGTCTTTTGTTCGTCCCTCTGGACTGGTGATAAAGTTCTTCACAGTGGTAGTGATCTGAGGCAGCAAGTCGAAGTCCACAACCGTTGCTGAAACGATTACAGGAGAGAGGTGAATACAATATCCCACACATCTATACAAGAAATCGAATAATTCACTTTCCTCCATATCATTCACAGACTGATGGGCAGTCTGGTAGTGAAAGCATTTGTAGTCACACCAAAACAGGAATTTATCTAGACCTGCTCAGAGACTGAAATTCAGATCAAATGTCCATTAAAATTCCCAAATTGGAATTACAAATTTTCAGTTCATGTTACAGTAAACTATGTTTATAACGAACACGCTTATAACGAACTGACCGATATAACGAACCCAACTTTTTAGTCCCGGCCATTTTTTGTATATATGCTGTATATATGCTTATAACGAACTACCGATATTACAATCTAAAATTAATGGTCCCTTTGAGTTCGTTATGACCAAAGTTAACTGTTACATGAACTGGGAAATTTCATGACGGTAATAATTAGTAATAACTAATGTCATAGTTTTGACAAGGGGACTGATCAATTTTAGCAAAATAAAGATTGTTTTCCACAAATTGCCTAGGACAACTAGTTTGGAATCCTGAATCTGCTGAAAGGCCCTGGTTTAATTCCGTCATGGGACAAGGTGTGAAACATGTTTACTGTGTCACCGACCATCTGGAATACTACAATAAGCAGTGTAAAACCAAACACACATTCACATCATTCCCCCTCAAACCACGGACAAAGAGTAAACCAGTAAACGTGTCTATATTTTACAGTCAATGTGTAAAATCGGTCAATGTGTAAAATGACTGAATTTTTCACTTAGACAATTTACAAAATGCCATTGACTAAAACATATTAAGAAGTTCAAAAGGGCTTAAAAGCATCACAATAGACAATTTTTTCTAGCATTAAAAGTCCAAAAAATAATTATGTATACATTGAGTTTCATTTTCTTTAAGGACGGTCAGGTAGCCTAGTGGTTAAAGAGTTCGCTCGTCACGCCGAAGACCCGGGTTCGATTCCGACATGGGTACAATGTATGAAGCCCATTTCTGGTGTCCCCCGCTTTGTTACTGCTGGAATATTGCTAAAAGCGATGTAAAACCATACACACTCACTCGTTTCCTTTAAATGCTATCATTTCCATCACTGGGTGATGAAACAGAGCATAAAAATGTTTGGAATTTGTTATCATATTATCAATGGAAAAATAATTGTAAAAAGTCATATTATTGGACTATATTGCCTGTCATCGTATCCGACATCGTCGGACGTTGCTCCTACTGTCAACTACAAGTTTGTCTGACCAGAACTGAGTCATGTAAAGGCCAAACAAATCTATCCAACAAACAAATCTATCAGACAAAAAATTCTATCCAACTCACCTGCACACGTTCTCTGCATGGCAAACAGCATGCGTAGTTGATGCTGGCCGGCATTGGTGTCACTGAGTTGACCAATCATACTGCCCAGGACCATGAACAGGATGTCCATCTGCTTGAAGTCATAGCCCAGTGGGTCAAGGGTGCAGAAGTAGCCCAGCGTTGGTTTCAGCATCACCTGGTAAAAGTTACATCAACATGGTCACCATCAACCTCATCTCCACTCATTCTTGGTGGCCAAATTGTCTAAAACGCCACAAATCTCTCCGGAGAGTTGCTTCCATTAGGCATACCAGAGGTCTTCAGCAACCCAAGCTTGCCATAAAAGGCGACTATGCTTGTCGCAAGAGGTGACTAACAGGATCGCTTGGTCAGGTTCACTGACATGGTTGATGCATGTTATGGATCCAAATTGCGTGGATCGATGCTCATGATCACTGGATTGTCTGGTCCAAACCAACAAAAAACAACCAGAAACCATGATCATGTGTTCGAATCCCAGTTCACCCTGATGATGTTTCTAGGTTTGTTTCACCAAAGAGGTAAACATCTAAGACTTGCATCACTTGGGGCTTAAACTGACACGCTGTGATATAACTACTGTAAATCATGAAATTAATTCATCTCCAATAGAATGCGACCGCTTGCCCCTAGCCAAAAATGCGACTCAATATGAATGCGACACCCCCTCCTCTCAAGCATCAGTAGATTTATATCTAAAGAAAATGTCCTGTCAGGTTTACGGGAGAATCACCTTGACCCTTTCTCAGTGTGACCTTGTGATGTAAAGAAGTAGCCAGGCATTGATTGGTTGTCACCACATACCAACACCAGCGTTCGAAATACGAGTTTCATACCCTGCCAACACGTGAACCTCCTATAGGATCAGAAGTGACATGACCTTTAACTCACCTTGACCCTTTCCCAGTGTGACTTTGTGATGTAAAGAGGTAGCCAGGCATTGATTGGCTCTCGACCCATGCCAACAGTTGCACAGCCAAGAGGGTCAGAGAAGTCAAATCCACCATGAGCATTGAGGTGACCTTCTACCGATATCTTGTACTCAAGGGCATCAAAGATGGACTCTCTGCTGACCATTGTACCACTGATCACTTGGATTCGAGTCTGTGGAAATGTTAGAGACACAGAATTTTACACGGATTAAAAAATTCAACAAACAAAAACATGTTTCACAATGGAAGTATTTTTATGGAGATTAAATTCCTAAATCTAAATACTAGGTTTGTCAACAGAGGATTACTTTCAAAAGAATGTTGGGTCCAGATGTATAGGATTCTATATTAACCAGCTCCAGACTAACAGGGATCAATATTAACTGGGTCCAGACGAATATGGTTCTAGATTAACCAGGTCCAGACTAACAGGGTACAATATTAACTGGGTCCACACTAACAGGGTTCAATATTAACTGGGTCCACACTAACAGGGTTCAACATTAACTGGGTCCAGACAAATAGGGTTCTAGATGAACTGGGTCCAGATGAATAGGGTTCAATATTAACCAGCTCCAGACTAACAGGGTACAATATTAATTGGGTCCAGACGAATAGGGTTCTATATTAACCAGCTCCAGACTTACAGGGTACAATATTAACTGGGTCCAGACTAACAGGGTTCTATATTAACCAGCTCCAGGCTAACAGGGTACAATATTAACTGGGTCCAGACGAATAGGGTTCTATATTAACCAGCTCCAGACTTACAGGGTACAATATTAACTGGGTCCAGACGAATAGGGTTCTATATTAACCAGCTCCAGACTTACAGGGTACAATATTAACTGGGTCCAGACTAACAGGGTTCTATATTAACCAGCTCCAGGCTAACAGGGTACAATATTAACTGGGTTCAGACGAATAGGGTTCTATATTAACCAGGTCCAGGCTAACAGGGTACAATATTAACTGGGTCCAGACGAATAGTGTTCTATATTAACCAGGTCCAGGCTAACAGGGTTCAATATTAACTGGGTTCAGACTAACAGGGTTCTATATTAACCAGGTCCAGGCTAACAGGGTTCAATATTAACTGGGTCCAGACGAATAAGGTTCTAGATGAACTGGGTCCAGATTAACACTGGGTTCCTAAATGAACTGAATCCAGACAAATATGGTTTCTAAATTAATTGGATCCTGACTACAAGGGTTTCTGGATTAAATGGGTCAAGACTAACAAAGTTTCTGGATTAACTGCATCCAGACCAGCAGGGTTTCACTATAATTAAAAAACATCCCATTACAAAATCAAATGCCTAAAATATATAGCCTGAAATCAGCATTGCGATCTTGAATAAAAGACCAGAACTGGTCTGTCTGTGGCAACTTACTGCTGTTGGTGCATCCAACGCATGCTCAGGTCGCCTGACAGCAAGTCCGAACCCAATCGCATTCTCTACATCGTCCTTGTTCAACAGGACATCTTTTACTGAACACTGAGACAGAACACAGAAGAAGAACTCTGTTGCATCCTGGGATAGCTGGTCCATTTCAGCAGCACTGACCGTCAGTGACTTCAGTTTTTCTTGATCGGCCTTCACCTTTGTGATGTTCTTGGACACACGCTGGTCCATAAGTCGCTGACGTCTGTTTTTACTGAACTGGAAGAGGAATTGATAATACAAGGATCTACCTGGGTCTATATATCTGTAAGGTTTTCTCAGGGAAAAAATAATTTTTGGGTGGTTCCAGCATGAAAATAGTCAATCTCATCAAAATCAGTTCTTTTACTGATAGGATACCTCTCTCAAGATCTGACGACATCTCACAATATGGAGGTGTCGTCAGATCTTAAGAGAGAGGTATCATATTGGAGTAAAAAAATCTGACCACTGTCACCCCCGTAACGGCTACAGGCTGGCTATGTGTGGCACCTCAACTTCCAACAATTACAGAATTATAATTATGTCCTGACATTGCACTGAAGCCTACAGTAGGTGAGGTGAAAACATGATGAAGATTATTGCAATTTTATGGTGAAGTGTGTCTGCCTGTCTGTCTGTCTGTCCGTCTGTCTGTGACAGGGATGACTGCTAGCCCACTGATATACCAGCCACAGGTACCATGGATACCCGACTCACAGACACAGTGCTCTGACTGAGCCAATGAGTCTTTGTTTCACCCAAGGAATGCCATATTTTAGCATCTTTTGGTATGAAGCTGTATGTATCGAACCACCATCCACTCACTTTCCAGGCAGACGTTCTTTCCTCTTGACCACAGAGGTGGTGATGCCTTATGCTAATTCTGACCAGGGATGTGAGCAGGTTTTCCCGGGAAAAAAAGAGGGGGGTCTGAATTTTTTTAAACACTAGATTGCATTTTAAGCAATTTCGTGCAGTTTGGACAACATTCACACCAAGAAATGTAACAAGTCAATGGCAAAAGTTAATAGGTCAAATAAACTAGATGGCAGATGCAGTAACATTTCAAAGTTAAATCAGTACTTTTAAAAAATCAGGCATAGTTTCCGCGCACCTGGCTACCTGCCAGGTCTGGGAGCAATACTGCCATAAACTTCAACCCCCATCCCCCAGACACAAGGACAACTGTCACAAGCGTGCAACGTCTGACCCTTTCCCCATGTTGAAGCATATTGAAAAAAACTGACCATGTACTTACTTACCTTTTGTTGAAAAAAACAAAACTCCAGACATTAATACAACATATATCCCCATGTTATTGGTTTTTGGACGCTGAAGAAACATTCATAGTTTCTCACTAATCACATGAACAACTGTAAAACATCTCATTCACTTACAGGCTAAAAGACAACTTTATCTTCAAAACAAGCCATCATCTGACTCTGAGTATCTACAATTTCTGAGATTTCACATCCCAGTCTGACAGTAACTAACTACAATCAGGATTTGAATAATTAATACATGAAGGCTCAAAACACAACCTGCAGCAATGAAGACATTGACAAGCAAACACATCTTCTAAAAGTGAATGTACCAAGCACTAAAGGACTAGTAATGCATCATAGGGGACAAGGGGCTGGAGAGATGAGGGAGTCAGTGAGTATGGTCTTTAGCAACATTCCGGTAATATTACGTCCGGGGACCCCTGAAATGGACTTCACACAACGTATCCATATGGGGAATCAAACCCGTGAGGAGCGGACAGTTTAACCACCAGGCTCCTTGCAGTGTTTTATTGTACGACAAACAACTACCATTTATCATTATTTATAAAACCAGGGTGTTTTTAACACACTGTGTCCCAGGTCTGAAGATCATTGGGTGTAAACACTGACCCTACCTACCACAAAGACTGAGCACATACATTACATGCTAAGATACTAGAGCTGACACTGCTATCTGTTGGGTTTAACGCCGCTTTTAACAGTATTCCAGTCATATCAGCTTAATGTGGGAGGAAAGCCCGAAGTCATGTAGGTCTCAGACGTGTCAGGGAGGAAAGCCCAAAGTCATGCAGGTCTCAGACGTTTACCACTTCGGTGAAACCCACGAGCACGGGTATGGTGCTGACAAACCTAGAAACATAAATGGGGCAAACCAGGTTTCGAACCTACAATCATAGGTTTCTGGCATGCCCAAGGGACAGGACTCTGCACAGCGAATAGCGGCACCTTAGACGACTGGGCCACCCGTGCCCCCTTCCAAGAACTTCTGACACAAACCGAGGCTATCCTTAACTAGAGTCTTACCTTGGCCTCGTATCTGAGGTCGTGAGCCCTGGCCAGCATGGACACAGACTGTGTTTCTCCACGGAGGTAGCGCGCCATCATGCTGTGCATCATGTCGATCTGCATACAGAGGGTGAGTGAGTGAGTTGGGTTTAACACCACTCTGATCTGTATTTCAGCTATATCAAACAAGACAGCCTAATGTGGGAGGAAAGCCCAGTGACTTTTGTGGCACTACGAGCACGGGTATGGTGCTAACAAACCAAGAATCATAATCAGGGCAAACTTGGGATTCGAACCCACGATCATATGATTCTATGGTAACCGAAGGTCATGGTTGGTTGGTTTGTTGTTTAACGCCGCACTCAGCAATATTCCCGCTACATGATTGCGGTCTGTAAATAATCGAGTCTGGACCAGACAATCCAGTGATTGACAACATGAGCATCAATCCACGAGATTGAGATTGATGACATGCATCAACCAAGTCAGCAAGCCTGACCACCCGATACCGTTAGTCGCCTCTTACGACAAGCATAGTCGCCTTTTACGGCAAGCATGGGTTGCTGAAGACCAATTCTACACTGGATCTACACGGGTCCAGAAGGTCATGAAAATAATATCTCTCTTCTGAAACTTATTTTCAAAATGATTAGTTCACTAGTCTAGTTTTTTTACTTTTACTTTCTCAGTCGCCAATGACAGATTACTTCAACATGCGAAGTGCATCAAATCATGTGAGCACCTTGATTTAAAATATGAAAAGATTTGGAAAATATCTGTCGACGCCGAGTTGGCGATACACATGCTTTGCAAATCCTGCAATCAACTCAAATCTGCACAGCATTTTACAAACTGGATGTTGATTTCGTTAGGCGATTTTGATTGGACTGTGCATAGACGTTTTAGTCCAGCCAAAATATAACTCCATGATGCCAACTCGGCAAGGGTGGAAGCTCCTCCCCCGGGTCTCACCTTCTGCTGGATCTCCTTGATGTGGTCCATGAGGATCTCCCGCATCTCCTTGGTGACACCTGGACCGAACATGGGTGTCTTAGTCACTCGCTCCTGAAGCCGACTCAGGCGAGTTTGTAACTTGCTGACATCTGAAACAATGACAATTGGCGAGTATGTTATGTGGCAGTGGAGATTGTTGTCAATGTATTTGTGTTAATTGTCATTGGTAGTTGTCAACTGTCAGTGATATTTGTCAGTGGTAATTGTCAGTGATAATTGTCAGCAGTAATTGTCAGTGGTAATTGTCAGCAGTAATTGTCAGCACTAATTGTCAGTGGTAATTGTAAGCAGTAATTGTCAGTGGTAATTGTCAGCAGTAATTGTCAGCACTAATTGTCAGTGGTAATTGTAAGCAGTAATTGTCAGCAGTAATTATCAGCGGTAATTGTCAGTGGTAATTGTCAGTGGTAATTGTCAGCAGTAATTCTCAGTGGTAATTGTCAGCAGTAATTGTCAGCAGTAATTGTCTGTGATAAAGTTCTCGACCTGATTACACATGTGCTAAATGAAGGACCATGCTTCGTGATGCAGTATACTTCTACATTATAGACCATGGATATAAGCTTCCTTTACCGACCACAATCATAGGCTATTCTGTCAAACACTGCCCAGTCTTGACAACCATGAAATATATTTCTTTACCTCCATTGGTTTCGATCTTGTCAGCTAGCTTCGTTGTAAGGATGTCAGTATTTCTGGACAAAATTTTCATCGCCCAGTCAACCTTTTCTGTTGCCGTGGTAACCATCTCTCTGCGTATAGTATCTACTACTACAGCAATATTAAGGGTATAAATCGTTTTATCCTGAAATAAAAGAAACAAATATCATGAATTCATAAATCCTTGGCCTTATAAATATGACTACATATAATTCAACGAGACTGCAGCCAAAGGCTGACATTCTATGTACAGATCATCCAAAAAACTTTTTTTAACATTAGCTCTGAAATATATTGTCAGTTCGGGTGAATTAAGAAAACTGAGTTTTGTTGGTTTGGGGTTGAGATTTGTTGGTTTTGTTCAAAAATAAAAAAGTCATATTTTATTTCACATTTATGAAAGCAACTAGTCACTAAACATGGAGAATAGAAACAAGAATTACAAATAAGTGGCAATAAACGCTGTGTTTGGTGTGAATAGAGAAATTCTAGTGATAAAGAATATATCATTATAAAACATGGGCAACAGCTAAAATCTGAAAATATTTATTTTACAACGAAAGACCAAAGAGATAAGTTGCTAACACAGACACATTCATCTCACTCACAAAATCTAAACAGAGTTTTTTGTTTATTTTTCACAAACCTAGAAACATGATCTGTAAAAATCTAGGATTCGAACCCGTGCCTTAGGGATAGCGGCACCCTTGCCAACTGGGCCACCCTAGTTCCCTAGAGCAAACAGAATTGTCAAACTCGGAATACAAACCTTCCTAAATTTCTTTATCATCTTTATCTTCATCGTAGGGAGGCTGTTGGGGTCTTTCATGTATATCCAGCTCTCTGCTGTAACCTGCAGTTGGCCTACACCAAAATAAAAGAATTTTATCAAACGATTGTTGTTAAGGCTAAAAAAAATAATAGTCTTGGTTCTCAGGTACTTCCCACATCATCATTAAGTTCATTGCATGTTGCGTATTTGATTCCATTTTCAATATTTTTCGTGCTTTGTGTATTAGCATTTTCATATTTTTTTTAAAAGTGGAAATAAAAACAAAATGTGCGGCAGACTTTGTGATGATGCGGGTGGTGCCTGAGAACCAAGACTATTATTTTTGTAGCCGAAAATTTTAAACACTTTCTTTGTAATTTTATTTTGCCTGATTCATCCTACAATCAGAAATGTTGAATAAAACATAACTTTTGGTTGTTGTTTTTTAAGTCTGTAAATTCATAATTTCAGTTTTGACAAAAAAATCGAAGTTGGTCGAACTTAATTACCATCTGTTGTTCCATCGGTCTCTATCTGAGTTATCTGCCCTTGAATTGTGGACGTCTGCACAACAGAACCAAGGCCTACAATCTTGTCATCACCTTCCATTTCAAGGTCAAGGTCAATAGTTTGTCCCGAGCTGTGAACGAACAACAGAAACAACATTGATACAGATGAGTTGGCTCTGATAAAGAAAGGTTTTGTTTGTTTGTTTACTCATTCGCCAGCAATATGCCCGCGATTTCAGATCACCATTTCAATAAGCGAGTTAGGACCAGGAAATGAAAGCATGAGCATCGACAAACGCTATCAATACAAGATGATACAGAATTAGTCACCAAACACTGATACTTGTTAGTGGCCTCTACAAACAAATATGGCAGACATCCTTCATTTCCCTAATTTACCTGAGTGAGATGTATTCAAACAACTCCTGGATCTTAGCCTTGAGTGCCACTGGCCCATCTCCTGGCTCACAATAGCGGAATATCCCATCTGTGGATCCAATCGTGCTCAGAAACTGGAGAAATTTGAAGTCATGGGCTGTAGAAATAAAATACAACCTCAAATGAACAAAATACCATAGCAACCAATTTAGCTTGTCATATGTTTTCTCCCACCAGCTACCTGCCAAGTGGTTAAAAGAGACACTGTGTTAAAGAGCCCTGGACTTGTCATAACCCACAAGCATTTTGTCGGTACATAGGGCTGGGCGATACACCAACTGTGCGATCCGTTATGTATCATGATACCTTGCTCACGATCCGAAACATATCCTGATACTTGCAAGTTCTCTTATCGATGGTGCATAAGCCATCTTTTTCATAGACAGAACGGCCAAATACTGGCCCACTAACAATTTACTGTTGGTAGTTTCAAGTACGGTGCAGTGGATGAAAATATGTATGTTTTCACTATGGCTACAATGTATGAGGTCTGTTTCTATTGGGCACAGCTGAGATATTGCTGGAATACTGATTAAAGTGCCTTAATACAAAATTCATGCAGTTAGGGTCATTGTCGGCACAACCACTACAAAAAGGGAAAGGGTTTATTTCAGCTGTCACATGGGCATTGTCACGTGTGCCGAACGGCAGGGGCAGGGACAGGTGACTCGGGTACTCTGGTTGGGTGGGTTCTGAGTAGGATTCGGGTACGCACAGGACTACCCAGACCTGTGGTTTGTCATGTGATATAATGTTTAATGTTTAACAATAAAACTCCATGTTTACACTACGAGTCGCTAATGTTTGCATTTCTCTCTGACTATGCACACATTCCTTCTGAATTGTATGTTTGAGTAAAGATAAAGCTTCAGTCCACTTCAGTCGATGCATGATCAGATCGTCTTATGCGAGTATCTGACTAATTTTCCCAGAACTCCAGCAATCAAAGATCTGAGGACATCCCATTACAGGTCACGTCAGACCGACCTTGTGCAAACTTTGACCGACCAATGGAGTGACTGACAAGATGTCAACATTAGTCGATCAGAAGTCAGCTTTTTCGTGTTTAACGGCACTAATTTAAAATTGGCGACTACGCTTCGAAACATATTTTGACAAATAAAAATTTGAAACCTGAACAAAAGAACATTCTAGAATTGCTAATAGATGTTCTAGATTGTATGGATTCAGTCGTTAAGCACGTAACTATCGTTTGGAATATCCTGTGTTAAAATTTTCGAGGTCGCATGATTAGAAATGACATTCCGACTGTCACTTTCATGATCTGGCAAGCGACGCTCTAATTGGTTGGATGAAGGGTCATTCTGACGTGACCCTAATGGGATGACCTCAGATCATTGTTTAGCGATAGCGAGAACTAAGATCTGATTTTAATTACCTTGAGGGCTCCGGTAAAACAATTCCCAATGGGACATGTTGTAACTAACTTTTGAAACCTACAGCAGGCATCTGGGTAGGGTAAGGTGATAGGGTTTAGGTACAAGGCTAGTAAATTTGGACTCGTCCCAGCCCTCGTGTGCTTAATAACTTCTGCCCTACAATTCATACTGCCAAGCTACCGTACATTTCTGTACTCCTAGTTTGTTAAGGTACATGTGTGGATACGGTTGGTTGGTTGGTTGGTTGGTTGTCTTACGCCCCACTCAGCAATATTCCAGCTATATGATGGCGGTCTGTAAACAATCGAGTCTGGACCAGACAATCAAGTGATTGATATTATGAGCATCGACCCACACAATTGGGATCGATGACATGCACCACCAGATCCTGTTTGTCGCCTCTTACGACAAGTATAGTCACCTTTTACGGCAAGCATGGGTTGCTGAAGACCTTTTCTACCCCGGATCTTCACGGGTCGTGTAAATACGGAAAGGGCACATGTCTGTTGTACCTTTGCCAACAACAACCCCAACACCCACATTCATGTTTGTGCTGAAAGGTCAAGATGATAATAAGACCAAATACGACCTGCAGATCCTTGTTTGATAAGGGAGGTAAGTCTGCACAGAGAATCATGGCAGCTAAGACACTATGGCCCCCAAATAAAAACATCAATGAATAAATCGACTTACACTGGCTGAATCCGACAGTGTGAATGACGACTTCTACACTCAGCGCTGACAGCCGAGTCTGCCATGCACGGGAGGCTGCCGCAGCACCTCCGTCCTGTCCATCAGTCAGGAATATCACCACCACCTTGGTGAATCTTTTAGCTGAATCAGAAGTCAATGAGATGCAGTCATCTATATCATCATAATCAGAAATATCTAACCAGTATCTTGCAAATGGACAAAGATTTAATGGAAGTAATATCAGCAGATTATTGCCCAAGCACGACTAAGTAGAGTGAACATGCGCTATCTGCGACCTGGTCACATTGCGATGACAAATACACTCAGAACAGGCAAATATGCTACAAAGGCATTTTATTTATTTAAGCTCTAATAAGCAACCCCTGAATTCCTAGACCAATCCATAAGAAAGCACCCTCAAGAGCACTGCACAAAGGTGAGGTGAAATTGGGTTTAACGTCGTGTCCAAGATTATTGCACTTATATAGCGACTTGCATTTACGTGTTTGTGTGGCGGCTTGTACTAGTCCGGACTGATGCCGATTTATAGTGGTAGCTCACTGAGATACCATGCCGCAGTTTAACATGAATACCCCACTCAGACACAGTATACTGACTCTGAGCCGACCAGTCCTTGTTTTAGCCCCTTAATGCCGAGCGCCAGACAGGGTAACAACAAGTACCATCTTTTAACGTCTTTTGGTATGACGCGGCCGGGGATGGAACCCCGGACCTTCCGTTCTCCTGGCGGATGCTCTACCACTAGACCACGGAGGCGGTCTCACTGCACAAAGCCCAAATTATATACTACTTTATATGTCTATGTAGATGAAATGTACAAGCTTTAAAATTATTTACCCAAATTTTAATAATGATGACTCCCTGAATAGAATCTGCCCTTAGCATAGTCGGACAACTCCTTTTTACGAACAGGTAGGTTAAGTTTGGTATTTCCCACATATTGCTGGTACCCCAACAAGTGTGTGGCTTTGTCCCAAGGAAATGGTATAAATCACATCCTATCAAATTTCATAAACGAACAATCAAAATTGACAATGGATCTATTTTTCTCTCTTATCATACCAAGACTAATTATTAAATATTATTTTCTAATTTTATCTTAAATATATTTTGACCATTAACCAAAGGGAGGGAGAACCATCATATAAAAAAAGGTTAGGAGTGAGATAACATTGTCATGTTACAGCTTTATCACAGCCGCCTGTACAAATTTTAACCTTCGCAAGCCTGATCTGTAACCTATACCTGGAGTATGTAAGGTGAAGATTGCTGAGCAGAATAGGTTCCCAATACCCCAGGCTTGTTGTGCTGGTTGATTGAATGTCTACCAGTAAATGTGAAGATGGGGAGATAAACCCCAGACTCCTACCAGACCAATGTCCTTCCCAGTGGAACGCATTCCTCACACTCCCAGTAACACCACAATCTCATTAAAATCAGATCTTAGTTCTCGCTACCGCTAAACAAAGATCTGAGGACATCCCATTACGGGTCACGTCAGACTGACCTTGCGCGAACTTTGACTGACCAATGGAATGACCAATCAGAAGGCAGCTTTCTCGTGCTTTACGGCACTAATTTCAAATTGGCGACTACGCTTCGAAACATATTTTGACAAATTCTCGATTACAAATTTGAAACCTGAACAAAAGAACATTCTGGAATTGCTAATAGATGGTCTAGATTGTATGGATACAGTCGTTAAGCCCGTAACTATCGTTCGGAGTTAAAGTTTTCGAGGCTGCATGATCAGAAATCACATTCCGACTTTTACTTTCATAATCTGGTAAGCGATGCTCTGATTGATCGGATGAAAGGTCGTTCTGACGTGACCCCTAATGGGATGTCCTCAGATCTTTGTTTAGCGGTAGCGAGAACTGAGGTCTGATTTTAATGAGATTGAGTAACACCACTGACACCAGTATGCAAAGCGGCCATGACAAGAATCTTGATTAATTTCCCTCTTACCACAAATGTGGTGACATTTATATTTTTGTGTATGCCATTCTAGTCAATGACAAATGAGTTTATGCTTGTTTGTTTGATCAGATTGGTTCGAGATGGCAGACGAATGTGAAAAACCCTGCTTGTCCCTTGCATTCTCACTAAATCAATTACATGATGCATATGTAGTTGAAATGAAATAGAAATTCAAACAAACAAAACAACTTGGTTGAGGGAAATTTCAAAGTTCCTCCTTGTAAGTCTTAACAGGTGAGAGAACCTAGGACTCATCTGAGCAAGTCTGAAGAGGGGGAGATAACCTAGGACTCCTCTGAGCAAGTCTGAAGAGGGGGAGATAACCTAGCATTCCTCTGAGCAAGTCTGAAGAGGGGGAGATAACCTAGGACTTCTCTGAGCAAGTCTGAAGAGGGGGAGATAACCTAGGACTCCTCTGAGCAAGTCTGAAGAGGGGGAGATAACCTAGGACTTCTCTGAGCAAGTCTGAAGAGGGGGAGAGAACCTAGGACACCCTGAGCAAGTCTGAAGAGGGGGAGATAACCTAGGAGTCCTCTGAGCAAGTCTGAAGAGGGGGAGAGAACCTAGGACACCCTGAGCAAGTCTGAAGAGGGGGAGAGAACCTAGGACTCATCTGAGCAAGTCTGAAGAGGAGGAGATAACCTAGGAGTCCTCTGAGCAAGTCTGAAGAGGGGGAGATAACCTAGGACTCCTCTGAGCAAGTCTGAAGAGGGGGAGATAATCTAGGACTCCTCTGAGCAAGTCTGAAGAGGGGGAGATAACCTAGAACTCCTCTGAGCAAGTCTGAAGAGGGGGAGATAACCTAGGACTCCTCTGAGCAAGACTGAAGAGGGAGAGATAACCTAGGACTCCACTGTGCAAGTCTGAAGAGGGGGAGATAACCTAGGACTCCTCTGAGCAAGTTTGAAGAGGGGGATATAACCTAGGACTCATCTGAGCAAGTCTGAAGAGGGGGAGATAACCTAGGACTCCTCTGAGCAAGTCTGAAGAGGGGGAGATAATCTAGGACTCCTCTGAGCAAGTCTGAAGAGGGGGAGATAACCTAGGACTCCTCTGAGCAAGTCTGAAGAGGGGGAGATAACCTAGGACTCCTCTGAGCAAGTCTGAAGAGGGGGAGATAATCTAGGACTCCTCTGAGCAAGTCTGAAGAGGGGGAGATAACCTAGGACTCCACTGAGCAAGTCTGAAGAGGGGGAGATAACCTAGGACTCCACTGAGCAAGTCTGAAGATGGGGAGGTAAGCCCAAGTTCCATCCCAGTCTATCTCAAGCTCCTCACAGCGATATCCCGCAGAGCTCTCTAGACTATCGCTGCCACCAGTGAAAGCTCCCCTCTGTGGTGATAGGTGGCTACAACATGCTTGGAGTTGAACTCGCAAATGACTGACCGTTATGTTTACAAATAAGTGATGACTGCCGTGATGCTGAATACTCTTGTCCCTGCTCAATTATTTTCTTTGTCAATTTGAATTTCTGGTGTCATGAAGGTGTCCTGTGCTGGGAAGGAGCGTGGGTATGTCTAAACAAAGGGAGATAACCCAGTGTAAATCTAAGCAGCGGCGAAAAACCTAGGAATCTTACCCGAGTTTTCTGCAATAACTTCATCAATCTTTCCAAAAGCAGCACTGAAGGAGGTGCTTCCTCTGCTATTAAGGCTTCCAATCACTTCCTTGAAGTTGTTCCGAGTGTAGTTGATATACTCCGCCCCGGTGTCGTATGTAATGACGTCCACTTGGAGACCGCTGTCGTCAAGACTATCTGTGATGACATCCAATAGAGCTTGTTTCACCTGTGAGAATAGGACAGGGCTTGATGAGTTTTCCCATGCTGTAATCAGCAGCAGTTAAATTCTCCTTGCCTCAAAAGTCATCACACAAATTATGCCTTGTTTCTCAAAACCTCCCAAACATCTGACATTCTTGTAAGCCAAAATTTGTTACATTTCCATGTATGCTAAATTTGCTGATCAAATATTTTAATACATTCAATTACACAATGGTGATAATGATACAACCAGAGCTGCCATCAATTAGCTGGAATATTGCCGAGTCCAGCGTTAACAACAAACACTGATACAACCCATCACTTTAGTCTCTCACCCTGTAACACGGCTTTGTACGCAAATGCTCATCTGCTTCTTCATATTGACCCTATCATCCCGAGGCAAGAGAGTTAACTGACTTTAAAAGTCCAGTTTCCACCCTTGCCTAAACTGGGCTGGAATTCCTGGGCTCGATCGCAGCGCCACTAGTGGCTATTACGAGTTATGTCAGTTCTAAGCCTCTCCTATGGACCAATCAGATTCCACCACTTTATCACTTGCATTTGTTTCAAACAAAATGGCAGCTCCATGTAATGATGATTTGATCGAAAATCAAGATCAATATTGTGATAAAACGTGTCTTATTTTGCATTGTGCATCAAATCACGTGAGCACCTTGATTATAAACATGAAAAGATTTAGAAAATATCTGTTGACAACGAGTTGGGGGTGCACATTCTTTGCAAATACTGCAGTCGACCGAAATCTGCAAGACAGTTTACGAACCAGATTTCGATTTTGTTGCGCGATTTTGATTGGACTATGCATAGGCTTGTTAGTGCAGCCAAAATGTTACTCCATAATACCAGCCTAGTTCGGCAAGTGTGGAAAGTTAACTCACTTGCCTCAGGAAGATGTATTGACCAATGTGACACATGAATGAAAGTTTTCATAGACTAAATGGTCGTCTACAAGTTCACAAGCAACAGAAAATCATTTTCAGTGAAATATTTTGCATGGCCATAAATACCATATTTACCATGATAAACAACCTGGGTGAAACTGACAAAGTGAGGCGCTTATTAAAACCATACACGAACAAGTTACATTTATCATCTGGTAGACATGTTGAACACAATCTTGGTTCAAACATCAACAAAACTTTTTTAACATCTTTTGGTCAAACGCCTGACCTTCCACTCTCTAGGCTGAAGAAATATCTGCTAGAAAACAGATGTCACCGGAGGTCAAACCAACGAGCTTCAGCTCTCCAGACAGACGCTCCATCTTCTAGACCACAGAGGCGGTCTACTCAAAGATATGACATCAAGGTATTCGTAGAAGTCGACATGTGTTACCAATACATGTGCTTTATATTGTGAGTAGCCAATCAGATTGCTAGATTGTATAATGATTGGTATTACCTGATTCCATGGGTTTCCGGACATGGAGCCACTCCTGTCTGCGACGAGGATGAGCTGCGTCTTGTCATTGGGCATATTGAGCAGCTCCGTCAGGTTGCTAGGGAGACCCACAGCAAGCTTCATGGTCTGCTCGTTCCCCGTGCATGCATCACTCTGGGGACCTGGGGAACAGAACACCATGGACATATTGCCCATTATTATAATATTAATACCGTATTCAACGTAATAAGCGCCCCACTCTAATAAGCGCCCACAGCGATATTTGTTAATATATTGGCAAGTGAACAATCCCAATTAGCATCCCTTCCAAATGATCAATGTACACAAGACTTACTTATTTGTGTATAATACGCACTCATGTGTAATATGCACCCTTAATTAGGGGCAATTAAATTCTGGAAAATATATCTGTCATGTTTAATACAACAGACTTTTCTTTTGTGTCTTTTCAGGTTGTCAGCATAAACCACAAAATTTACGATCTTTCAACTCTGTTTTTTTTCATCAAAATTTTATTCTAATAAGAGCATCCTATTACTAATTTTGAGAGCGCCATGGGTTCTTATTGTGTCAAATACAGTAGTTATGGTGTCTTTAGTTGCTGTAGTTGCTTTCACCTCACATATGTAAACCGGTTAAACATGACATCATAACGTGACAAAAGGTTCGACGACTATACAAGCTTAATGAACACTGGATGCGTGGACACACACAACATATTCAGATAACTTTTCAAGGAACTAAATTACAAAATGGAAATGACAACTTGTTTTATATTTTTGACCCAACCTACCAGGGAGGGATTGTCACAAAAAATACTAAAACAGTCTGGCCTTATGTGTACAAGGTAAAGCATCAATAACGTGTATTTTGTGGCCATCCCATAATAGGATGCAAACCACGAACCTTCTGATGTGAAGGGGGCAGTGTGGGAGCCCGCTGGCTACAGCGTTCACTCATCACGTCACACACCCGGGTTCTGTTCCCCATAGCGTACAATACAGTTTGATTCTGTGTAGCCTCTGGTGGTGCCTGAACAGTTCTGTAACTAATTACTGAGCACTCTATTTCAACATAATCCCTGTGGTCCACACACTGCCAATGATGCTGGAGTGCCTGGTGTTAAAGGTGTCGGCCTGGTGTTAATGGTGTCTGCCTGGTGTTAAAGGTGTCTGCCTGGTGTTAAGGTGTCGGCCTGGTGTTAAAGGTGTCTGCCTGGTGTTAAAGGTGTCAGCCTGGTGTTAAAGGTGTCTGCCTGGTGTTAAAGGTGTCGGCCTGGTGTTAAAGGTGTTAAAGGTGTCGGCCTGGTGTTAAAGGTGTCGGCCTGGTGTTAAAGGTGTCGGCCTTGTGGTGTTACAGGTGTCTGCCTGGTGGTATTAAAGGTGTCTGCCTGGTGGTGTTGAAGGCGACTGCCTGGTGGTGTTGAAGGCATCTGCCTGGTGGTGTTGAAGGTGTCTGCATGGTGATGTTAAAGGTGTCTGCCTGGTGGTGTTAAAGGTGTTTGCCTGGTGGTGTTAAAGGTGTCTGCCTGGGGGTGTGGAAGGCGTCTGCCCGATGGTGTTAAAGGTGTCTGCCCGATGGTGTTAAAGGTGTCTGCCTGGTGGTGTAAAAGGTGTCTGCCTGGTGGTGTTAAAGGTGTCTGCCTGGTGATGTTAAAGGTGTCTGCCTGGTGGTGTTGAAGGCGTCTGCCCGATGGTGTTAAAGGTGTCTGCCCGATGGTGTTACAGGTGTCTGCCTGGTGGTGTAAAAGGCGTCTGCCTGGTGATGTTGAAGGTGTCTGCCCGATGGTGTTAAAGGTCTCGGCCTGGTGTTAAAAGTGTCTGCCTGGTGGTGTTGAAGGCGTCTGCCTGGTGGTGTTGAAGGTGTCTGCCCAATGGTGTTAAAGGTGTCTGCCCGATGGTGTTAAAGGTGTCTGCCTGGTGGTGTTAAAGGTGTCTGCCTGGTGATGTTAAAGGTGTCTGCCTGGTGGTGTTGAAGGCGTCTGCCCGATGGTGTTAAAGGTGTCTGCCTGGTGGTGTAAAAGGCGTCTGCCCGATGGTGTTAAAGGTGTCTGCATGGTGGTGTTAAAGGTGTCTGCCTGGTGGTGTCAAAGGTGTCTGCCTGGTGGTGTTAAAGGTGTCTGCCCAATGGTGTTAAAGGTGTCGGCCTGGTGGTGTTAAGGTGTCTGCATGGTGGTGTTAAAGGTGTCTGCCTGGTGTTAAAGGTCTCGGCCTGGTGTTAGAGGTGTCTGCCTGGTGATGTTAAAGGTGTCTGCCTGGTTGTGTTAAAGGTGTCTGCCTGGTGGTGTTAAAGGTGTCCACCTGGTGGTGTTAAAGGTGTCTGCCATGTGGTGTTAAAGGTGTCTGCCTAGTGGTGTTAAAGGTGTCCACCTGGTGGTGTTTAAGGTGTCTGCCATGTGGTGTTAAAGGTCCTTCACAGCAGAAATGACATCATCATTATTTGCATCCTCATGCAGTCATGGTGACATCTTTTAGTTTTCCACAATGTTTTGCCTTGACATTTTCACACAGTTGCCTCACTCCCTCACACAGTTGCCTCATAAGATCAGCTATCAATGATCTGAGCTTCCGGGAGGTATTCCACCAGAAAGGTTCCTTTGGAATCCCAGAAACTGTAGCCATTACATTGCCAGCTGATGGAACAGTGAGTATGATTGGCAATATTCAACCAATATCATGGCAGGGGACACCTAAAATGGGTTTCACACATTGTACCCATGCGGGGAATAGAACCCGGATCTTCAGCATGACGAGCGAACGCTTATACCACTAGGCTACCCCACCGCCCTGATGTAACTGATTTTGCCTTCTTCTGGCTGATAGTGATGAACCCAAGACTCATCCATGGTCACAAACAGACCAACAAATTTTGTGTACTTGCATGGTTCATAGTTAGGCTCTTCAGTCACCCCTCAGTTTCTGGTTTTGCCTGCAGTGAAATAGCTGGAAAATTGCTAAAAGCAATGTAAAACCCACGCACGGTATCCACATGACCAAAGACATTAATCCTGTCAGCAAGCTGAAAAGGTGAAAATGACATCCCTCTGTGAGATGACTCCACGACTTGCTTCATGTAAATGATGTTTACAGTCAATGTGCACTTTCATTGTGTTTATTATACAGGTAAAACTCACTTGCGTCCTTATCTGCACCTGCTTCCCCCAAAGCCTGGATGGTAACCGACGCCTTCAGAGGATTCCTGGCAAACTCCTCTTCCAGGAATTGGACATACGAGTCAGTCATCATGTTGTTGCCACTTGCCGCCATGTTTTTTCTTGATGTGGCTGAAACAAAGAATGGAAGATTATTTGACTGAGAAAGTGAAAGTGAGTATGGTTTTACGCTTCTTTAAGCAATTTACCAGCAATATCACAGCCGGGGACACCAGAAATAGGCTTCACGCATCGCACCAATGTGGGGAATGAAACCTGGTTCTTCGATGTAACGAGCTAACGCTTTAACCACTAGGCTACCCCACCGCTCCGAGTGAGTGAGTGAGTGAGTGAGTCAGTCAGTGAGTGAGTCAGTGAGTCAGTGAGTCAGTGAGTGAGTGAGTCAGTGAGTGAGTCTTTCAAACTTCATGGGTTGTAGCAATAATCCTACTGACACATTGAGTTTCACACACTCAATTCTGTTGTTCGTTGCCTTAATGCTTGAACATTGCCATCTTCCCGAGGCAAGAGAGTTAACTGACTATAAAAGTCCAGTTTCCATCCTTGCAGAACAAGGCTGGTATAATGGAGTTACATTTTGGCTGGGCTAACAACGATTCTATGCATGGTCCAATCAAAATCGTGCACTGAAATCGAAATCCTGTTCATAAACAGTCATGCAGATTTTGATCGACTGCAGGATTTGCAAAACATGTGCACCGCCAACTCAATGTCAGCAGATATTTTCCAAATCTGTTCATGTTTTTAATCAAGGTGCTCATGTGATTTGATGCATTTCACGATGTAAGACCCCTTTTATCACAAAATAGATCTTCATTATCGATCAGATCGTCCTGACTCGGTGCCACCATTTTATGTGAAGCAAACACAAGTCATAGGAGAAGTGGAATCTGATTGGTCCATAGAAAAGGCTTAGAAGGGACATAACTGGTAAAAACCACTGGTGGCGCTATGATCGAGCCCAGTAATTCCAGCCTAGTTCGGCAAGGGTGGAAACTGGACATTTAAAGTCAGTTAACTCTCTTGCCTCATTGCTGAAAGTGCACAAATCCATTTTACTCTTGGGTTTCTATTTTAATTGGGTTATTACACTTTTCATTGGGTAACCAATATTCTTTTACTCATCTATTCATCACTCTATTGGGTTTTTACCAAAATTAGTGAACATTTTAAGATTTAAAAAAATGAAATAATGTTTCAGAAGTATATAACTGTTCTTAATATACAGGCTTGACTCGGAAAGTAAATTCCTACCCCTGACCTTCACAGGTCACCAAGAATAAAAAAATACTATAAAAGGCAAATCTAGGATAAAAACCGGAGGATCCCTTATGGCCAAAGGGAGGCAACTCTACACAGTGAATTGCAGCACCTTTTGTGACTGAGGGTAAGGAATACCTGTAGGATACCTAATAACTGTTCACAGGAACTTCAGATCACCTTTTCACAAATCACGGATAAATATAGTGTACATTAGTTCATATTTCATAGAGATAATATTTACTTATCAATCTCGTAGCAACTTTAACCATATCATTATCTACTTTAAGTTTGTGCATGTATAAACATCGACTGTTACAGATAAACTTGATGACATCTTGTCAGACAGACTATCATGGCCGTTTCTTGATATTTTAGGCAACTGTCCCCAAAATTTACTACCTGGTATTTCCAGTTTCGATTTAAACAATGATAATGAATAATAACAATTCAAAAGAGAGAAAAAACACATTTTACCAAAAAAAGTGTCATGAATTTGCAAATTCATGCTAACAGGGCTGTTGAGAAATAACATATCACCGCTAATTTGTAAAGTGAAATATCAAATGATGGCAAATTAATAGAACCAATGACGTATAACGAAACAGGTATGCCCTACCAGCATGACAGGGCCACCCTTGCCTCCCATTAAAATGAATTAGAATATAACTGGAAAATAATTGTCTATAGATTTCCTGATTGATTTCTTGGTTAGAAACTCAAACAAGTTGATTTTTTAAGTAATCGCTTCTGCCAATTAAAATAAATTAACATAATCATATGGAAAATAAGTATGCATACAGTAGAGTTCATGATTGTTTGGTCAGAAGCTGAAACAATTTGATCATTGATGAAATTTATCAACCGGGCATCAGTAATAGACAGTGACATCAATATTATTTACACAAATAGACCCATAAATATCCAGGGTAGAATAGGTCTTCAGCAACCCATGCTTGCTGTAAAAGGTGACTTATGCTTGTCGTAAAAGACGATTAACGGGATCGGGTGATCAGGCTCACTGACTTGGTTGATGCATGTCATCAATCCCAATTACGTGGATCAATGCTCATGATATTAATCACTGGATTGTCAGGACCAACCAACCAACACAAGTACAACTCACCAAACCAGGAAGTGATCTCCTGGGTGTTCTGTTCATGTGCTGTGATACATCACTGATACCACATAAGAAAAAAGCTATCAGGTTCCTAAGTACAGCAAATTAATTTCCTGCATCAAAAACGCTTGAAAATACCTGCAAAATCCACAGATTTCCGATTTTAACGTCCTTGAGTTGAGGGTGTCAGCAACTGGTCAGTTTTGTGTTTGCTTATTACAATCAGAAGCAACGGAGAAATTGTTTATCTCTTACATGTCACTGGCATGAACTATATATGGAAAGTTGTACTCTTCCAGTTGATGTTATATACTCGTCCAGTTCTGTTGGTTGCGACGGTGTTTCGTCATCCTCTTGTGAAAGAGTTTAGATCTACTAAAGGGGCGTTGATAAAACGGCGACCCGCCTTCAAGACGCATTTGCATGTTTCATATTTCTAAAGTTTGCATCAGACACATCGCATCTCGAGTAAGCGACGTTAACAATCCAAAGGTCTCACAGAAACTGCTTGTTCGCCTAATGATGCAGTCATTAAACGGAGGCGAGAACTAAGGTCCGATTTTTATTCGACTGACGTGACCTAGATCTACGGCAGAGATCGTCACGAGAAGTTCTGGTGCTGAATTCTAAAGCCAAGGTGCTCCGTAGAAGCACAAACTCCGCTATTTGCCTTTCATGTTTTCGACGCTGATGAGTTTAATGTTCGTAAGAGACAGGATGAAGTTATGACAGTGATTGAAAGTAGTTAGCTATTTCGATCGAAATAATATTTTGACAATTGCCATGATCACCCGAAACGCGTGCTGAAATGAGCTCCACAGCAGCGTGTGAACAAAGCGAATATGCACCGTTTTCCAAACTTTAGCATTGTACGGAGTTATGAGAGCAATTGTTTACATCGGATGTTGTGACAGCAAATGCTATTTTCTTTTATATTTTCTTGCAATATCGATATTAGTCATTATTGATAAAAATTAATATCATTACAATGTCCCTGTAATCATTGTCATCAAATTTATCAAAATGCAATAAACTGAACATCTGTCTACATATATATATGTGTGATAGAGAAGGCGCATTTCTAAACCAGTACCAGTTCAGACTGGGTCTTGTCTACCGAGCAGCGCGTCTTAAAGGTAATAACAGTTTAACATTTTATCATACAAAACCGTGATTTAATTTAAAACGGGCTGTGAAAATCAATATGCATGCAAGCACATTTGGTTTGGATGTTATACAGACATCAGATTACCTATGCATCAGAGGTGAGGTGAAATTGGGTTAAACGTCGCGTCCACGATTATTGCACTTATATAGCGACGTGCATGCACGTGTGTGTGTGTGTGTGGCTGCTTGTACTAGAACGGACTGATGCCGATTTATAGTGCTAGCTCACTGAGATATCATGCCGCAGTTTAACATGAATACCCCACTCAGACACAATATACTGACTCCGAGCCGACCAGTCCTTGCTTTAACCCCTTAATGCCGAGCGCCAGACAGGGTAACAAAAAGTATAACGTCTTTTGGTATGACGCGGCCGGGGATCATATTGTGATTTGAAAACGTGTTTTGTTAAACCAGAGACCATGTAATAGAGGGACGGCCCTCCCCAACAGTTTATCACTAACCATCAGCGCTACGGTCTGGCATGTAACCGAAACACCCCGACACCCTGCTGTTAACCCCCCTGTTCCGTTGCAGATGCGCAATAGATGCGCAGATATTCACAACTGACCATTCTGGTAACCACGTAAACGATATTACATAATATCCGGGGCTAGAGTTAATTCCCTCAGTCGGGATTTATCAATCTTCCAGAGGCAAGGGTGTTAACTGACTATACAAGTCCAGTTTCCACCCTTGCAGAACTAGGCTGGTATTATGGAGTTACATTTTGACTGGACTAACGAGTCTATGCATTGTCCAATCAAAATCGCGCAACGAAATCGAAATCCGGTTCGTAAACTGTCTCGCAGATTTCGGTCGATTGCAGTATTTGCAAAGAATGTGCACCGCCAACTCGTTGTCAACAGATATTTTCCAAATCTTTTCATGTTTTTGATAAAGTTGCCCACGTGATTTGATGCACTTCGCGATGTAAGAACCGTTTTATCATAACATAGATCTTGATTAACGATCAGATCGTCTTGACTGGGCGCCACCGTTTTGTTTGAAACAAATGCAAGTGATGGAATCTGATTGGTCCATAGGAGAGGCTTAAAGGGACATAACTCGTAATAGCCACTGGTGGCTCTATGATCGAGCCCAGGAATTCCAGCCAAGTTCGGCAAGGGTGGAAACTGTACTTTTAAAGTCAGTTTACTCTATTGCCTCGGTAAGATGAGATTTATCCGACTACGACCAGAGACAATCCTTAGCGGATTACAAAGATTTTTTTATCATATCTCTCATGTCAGTTGGCTGCAAATTATTCGCTGTACATGTGTGTCTTCCACGACATTTATTTCAATATACTTTCGCCACAGCCATGGCTGACTTCATTCACTGGGACGATTTCGTCTTGGGCCAAGACCACTTGGAGAATTCCCAATCTACGGCCAGGGGTTGGTTTCGGATGACTCTTGGTCTGAATAGAATGACAGTGATGCTACCGCTACAAAGCCTCCCAAAACCTTTCACTTAAAGAAATAGATAAGAAATGAAAATATAACGGATGTATTCAGTGTGGGACAGGGCCAGACTCTCCGCGTCCAATGTTTCTTGACTTTATGTGCCCTGTCCGAGATGTGCACAGGGCCACGCGTCATCACCATGATAACAAGTGAATCAACTCGAACACCACATTTTTTAACTCGGTCAGAGCTCGGTAATCCTTCTCGAACTCAGGAAGTGTAAATAAAACTCATCCAGACGCAAGGAAGACACTTGTAACAGATCACCTTATTCCCGATGTTCACAAAATATATCTCCAGATTATCTTCATATCATATAATAAATAAATCCAGGCTAGATTTTCTTGCAAAAATGTGTGGTCATCGGTTGGTCTTTTATGTGTTCTCTGGTTCAACAAATATGCCATTTTCAGCTTTAACAAATGTTGCACGATTCGCCGGAGATTAGATTCACTATAATAATAAGAAGAAGAATTTTATGTATTCTCTGGTTCAACAAATATGCCATTTTCAGCTTTAACAAATGTTGCACGATTCGCCGGAGATTCACTATAATGATAATAATAATAAGAAGAAGAAGAAGAAGAAGAAGAATATTGGATATCATGCACAAAGCGCACAGAGAATTATTACCCCGTCTATGGATCAGTGGCACTTGATTTTTCATTTTCAGCTCCCTGGGAAGTATACAAACCAAGCTGCATGTTAAAGGCGCTAGAAAGTTAACAGTCAGTATTTCATCCTACCGGGTACCTATTCACTGCTGGGTGAACAGAGGCATATTTTAAGTCATGTATTCAGTGTGGGACAGGGCCAGACTCTCCGCGTCCAATGTTGCTTGACTTTATATGCCCTGACCGAGAAGTGCACAGGACCACGCGTCATCACCACGAATCTGTCCATACACCGCATTTTTTAACTCGGTCAGAGCTCGGTAATCCTCCTCGATCAAGCGTACGAGCGACGCATTTTAAGAGACATTAGTGACTGGTGATTTATTGAGGGACCTCCATTCATGACTGTATCATATATTGCTGACACCCGCCTCATTAATGTAACATCCTTGTCCCCACCCCTCCTCCACCACCAATACATGTAATATCGACTTTCAAAATGTGCCTCTCGGTATTTGGATTATTTCGGAATAAAGTCCTAAATTTTGACATACCCAAAGACGCCATTTTATTTTGCGCGTGAATATCCTCCAAGTAAATCTCAACCTAAATCATGGATAACTGCGGTATTCTACGGATTTGTTGTTAAAATGCAACTAGGCGTGCATTAATTGTAAGTTTTAAAGTCTTCAATATCTTTATATTTCCCAGCCGAAAGTGTCCTTGACGCACATGTGAATACTTCTGCATCTGTTCAACAGGTGCCCAGTTTTCGAGCACTGAAGTTGCCTGAGAAGTGAGATTAAGATGGGCAGATGGGATATTAGTCAATAAACCTTTTGCCCTCTTATGAATATTCCACGAATATGTCATACACCATTAGATATTAAGCAAATGGCAGCACGCCAAGTATGAGAGGGAGTTTGTTTTCAAAGTCGTTAAAGCCAATAGGCCTAAAACAAATGAAAATTTGCCAACGAACAGTGATGATTTCTTACACCATCACATTTTTATAAATGGTAAGCAACTTCTGAAAAACTTTCTGTGTTTATACGTAGCACAGTGCCCAGATGATGTCTTGTTTCTCTGTGGTTCCTTCAGTAATTTAACCAAGATATGATGATTGTTGCCAACCTATGAGTGATCTTCATCCCAAACAGGTAGATGTTTGGTGAGTTCGTATTTGTAGCTATTCATCCCATATCCCCGTGTTAATGGTTTTCATACACTTAAAAACATTCTTAGTTTTCTCACAAATCAAAAGAACAACTGTAAAACATCTCCCTCACTTATAAAAGACAACTTTATAACAAAAACAGACCATCATCTGATTATTTACAATGTCAGTGTGACACCAAACCCCTTGTTATAGCTCAAGTAATCAAGTTAAACATGGCCGTCCGTAAACATACGATCCGACGAAACTATCCACTGCTCCACTTTTACGAGCCGCCATCTACTCAAGCAACACATTTCTCCACTTGTGATTGATACTAATAATAACTTAATAATATTCTGGTGGAATAGGTCTAGTTACTCCTAAAATGCATTGTTGGATAAAAAACAACTCTGCTCATCAATAAACATGATAAATGCTATCCCAACTGAATATTGCAAATTAGTTGTTGTTATGAGCTGTTCCGCGTATCCCCGTTACCCGAACTTATCAGTTGCTGGTGTCTTAATCATAGTTCAAAATAGCCGCCTGACCGCTGGCCAAATGGCAGTGTCCTATATTGAGGTAGTAGTAGTAACGTTTTCGTAAAGCTGGCACAACTGTCCAGTTGAAAATTATTGTCTATACATATTTATTTCTACAGATCATCAAGTCAGTTAACATTGTTAAGGTGTTACTTTACATGTTTAAAGTATGAATTGTATAAATGAATACCTTAAACATGTTAGACATGTAAAACTTTCTTTGCTTTCTTTTTCTCCAACATGTCCAATGACCACTGCTTGTCATAAGAGGCGACTAACAGGATCAGGTGGTCAGGCTATCTGACTTGGTTGATGCATGTCATCGTATCCCAATTGCGTAGATCGATGCTCATGATGTCAGTCACTGAATTGTCTGGTCCAGACTTGTTTATTTACAGATGGACATCATATAGCTGGTATATTGCTGAGTGTGGCACTAAACAAGAAACAAACAAACTGATTCCATATATTGATGTTTCAGATATGTCATGGTAGACCATAACAAGAAGATGCCACTGATTGCATTTCTCAAGTAACTGACATCATGACAACCAGAAGTGGGAAGAGGAGGCCCACTGAAGTATCTTGGGACAGGTAGCTATCCTTCACCCACAGCATTAAAAATTGTCACTGCTCCTGTTGTCCTTGCCAGACGGCCCACTACTTAAGCATGTTAAGGTATCATAAGGACTAGCAGAAACCTGTGTGCGAAATACGCTATAGTCGGAAAGTGCACGTTAAATCTCCTATATCAGTCAGTCAGTAGCAGAAATTAGCCATTTGTAAGGGTTTTGTTATATGTTATCATCATAAGGACTAGTGGACTAAAAATGTTAGTTTCTACCGCTGCATTGCAGATTTGTATCTGATGATATGATGGAGTATTAGAGTGTTCAAAATTAACCATGAAAGTCAAGAGGGCCTTGTCATAAACCAAGTGTTTGCGTTTACACAGTCCCATGTACAAAAATATGCAATGAAAAATACTCGAACCTAAGAAAACAAACCTACAAGCGTCTCCAAGATGCATTAGAACTACAGAACAACTTCAGAATGAACTACACAATGTTTAATACTATAATACATGTTTTTGTTCAACTCTATGAATTGATGCAAGGATGATAGTAACTTGTTTTTACTACAAAAAAATGTGTGAACAATTGATTGCTATTTCCAGCTTATTTTACAAGAGAAATACACATTTAATCTTTATCTCTGCGTATGAAATATTGTCCGACATACAGTACACAAGTACCATTGAATTTGTAAATCATCATATCTAGTGATGTTTTTTGTAAATATGCAAACGGCAAAACAAGCACACAAACTCCTATTGTCGCCATGACCATAACACAAGATGTGCAGTAAAGCAATGTAAAGTTCAGTAACTGCATGCTCTAATGGACCACATTGTTTTGAAGTATTGTGGCATTTCACCGCCAGGGTCGCATGCTCGAGACATGGAATAGTTGAGGATTTGTTTTTTTAATGGAAATAAAAACGAAACATGGGTTTAAGCATGCCGACTTTATGATGATACGGGCGGTGTCTGAGAACCAGGGCTATTTATATTTGTTTTAGCCTTGTGGCATCAGGACATCCAAGAAAAGTTTTAAAGTCGGTTTTAAGAACACATGTTAAACCCAGCTCTTCCTTATGATGACAAATATATGTCGAGGGCACGGGTGGCCCAGTCGTCTAAGGTGCCATGAATTGCAGTGTAGAGTTCCGTCCCATGGGCATGCCAGAAACCCATGATTGTGGGTTCGAATCCCGGTTCGCCCCGATTATGTTTCTAGGTTTGTCAGCACCATACCCGTGCTCATGGATTTCACCGAAGTGGTAAACATCTGAGACCTGCATCACTTTGGGCTTTTCTCTCACATTAAGCTGGCACGCCCTGATATAACTCGAATACTGTTAAAAGTGGCGTTAAACCCAACTCACTAACTCACAACAAATACATGATACAATGTTTCTGCTTAACTTGCTTGCATCTTGTTTTTGCCAGTGATGATGACCTTCTCCAGGAAGATATTGGAGGAATTAATGCCTTTCCTAAGAGTAAGGTGAGCTTGGTAAGAATACTGTATGTTTACCATGTTTAGAATGAGGAATAGCGGTATAGGCATTGCTGTTTTGTTGGTGTACCACAAGAATATTCTCCTTGTGAAGAGTCTATTGAATCATTGAGGAGACATGTGGCCCAGTCATCGAAGGTGGACCATTCCAGCTATATCCGAGGTAGAATTGGTCTTCAGCATGTTCAGCAACCCATGCTTGTCGTAAGAGGCGACTAACGGGATCGGGTGGTCAGGCTTGCTGACTTGGTTGATGCATGTCATCAATTACAGTTGCTTGCTTTGATGCTTATGATGTTAATCACTGGATTGTCTGGTCAAGACTCGATTACTTACAGACCGCCATCATATAGCTAGAATATTGCTGAGTGCTGTGTTAAACAACAAACAAACAAATAGCAGATGTCAGTCTTAAATGATACTGTACCATAAAAGCCTGCAACACAACAACAATATGTTTCCAGAGCAACAGACCATGATACAATGTATTTTATCTGATTTTTAATGCTTTAGACATGATGTGAAAAGGTTTTTTAATCCCTTAGTAATTCATTGTGTAAAACAATATTATTTGGTAAAAAAAGTCTATGACAGATTTCAAGATTGATTTTGGGTTGGAAACTGAAATTGATAAAATTGGTTGGATCAACCGTGCATCTCTGTATCAAGCTGTATTGTGTTGTGTGAGCAACATGTTAAAACATGCACGATGTTGCAGGGTCACGAATCCGAAGAGGAATACGACGAGGAGGCACTTCTGGGGAGTGATGATGAAAAGGGAGATAAGTCTGGGTATGCCAACACGACAGAGGAGGGCATTTCCCTCATTGAGGATTCTGAGAGCTTCAACCAGACGGGGGGCGACTCACTGGAGGGAGGGATGATTGAGTAAGGAAACACAGATAGAAATATTTAGGCCAGTGGTTGATAGCATGAGCAATGAACCATGCTACCAGGACACAATGACACATGATCACCCAGGTCACACATTGTAGCCAGCCAAAGCAGGTGACTTGTTGATGTAAATTAAGACACATTTCCTCCAAGAATCTTAATGTCAGAAGTGGTAACGTGCAGATATTTATCTAGGGCTGGTTGTTTGACTACAGCAAATTTGAATTTGGAAATTACTTGATTCTGATTGGTCGATCAGAGGTATGGAATCCAATGTTTGTCTCAGATTGAAACAGCCAATTTGACAGCCACATCAGCACGGAAGCTATTATTTAAGGAACAGTACATCCTTAGTCATTGTCAGCAGGCATTGTAAATAATTATATATACAATTATAGGTTACAAAATACAGAATGTGGCACTACATTTTTTGCAGAAAACACAATAGTAATCAACTATCTACAGTTTTGGCAGAAAACAATAAAAATCGACTGTCTACATTTTTGGAAGAAAACACAATAGAAATCGACTATCTACATTTTTTGGCAGAAAAAACAATAGTAATCAACTACGTATCTACATTTTTGAGGAAGAGAATATATGGATGTCAACTTCTTTATTATGAGGAACACAGCGTTACGCAGTATATGCTTACTAATTCATCAGGTGAATGATGCCATGAGGCAGAGAGCATATATATGTACATGTAAGGACAACAAAATTAATAAGATAACAAAAGGTGGAAAATAACAAAGGGTAGAAACAAACAAGGGAAGCCAACAGATGATTGGCGCTGAAAGGTGATTAGCAATAGACAATGGAAGCCAACACTTTACGATAATTAGCGCTGAAGGTATGGAAGCCAGTACTTAGTCAGATAGATAATAGGTAATGGGCAAACGGGAGGCCGCGGGTAATTAGCACTGATAGGTGAAAGAATGGACATAGCAAAGGGCAATTTGAAGCCAGCTAGGTGATTAGCACCGACAAAGATCAAAGCAATAAGTCTCAAGCACTAGGCAGATAGGTTCCCTAGTCATGGTACATTTTTGACAGAAAACAAAAGAAATCAACTATCTACATTTTTGGCAGAAATCAATAGAAATCAAGTTGTAAGCACAACAGAGAAGTAGACATGTGGCACTATTCCAAATTTGACTGCTGTGTCGCATTTTCATTGTCAGTGAAGAGTGTTAAGTCTGAATATCATCCCATAAAACCACTCTAAATCATTCATCCAGTCATATTTTTCAGTCAGTCAATACACAGCTTTTGCAATAGCTGCCTGCCCGCTATCCTGTGGCCAGTAGTTTTCTTGGGGGGAGAGTTCTCTTTTGAACCCCCTATCCCGTCTTGTAACCTTTTTAAACTTTAAAGTTTGAACATGTAATTCGATTCAAAGATTCACTATATGACTTTCTCTAGACGCTATTTGTTCCCCCATTGGCTGTGTAATCATAGTTACTAAGCATTATCTGAATACGGGCTAATTAGAGCACAGTAAACAGTATTGTAGCACTCCTATTATACTTGGAAACAGGAATTAGAAGTTGAATTTTTTGTGTGTTCCCAGAAATGAGGACCAGTAGTCTTTGGTGTGGTGATCCGTGAAGTTCCGGGGTAGAATAGGTCTTCAGCAACGCATGCTTGCCGTAACTGGCGACTATGCTTGTCGTAGGAGATTAAAGGGATCGGGTGGTCAGACTCGTTGACTTGGTTGATGCATGTCATTGATCCCATTTGTGTAGTTCGATGCTCATGATCTCAATGACTGGATTGGTCTTCAGCTTGTCATAAGAGGCGATTAACGGGATCAGTGGTCAGGCTCCCTGACTTGGTTGATGCATGTCATCGATCCCAATTGTGTAGTTCGATGCTCATGATCTTAATCACTGGATTGTCTGGTCCAGACTTGACTATTTACAGACCACAGTCATATAGCTGGAATATTGCTGAGTGCAGCGTTAAACAACAAACACACAAACTTTGCTTTGGGATAGTGTTTGTGAAAGGTGACTAATCCCCCTGGCCAGTTTGACTTGACTTTTGTCATTCGTTCATCATACAGTCCTATTTTTCTTTTGAAAGATCAGTATTGACATATTTTCATCTCCCCAACAGGCAAGATGCAGGAGGCCTTGATGGGGCCCAGGATGCTGAGGTGAGTGTTAACTGGTTCTTTTCAAAATGGTGCAAACAATCTAAAATGTTCATTCTGTATCATCATTGTATGAGATAAGTTCCCAGGAACCAGTTCTGCCCAGCAACCTTGGCAGTAAGATGATCGGGGGTGGTCGGGTAGCCTAGTGGTTAAAGCGTTCTCTCGTCACGCCGAAGACCCGGTTTCGATTTCCGACATGGGTACAATGTTTGAAGCCCATTTCTTGTGTCTCCCGCTGTAATATTGCCGGAATATTGCTAAAAGTGGCGTAAAACCTCACTCACTCACTCACTCACTCACTCACTCACTCACTCACTCACTCACTCACTCACTCACTCATTCGATTCCCCACATGGGTACAATGTTTGAAGCCCATTTCTGGTGTCCCCCGCTGTAATATTGCCGGAATATTGCTAAAAGTGGCGTAAAACCTCACTCACTCACTCACTCACTCACTCACTCACTTAAAAAACATGTTGCTGCAAAATGTTGTGATTTGATTTGTTTGCTAATATAGCATGAGGTGAGACTATATTAGTGAAGTTAAGGATTCATCCAAATGAAAAGTAGGGGATAAAAGAAATCTTTTAATTCCAGCAAATGCAAATTTGTTTTTCCCCACACAAAATGCGTACAAAATATTACACAGAAAGACAATAACATACACACAGCAGCATAATCAGATATGTTTTCGGAAGAAAGGACAGCATAAACAAGTTGTCTTTTCTTAATTTTTTTCTCACCAACCGATCAGGCTTTTGGGCAAACAATAAGTGTAACTAACTGAAGAAAAAACATTCTGATTCTTATCCAAAAAACTGGCTTCCTCAGGAGATATTGCTTCGGTGAGATCTAGTGATATCTCATAGGAGATATCGCTTCAATAAAATTGAATCTCAATGCTATGGAGACCATTGAGATGTCAAGGATTACCATGATGTTACAATCAAATGGCATCACTAATCTCTCTGCCACTGAAACTGGACTCGTGAAGATCCAGGGTAGAATAGGTCTTCAGCAACCTTGTCGTAAAAGGTGACTATGCTTGTCGTAAGAGGCGACTAAAGGGATCGGGTGGTCAGACTCGCTGACTTGGTTGATGCATGTCATCGTGTCCCAATTGCGAGGATCGATGCTCATGATGTCAATCACTGGATTGTCTGGTCCAGACTCAATTATTTATAGACCACCATCATATAGCTGGAATATCACTGAGTGCGGTGTTAAACAACAGGTTATTACTGTTTACAAACTGAAACAGTTGAACAATGATCTGAGATGGAAAATAAAATCTCACCCATGCATATTTTGTCATCATTGATATCAACACAAGTGAGTAAAAGAAAAAGAAAAAAATGTCTGGCTTAAATATATTGTTCTTTGTTTGTTTTTCAGGCTTTGGAGATTGCTGTAGATGATGAAGAGATTCAGGACCTTGCCGAAGGTCTTGATGACTTCAACCCGGACAGCTATAATGGCGACCAGTATGACAGTGGCGCCCTCTACGATGAGGGGGGCTTTGAGGGGGGTGAGCAGCCGTACACCCACCATGGGGAGCACTACCAGGGGGAGGATTATGAAGCGCAGCAGTTCAACCAGGAGGGGGGAGAGGGGCAGTTCAACAGCACCCAGGAGGATGTGGAAGAACCAGAGGTAGGTTGTTGTATGTGTACCACCATTTGGACTCCAGGGCAGTGCCTCACATTCTGCTTGTTTCCAACAGAGGATTCAAGGCTAAATAGGTCCAAGATTTTCCATGCTTGTTTCCAACAGAGGATTCAGATTCAGGGCTAGAATAGGTCCAAGATTCTCCTTGCTTGTTTCCAACAGAGGATTCAGGGCTAGAATAGGTCCTTGATTCTCCATGCTTGTTTCCAACAGAGGATTCAGTGCTAGAATAGGTCCTTTATTTTCAATGCTTGTTCCCAACAGAGGATTCAGTGCTAGAATAGGTCCTTGATTCTCCTTGCTTGTTCCCAACAGAGGATTCAGTGCTAAAATTGGTCCTTGATTCTCCTTGCTTGTTTCCAACAGAGGATTCAGTGCTAGAATAGGTCCTTGATTCTCCTTGCTTGTTCCCAACAGAGGATTCAGTGCTAGAATTGGTCCTTGATTCTCCTTGCTTGTTTCCAACAGAGGATTCAGGGCTAGAATAGGTCCTTGATTTTCCATGCTTGTTTCCAACAGAGGATTCAGTGCTAGAATAGGTCCAAGATTCTCCTTGCTTGTTTCCAACAGAGGATTCAGTGCTAGAATAGGTCCTTGATTTTCCATGCTTGTTTCCAACAGAGGATTCAGTGCTAGAATAGGTCCAAGATTCTTCTTGCTTGTTTCCAACAGAGGATACAGGGCTAGAATAGGTCCAAGATTCTCCTTGCTTGTTTCCAACAGAGGATTCAGTGCTAGAATAGGTCCTTGATTCTCCTTGCTTGTTTCCAACAGAGGATTCAGTGCTAGAATAGGTCCTTGATTTTCCATGCTTGTTTCCAACAGAGGATTGAGGGCTAGAATAGGTCCTTGATTCTCCATGTTTGTTTCCAACAGATGATTCAGGGCTAGAATAGGTCCAAGATTCTCCTTGCTTGTTTCCAACAGAGGATTCAGTGCTAGAATAGGTCCAAGATTCTCCATGTTTGTTTCTAACAGAGGATTCAGTGCTAGAATAGGTCCTTGATTCTCCTTGCTTGTTTCCAACAGAGGATTCAGTGCTAGAATAGGTCCATGATTTTCCATGCTTGTTTCCAACAGAGGATTCAGTGCTAGAATAGGTCCTTGATTTTCCATGCTTGTTTCCAACAGAGGATTCAGTGCTAGAATAGGTCCTTGATTCTCCTTGCTTGTTTCCAACAGAGGATTCGGGGCTAGAATAGGTCCAAGATTCTCCTTGCTTGTTTCCAACAGATGATTCAGGGCTAGAATAGGTCCAAGATTCTCCTTGCTTGTTTCCAACAGAGGATTCAGGGCTAGAATAGGTCCAAGATTCTCCATGCTCATTTCCAACAGTACCCCATACATGTTTCTCTATGGGATCCTGAAGTAGAATACGTCCCCAGTATCTCATGCTTGTTTCTATGGGATCCCGATATAGGGCCACAGTATCCTATGCTTATCTCCCTGAGAGATCCTAGAGCAGAGTAGGACCCTAGTACCCCATGCTTATCTCTCTGAGAAATCCTAGAGCAGAGTAGGACCGCAGTACCCCATGTTTATCTCTCTGAGATATCCCAGAGCACAGTAGGACCGCAGTACCTCATGTTTGTCATAAGGAACAACTACAGTGAGAATCAAGTGGATTACTTATGAAATGGACCGTCTCCGTGGTCTTGTGGTAGAGCGTCCACCTGGAGAGTGGAAGGTCCGGGGTTCGATCCCCGGCCGCATCATACCAAAAGACGTTAAAAGATGGTACTTGTTGTTACCCTGTCTGGGGCTCGGCATTAAGGGACTAAACAAGGACTGGTCGGCTCGGAGTCAGTATACTGTGTCTGAGTTGGGTATTCATGTTAAACTGTGGCATGGTATCTCAGTGAGCTACCACTATAAATCAGCATCAGTCCGAATTAGTACAAGCAGCCACACTCGCATGCATGTCGCTATGGAAGTGCAATAATCTTGGATGCGCCGTTAAACCCAATATCACCCCACGTTAGCTATGGTTATATGTATGTGAACTTCACCTGGATATACCATGACGTCCCTTATTGTTATATCCAGGGTGATGAGACTCAGACCACTCAGGAGCTGCAGGAGGAGAGTGACAGTGAGAGTGACAGCGATGGGGAGTCAGGCCGAGGCAGGTTCAAGTCCGAGAGGTCCAACATCATAACCATTGCGACCACCAAGTCAAGACAGGACATTCCAGAGACTCTCGGTAAGTCTGGCAGTTATGCAACTTGGCACAGCCCAAGTCAGTTTGTCTAGTGTTAAAGGTATCTTTATGTTTAATCTGCTAATAGACCGTCGGGGGGCACGGGTGGCCAAGTCGTCTGAGGCACCGTGATTCGCTGTGCAGAGTTGCGTCCCTTGGGCACGCCAGAAACCTATGATTGTGGGTTCGAATCCTGGTTCGCCCCAATTATGTTTCTAGGTTTGTCAGCATCACACCCGTGCTCGTGGTAAACGTCTTAGACCTGCATCACTTCGGGCTTTCCTCCCACATTAAGCTGACATGCCGTGATATAACTGGAATACTGTTAATAGCGGTGTTAAACCAAACTCACCCACTCACTCACTCACTAATAGACCGTCAGTCTGATTTGAGGGTCGCATGTTATCACTATTCAACATTTCCGGTTTAGTTGCATCCCTGCCCAGAGATTCAAAGTTACACTGTAGGGAATTAGTAACACCATTGTCGATACTTCATGGTTTCGTATGTATACACTTCCCCTGTCATAATACTTGCATTATTTCTCCAGGCCAGATTAAATTATTTACTGGTTTTGTAAAAAAAAAAAACATGACCTGGGTTCCCACTGGAAAATAAAAACACAATTCACCTGATGTATTTGGACTTCTACCAACAACCGGTCTGATTTTATGTTCCTTGTGCCCTTTGCCCAAACAATCGTAATGAAGACTGGTGGAACAACAGAACGATAATAAGTTGGTTTTTAAAATATTGATAGAGAATGATAGTACTTGTTGCCATGTCTTCTTGCATGTTGTCACATTAGTTACTTCAGTGTAAAGTCCTTCTTCCTTGTCAAGGAGTAAACTTGTCATGACACAGACAGTAACCCACGCTGTGCTCTTGTAGTGGAGTATTTTGTTCAAAGACTTTGGAATATTTTGTTCAAAGATTGATTAGGGTTGTGTTTATCTTTACTTTCCTGACTTCAGAAATAAGTGAAGAACAGCAGCAGGAGATTGACCAGTTCTTGTCGAGCAACCAGAAAGGTCGTCGAGGTCGTGGGGGTCAGTGGCGACACCAGGGCCCAAGAGGTCGAGGTCAGTTCGGGCCAAGAGGGCCCTGGCAACAGTTCCGGCCTCAAGGAGGACATGGACAACAGCAGCAGGCATTCAATCCACAACAGAGGTTTGGTCCTCCCAGACAGGCTTGGAATCAGCCACCACACCAACAAGGACCCCCAGACCACATGCAGCATCATCAACAACACCAGCACCAGCAGCAGCCTCATCAGCATCTTCATCAACCTCATGCACAACACTTAGCGCAACCTCAGGTATGGTAAAGTTACAGTTGGACTCACTTATATGCAGTACCGTGTTGCATATTGTCTGAATGACTACATTCTGAAAATCGGGTCTAGCCACCCATGCTTGCCTTAAAGGTGACTTAAAGGATTGGGTGGTCTGATTGCTGACTTGGTTGATGCATGTTATTGTATCCTAATTGTGTGGTTTGTTGCTCCTGATTTCAATCACTGGATTGTCTGGACCAGACTTGATTATTTACAGACAGTCATCATATGGCTGGAATATTGCTGAGAGTGGCGTTAATCAACAAAAAAACAACAACAAACGAACAGTGAGATACTGTTACCTGAGCCCATTCTGGTGCCTCTTACTTTTTAGGGCTTAGTTTTATTTATTTCTTTTTTCATTGGAAATTAATCCTTTAGTTAAAGTGTTGTTGGGACTGCCTCTGTGGTCTAGTGGTAGAGCGCCGCCTGGAGAGAGGAAGGTCCGGGGTTCGATCCCCAGCCGCGTCATACCAAAAGACGTTAAAAGATGGTACTTGTTGTTACCCTGTCTGGCGCTCTGCATTAAGGGGCTAAAACAAGGACTGGTCGGCTCGGAGTCAATATACTGTGTCTGAGTGGGGTATTCATGTTAAACTGTGGCATGGTATCTCAGTGAGCTAGCACTATAAATCGGCATCAGTCCGGTCTAGTACAAGCAGCCAGATACACACACACATGCTTGCACGTCGCTATATACGTGCAATAATCATGGACGCGACATAAAACCCAATTTCACCTCACCTCACCTAAAGTGTTGTTGGGGTTTGTTTCCGGACCAAAACTCCCAAACCCCGTGTTTATCCTTCATGAAACTGTTCACAGGTGTCAATCAGTCAGTGAATTTGTGTCTGTTCCTTTAAAGGGATATTTCATTTTTATGATTTGGGGGTATATTTTGGGAGGAAAATGGACTGAGACTTAATTGGGTTTGAACTGAGGTCAATATCTATTCTCTTGTTTTTCATGAAACTTGGCATGCGTATATACCAGATAGAGAACTGGTGCCATTTGATGGAGAGTGGATACAGACTGTGGTTATCTTGTGAATTTATTTTTGCATGTTACCTGTTACATCTATGACCTGGGAATATTTGTTCTCTATTTTTCCAGCATCAACAGCCGCCACTTCAATCTCATGTCCTGCCTCACTCTGCACATGCAGCTCACCCCAGTATTGACAGCAGTCAGCAGCCAGCACTGCCTTCCGCCACCCAGCCTCCGCAGTCCTCGCAGCCCTCGTCCAGGAAGATTCTTATTAACCCCCACTTCCGGGCACGGGCACCCGCACCCCAGCCAGCATCAACCAACACATCATGGGCGACGCAGCGAGGCCCCGCTGATGTGTATCAGCCGCCTCAGATGCCTCATCCCCAGCCCGCTGCCGTAGCTCCACAGGTGAGAAATAGGGTTGTAGCTCCACAGGTGAGAAATAGGGTTGTAGCTCCACAGGTGAGAAATAGGGGTGTTGCTCCACAGGTGAGAAATAGGGGGTGTTGCTCCACAGGTGAGAAATAGGGGGTGTTGCTCCACAGGTGAGAAATAGGGGGTGTTGCTCCACAGGTGAGATATAGGGGTGTTGCTCCACAGGTGAGATATAGGGGGTGTTGCTCCACAGGTGAGAAATAGGGGTGTTGCTCCACAGGTGAGAAATAGGGGGTGTTGCTCCACAGGTGAGAAATAGTGGGTGTTGCTCCACAGGTGAGAAATAGTGGGTGTTGCTCCACAGGTGAGATATAGGGGGTGTTGCTCCACAGGTGAGAAATAGGGGGTGTTGCTCCACAGGTGAGAAATAGGGGTGTTGCTCCACAGGTGAGAAATAGGGGGTGTTGCTCCACAGGTGAGATATAGGGGGTGTTGCTCCACAGGTGAGAAATAGGCGGTGTTGCTCCACAGGTGAGAAATAGGGGTGTTGCTCCACAGGTGAGAAATAGTGGGTGTTGCTCCACAGGTGAGATATAGGGGGTGTTGCTCCACAGGTGAGAAATAGGGGGTGTTGCTCCACGGGTGAGAAGAGGTTTAGGGGGTATTCTTCAGCAGGTGAGAGAGGTTTCGGGGGTATTCTTCAACAGGTGAGAAGAGGTTTTGGGGGTATTCTTCAGCAGGTGAGAAGAGATTTGGGGGATGTTAGGAGGTATTCTTCAGCAGGTGAGAACACATTTGGGGGGTATTCTTCAGCAGGTGAGAAGAGGTTTGGGGGATGTTGTGAGGTATTCTCCAACAGGTGAGAAGAGGTTTCGGGGGTATTCTTCAACAGGTGAAAAGGGGTTTAAATGTAACATGGTTGTGTTTTAAAATAAAGTTTTTTGAGCCAAACTCAGTGATTTATTAGCAGTTGTGTGATATTGCTAGCATATTGCTTACTGCAGAGTAAGACAACGCTAACTGGGTTGTAACATTTGTGTCTTCCCACAGGTATCCCCCTTCCAGCCTCCAGCATCCGAATCATGGCAACCTCAGTCCCAGGCTCCGGTGCAGGGCCAGTACCAACCTCCTCAACATCAAGTATCACAGCCATATCCAGGTATGGAGCTGTCACTGTTGACGGACCCGTGAAGATTCCGGGTTAGAATAGGTCTTCAGCAACCCATGCTTGCCGTTAAAGGTGACTTTGCTTGTCGTAAAAGGCGACTAACGGGATTGGGTGGTCAGGCTCGCTGACTTGGTTGATGCATGTCATCGATTCCAATTGCATGGATCGATGCTCAGACTCGATTACTTACAGACCGCCATCATATAGCTGGAATATTGCTGAGTGCGGCGTTAAACAACAAACCAACCAACCATCCACTGTTGACGATTGGAGTTTGTGTCTTTGCAAAATGGGACTTCTTGTCGATGTGTCATTTTCAGGTTTACACTGAAACATTACAAGTCTGAATAGTGACAACAGATGTTTTGTTAGTTTGTTGTTTAATACCGCTCTCCTAAAAGGGACTAACGGGATCGGGTGGTCAGGCTCGCTGACTTGGTTGATGCATGTCATCGATCCCAATTGCGTGGATCGATGCTCATGATGTCAATCACTGGATTGTCTGGTCCAGACTCGATTTTTTACAGACCGCCGTCATATAGCTGGAATATTGCTGAGTGCGGCGTTAAACAACATACCAAACAACCAACCACCTTTGCCATAACTTGATGGTACGGATTGTTGCTCTTGATGTCATGCGACTGGTTCAGGACCAGATTTGACTATTTACAAGATTTCAGTCACTGATACACAACAGTTCAATGTCAGTAAAGTGAAGTTGCATTTTCAAAGAGATAGGTGAGTGTGAACTGTAAACAAAATGACATATTTTTTACTTCTCCTGCATTACTCCTTAATGCATTCACTGCTTACCTTACGACAACAAGAAGGACAGTGCAACAGCGATGGTCCTGGGTGAAGAAATAATGTTGTTGTTCTGAAGTCCCGCTTACTGACCACCGCTGCTGTCCTGTGACCTTGATGACACCTAAGGTCACCTTCTTCACATCACTGCTTGTCACGCTGTGGTGACCTTCAGGTTTCATCTACAATTCTAAAATTGATCTGCGATAGGTGATGTATTCTTTTCATATTACTTTCACCATGTTGAGTAGTTTTATGTGAATTAATTAGGCGTAAAAGGACTTTTACCTGCCGTGTATGCTGTTCGCAGTCATTTTGAATTGTGTTACCAGGGGTCCGGAAACTGTCATATGCGCCAGACATGTCCGATTGGGAATCTCAAATGTCCGGTTTAAATATTGCTTACCGGACATTTAAATTTTTCTGTCCGGACATTTTCAAAAGTATTGTCCAGACATTCTTAAATTTTGACCGGACATGATCAACAGTTAGGACTGAGCAGTTTCTGTCTGCAGTTGTAACACAATGAAGATTATCTACACTGACAAGCTATGTTTGTTTTGATTGCTGTAAATACAACGTACCTACATGATAGTCCAATCGGTCAATCACTGTAATAGGCAATAAACTGAGTTGACACTGATTAATTGAGGATTAATTACTGAGAACATCTTGTTAATTTGAGTGAAAGGTGTTTACAACTGTACATAAATACCTTGCATCATCGATGTACCTCATTATCCTCACAATGCTACGATACGTAACCTCAGACAAGTAGCGAAAGCGTGACGATAGACAGTCGACCGATGCAGATCAGTCGAGCGGATCTGGCAAACCCTCAAAGTCTGGACGATCATTTGTAAGTCGTGGCTATCGACTTTCACTTGGTTGACATACAATGAGGATTTGCAGATTTTATTTAATTTCAGTAGCTAGTCGTATATTGAATCTTGATTGACCGCCATTTTGCTTTCTGTGACGATCGATATCATTTTTTTATGGTCAATAATTAAGTACAGATGAAAAAAGTATTCAAATAATTATTGCTATCAACGATATTTTAGTATTTGTGATTATATTATCTGTCTTGTTTTTAAATAATCTTTAGTTTAAAAAAACACTTTTCCCGTGAGGTCACGTGATAACCAAATATGGGATAATAGCCTCGATCCAAATGTTACAACGCGTACACTTGAGCAGACTCATGAATATAACTCATGAATATTAATTAGACCATTCACTACGTTAACAGATCGTTATTATAACAGAAACAAACGTATGGTTTCCATGTATATCTAAAATGATATTATTTGTTATTAATTGTCCAGTGAATTAACAATTTAAATTGAAACAATTCATAATTCATCATATTATGAATACGTAACAACTTGTAATGTGTGTGAAAAGTCGTCCTAAAATACGTTATTTGAAGGGGGCGTGGCCTAAATGCAAATGTCCGATTGGAATTTTAAATTTTCCGGACCCCTGATTACCACGCAGCCGTTATCTTTGTAACTGTGACTGCAGAAGTGCACCATTCGCTGACATCAACAATACCGGAGGATTTTGTGAGTATCGTAACTGAGACATCCAGATCGGCTAAATCTGTGACGCCGGCACCAGCATCAGTGTCTCAAGACGCTTTGATGGGGGAAGTGCAGATGTAAGCCATGATTTGGTCAATACCAATGAGCATTGTGTCTCAGTTACCTGCGCCTACCCAAGCGCCCCCACAATAACATCAGTTACGCAATGTTACGCAGTTGACGCATGATCATCTTAGCACTGTTCCAAAATACCCAGCGCAGCAGATCATGCTCATTCGTCAACACCGTTCTCGAACACTAATTGAACAATGGTCTAAGCGCTTCTTCAATGATCCAGTCGTCACCGATGAGCATTGTGTCTCATAAACCTGGGCCGAGCGCAGCGTCTGTCTACCAGTCAAGGCCACTACAGTGACATCAGCCCTAGGGCTTACAGTGTACCTGACACATGATCAGCTTATCGCTGTTCCAGAAGTGTTTCGCCTACACCTGCGCCTAAAGCCTTCTGATAGAGGAGGCACTACACACCAAAGCAGATCGCTGTCTTAGCGAGTGCGTCAACATTGGTCTGACTCGTCAGGCTTTTTAAATGGAGATTCCTATATTTGCGTACCCTAAGACACTTGAAAGGTAGCACCATTACTACCTATTTGGTTGCACTTAACTCAGTGTTTACAGTTCCGGAAAATCACAAGATGAGTAAGGTCAGGGAACTACAGGCCCTACTACGCTCATTCAGGCTTGAGGATCAGAAGGCCAAGTTCCGCCCACCTGCTTGGGACTTGAACGTTCTACTTCGAGGTTTGCAAGGCCCTTCCCCCTTTGAGCCCCTCTCTGCAACCTCATTTTATAACCTCACCAAGAAAACAATGTTTCTCTTGACATCAGCCACAGCGGCAGGGGTGAGCGAACCAGATGTGATCGACATCACCCGGGTTCGCTTTGAGCATGGAACGCACGGAACGTTACATCTCGTGTTATCCTGGGATTTTATTGCTAAAATCTACTACCAGATTTGGAGGTCACACACAGTTTTCATTAGTCATTATCTTCGCGATGTGCCTCTTGAGGACGTGGAATGCGTGCAAAGTTTAGGCCCTCTGGATGTAGCCCAGCAGTTTACCAACCCCCAACGCAAATAATGAACTAGCTCTATGCAGAGCCAGCCGACTTCCAGTTGCTCGGTTTCTGCCAGTGGGAGAATATTAGACAATCTTGTTTGTCATCGCCGGCTCTATGATGTTGTCAGTAAAGAATTAACTAATTAGCTTTTCTTTTTCTTTTTTATTTAATGTATATTGGGAATTTCTCTTTAATTCCAATGTTCAATCGATTTGATATTTGAACAACCCTACCGTAATGGCATTTTTCTGAACTTTTCTGCTTCACGATTTATCGACCAACTGGTGTCGTATTTCCTGGTGTGAATAATTGAGGTTTCTGTATTCTGAAGGTTTAGCCGCCTCCAAACCGTCCGATACAGATGCATTAAGGAGTAATGCAGGTTAAGTAAAAAAATTAGTGAAATCTAAATATTTTTTACATTTATATACTTATCCTGCATTACAATGTTTAAGGCCCCCCTGTCGCAGACTTCCCTCCCCACTTTGGCCTCAAAAGTATGTTTTTCTAAGATCTCGGGCGACAGGCAATGATGTGGAGAAGGTGACCCTAGGTGTCATCAAGGTCACAGGACAGCGGCGGTGGTCAGTAAAAGTGGGACCTCAGAACAACAACTTTAATTATTCACCCAGGACCATCGCTGTTGCACTGTCCTTGTTGTCGTAAGCAGTGAATGCAGGAGTAATGCAGGATAAGTATACAACTGTAAGATATTGAGATTTTACAAATATCTAATATAATGTTTTTGAATTATATTCAATGTGTTCAATGAATGTCCCTGTAAATTATAGTCCACACGGCACAGAACCCCCAATACCAACAGCATCAGCAGCAGCATCAGCAACAACATCAGCCCCAACAGCAGCAGCAGCCACAGCACCACCCGCCCCAGCAAGGATCCTATCCCTCCCAGCAGACTGGCCCCCCACATGCCCAGCCTATGGTCACGCCTCTCATGCAGACAGGCCCCAGTCAGCCACAGCCATTGATGACCCAACCCTCTCATCCACAACACTCAGGGGGTAAGCTGGTTTATTCTTTACGCTGCAGATAGCAATATTCCAGCTGTATCACTGCAACCTGTAATTGATCAAATTCTAAATATTCTGAGACCGCCTCCGTGGTCTAGTGGTAGAGCGGAAGGTCCGGAGTTCGATCCCCGGCCGCATCATACCAAAAGATGTTAAAAGATGGTACTTGTTGTTACCCTGTCTGGCGCTCGGCATTAAGGGGTTAAAACAAGGACTGGTCGGCTCGGAGTCAGTATACTGTGTCTGAGTGGGGTATTCATGTTAAACTGTGGCATGGTATCTCAATGATCTAGCACTCTAAATCGACATCAGTCTGGTCTAGTACAAGCAGCCACACACACACGGACACACACACACACACGGACACACACACACATACACACACACATACACACACACACACACACACACACACACACACACACACACGGACACACACACACACACACACACACGTGCATGCACATCGCTATATAAGTGCAATAATCTTGGATGCGACGTTAAACCCCATTTCACCTCACCTCTAAATATTCTGGACCAGACAAACCAGTGATTGGATCAGGTGGTTTGGTGTGTTGGTTGATTGCATCGATGCCCATGATGTCAATCACTGGATTGTCTGGTACTGACTTAGTGTAGCAATGGGAATCAGACTATCAGACTCGTGAGATTTACCTTACAACAGACCCCGACAATGTGGAGCGTTGCTAATCATGGGTTCAAATCCCAGGTTCGCCCTTATTACAATCCTGGGTCAGTCAGCACCAAACTCATGCTTATGGGCTTCACCAGAGTGATCACCATCTAGGACCTGCATCAACTGGACTTTCCCCCACATCAAGCTGACACACCTGATGAGTGAAATACCGCTCAATTCAACCTAACTCTACCAATTATTTGTTGCAGCACCTGGCTTCCACCAGCCATACCCCCAGACGCCCCAGCCACTGTTGTCAGTTTCCAGCCCTCACCCGGCACAGCCGAGGCCCCTACTCTCACCCCAGGGACCCCCAGGTAAGACAGTTCACTTCTGCTTTGTAAAATGTAAAGACATTTGGACATTTCAAGTTCCTGACATATATTGAGGACAATTTTACAATTGCTTCCAACAACATGATGATTATGATAATCAGTTAATACTTTTTGCGAAAGTGGAATAGGTTTCTTGGATTCCAGGCCAGTCTATGGGACCACAATTTGCTGTGCAGAGTTATTCCCCTTAGGCAGGACAGAATCCTATGATCATGGGTTTGAATTTCATATTTGCCCTGTTAATATTCAAGGATTTCCTTTGATTGTGGGTTTCACCAAAGTAGTAAACATGTAACACCTGCATCACTTCAGGCTTTTCTCCTAAGATTACATATCATGCTACTGGTGACAATACTGTTCAAGCATGGGGGCACAGGTGGCCCAGTCGTCTAAGGCACCGTGATTCACTGTGCAGAGTTGCGTCCCTTGGGCATGCCAGAAACCTATGATTTTGGGTTCGAATCCCAGTTCGCCTTGATTATGTTTCTAGGTTGGTCAGCTCCATACCCGTGCTCGTGGGTTTCACTGAAGTGGTAAACGTCTGAGACCTGCATCACTTCGGGCTTTCCTCCCACATTAAGCTGACACGCTGTGATATAACTTGAATAATGTTAAAAGCGGGGTTAAACCCAACTCGCTCACTCACTCACTCACAGTTTAAGCATCTTTAGACCGCTGCCATGGTCAAGTGGTAGAGGGTCAGCCCAGAGAGCAGAATGTTTGAGGTTCAATCCCCGGCTGTGTCATCCAGAAAAGCCTGGCACTCAGCATTCAGGGGCTTAAACAAGGACTGGTCGGCTCGGAGTCAGTCTAACGTGCCTGAGTTGGCTATTCATGTTAACTGCGCAATGGTATCTCAGCCTAGTACTATAAAATCAGCATTGGTCCTGACTAGTGCAAGCACACATGCACGCACATCGCTATATAGGTGCAATAACTTTGAACGTGACATTAAACTTTATTTCACCTCACCTCACCTCACCTCACCTCACCTCACCTCACCTCACCCACAGCGCCTTTAACCAAATTCACTCACTCACTCCAGGTCAGCCGAGGTATCATCAGCCCTTGGTTCAGCAACAGCAGCCAGGTTCCATTATTCCGACCACCAGCAACCAGCAGCAACGCTTCCAGCAACCAGGCCACAACCAGCAGTTCCAACAGCAACAGCTGATGCCTCCTCCTCCCCAACAGCATCTCCAACACCAGCAGATACACAGCTTCAACCGTGCTCCAAACCAACATCAGCCAATCGTGAACCGAAATCCAAACCAGAACTTCAACAGGTCCCCCGTTCAACAAAATGTCAGACCTCAAAACTTTCAACAGCAAACAGGATTCCAACCTCGAGGCCCTCGACACCAAATGCAACCCCATGGCCTTCAAGGTCAAGGTCAAGTTCAGGGTCAGCGCCATCAGCAGTCTGGAGGTCACCTAGGGCATAACAACCAGCAAATTCAAACAAGTCAGACTGGAAATCGCCTTCAGCAACAGGGAAGAATAGGGCAGCAGGGAAGTGCAGGAAATAGGTGTGTATATGATAATGAACATTAATATAAGGGTAACGCTATTTTTCAGGGCATTATCATTTGCAGAAGCCTGAGGTCTTCCATTAACTGCCCGACGAAGGAGGGCAGTTGAAAAGACCGAGGGCTTCTGCAAATGATAATGCCCTGAAAAATAGCGTTACCGTTATTATAGCTAAAATGGATGGAATTTGTTATCAAATAAATAGAAACAACAATATCGGTTTTGAAACATTTACTGCAATCAACACGAATGTCACTGACCCACTTTTACAAATATGGAAACGTCATAGAACAAACCAGATGACGTCACTATTGAACGTTACGTCACCTATCCCTATCCTATGACGTCACCTAACAACAGGCGTGATAATGGCCCATCGTTAAGCAATATGAGGGCATAATCAAGTTACAGTGGCCCGCTCATTTCTGATAACATGCGGGCGTTTTTATGATAATTCTATCCATTTTAGCTATAAATAATAATAATTAATGCCTTACAGTCAGGCCTAATTCCATGGCTGCTGGTATGCTCATAGCCAGCCGGTGGATCAGGGTACTCTTATTCTCAGCTCCCTAGGGAGTATACAACCCAAGGTGTCTAGGAGAGCCAGGTACCCATTTGCTTTTGGGTGAACAGAGGCACATTTCAACAAAGTCACTTACTTTGTTTGTTAGTTTTTTGTTTAACACTGCACTTAGCAATATTCCAACCAAATAATGGAGGTCTGTAAATAATTGAGACTGGACCAGACAATCCAGTGATTGACATCATGAGCATTGATCCATGCAATATGGATGCCATGTCATGCATCAACCAAGTCAGCGAGCCTGACCACCCGATGATGTCAGTTGCTTCTTGCGACAAGCATAGATGCTTCTCTGGATGGGTTGCTGAAGACCTATTCTAACTGGGATCTTCATGGGTAAAGTCACAGTATGTTGATTTGAGCTTACATTTCTACTTGTGACAAAAAGCATTTTCTCAACCACAAAGAAAATGGGTAATGTACCGAATAATGCTTTCTCTACTCCGAATTAAGGACCGTCTGTCCTTCATGAATTGTCATTCTCTCGTGAAGGCTAGACATTTACAGTCTTTCATTGGGAAGAGATAATCTGTAACCTCGTAGCTTTTGGGCAGTGTTTGAATAAACTGTATTGTCAGGCTGCCATCAGGACCCACAGACTTTAGAAGCTGCAGGCCCTGACTAAACTCTTCAGGCCTTCATTTAAAAAACTGCAGTTTAACAAGACAAACAAATTGACACGTTACTGCAGGCCATGAGGATCATGCAGATTTGAAACCATGTGCGCGGCACTAGATCTACCTGCCTCAGGGGCGGTCGGATAGCCTCAGCCTAGTGGTTAAAGCGTTCGCTCGTCACGCCGAAGACCCAGGTTCGATTCCCGACATGGGTACAATGTGTGAAGCCAATTTCTGGTGTCCCCCGCCATGATATTGCTGGAATATTGCTAAAAGTGGCGTAAAACCATACACACTCACTCACTCACTCTACCTGACACAGGTCTTCGGGCAGGTGCTTATTTCAAACACTGCTCGTGGGATATTTTGTAAATCAGGAGGAAGGTAGATTTTTGGTTGCAGCTAAAGGATGAGCACAATGTTCTTCAATTCTTGTTGGTATTTCCCACAACTAAAAGGTGTGTTTATTCCAGGCTTCAGAACAAGCCCATGTTCACTCAGAACAAGATCCAGACCACCAACTCTAACCTGAAGGTGATCACCCCATTGCCACAGAAGAGAATATCCACCTCATCGGAGGAAGGCATGACTGGCCCAAAGCAGGCTAAAAGCCTTGTTGAGGTAAGGCATTCTCTTTCTGATTAAATCCTCCTTGGGGCACTTATTGCATTTTCCTTGCTCAAGAAAATCTATATGACATAGTTGTAACCATTTTCCTAAATAAAAAATGTTACCACACAAAAAACTTCGTTTTTGTATGATATACGACCACCCTTACGGGGCCTCACCCCCAACGGCGCCTCACGCCAGGGGGAGCAACTCTCACCCAAATCACTTTCCTTATGTCATCTGTAAGAGACAGACGTGTTGATTTTTCACACAAGACAAAAATAAGAGAAATCTATCGTTCGACAAGAAACATGGCTGACCAAACTGTATGTATGGTACATTTCTTTCATTGCAAAGGCGTAATACCTCGCATTGTGAAGTTATAGAGTTGTAATAATACGCCACGTGCACGGTACCTTTGAATTCAAATGGCCGTAATGGCGTCCATATTGTAGTTCCACGGGCTGATACATGTAACACCAAGGCCATTAAGAAACGGCTTGGGGTTTTGTTATATCATACAGCATTGGTCTACAATTTTTTCCTTTACAAAACCCAAGGTGGTGTGTTAATTCATAAATTACACTTACCTTTTTTACGGGTTTTTACACCTTAGCGTGTAACACGCCCCTTTGGTGTTATAATTATACTACGACATTGGCTATTAGTATCGCGTTACAAATCGCATTCTACATTACGCCTTTGCTTCTAGTTTCACAATTTATGCACGTATCTTTCCGATCTTTATATCGCACTGATACACGTTGATACCCTTCCCGCCCACCTCAGAAATTACGGTCTTGTTTACAAGACCTTCAAACTGTGTACGGGTTGTTCTAAGACAGGCACGAACGCTGCCTAATATGTCTGGCGGAGGACATTGCCTTTACCCCCCGGGGCCCCCAAAAAGAGACAAGTTGACTTGTTCCACTTTAAAGAGGTCTATTAAAGGCGGGGGTAGATATCAGATCTACTAAGACATCCCATCCCCCCCTCCCATCCCCATCTAAAAAGGGTAAAAAAGCTGCCGAGATTGTCTCCCCCGCTCCCTCTCCGGGGGACGGGGGAGAAGGCTCGAGGGTCCCCGTAGTAAGCACTGCACCCTCTCCTGCACTGTCTTTGGCAGACTTTTCTGCGTTACTTAAGTCGCAGATGGCGTCGATGATGGAGGAGGTAAAGTCTAAGCTCCGAGAGGAGATGCGGACCGAGCCTTCCCCGTTGTCGGCGCCGGACGCGGCTTCGAGACCTTGTGATATGCCCGGCGTCGGCCGAGGCAGGCCACTTGGTCTCGGGGACGATCTCAGACCGGGCTTCGGCGCCGGCTCGAGGTCGCTCCCCAGCGGAGGGGTGGCGGGCGCCGGCCCGTGCACTACCGACGCACAATTTTTCCCTAGCGGAGCCAGACGCCTCTTCCGAGGCCGAGGCTTTCACTAGTGGATTCGTAGCCTGGAGCCAGGGGGGTTCCCTTGGTCTCGGGGACGATCCGAGACCGAGCTTCGGCTCCGGCTCCGGCTCCGGCTCCGGCTCGAGGTCGCTCCCCAGCGTAGTGGTGGCTGGCACCGGCCCGTGCAATACCGACGCACAATTTTCCCTAGCGGAGCCAGACGCCTCTTCCGAGGCCGAGGCGTCCACTAGTGGATACCTAGCCCGGAGCCAGGTTGGTTCCCTTTGTCTCGGGGACGATCCGAGACCGAGCTTCGGCTCCGGCTCGAGGTCGCTCCCCAGCGTAGTGGTGGCAGCACCGGCCCGTGCACTACCGACGCACAATTTTCCCTAGCGGAGCCAGACGCCTCTTCCGAGGCCAAGGCTTTTCACTAGTGGATACCTAGCCCAGTGCCAGGTGGGTTCCCTTGAACCTCCGGCACCTCGGCACCGGGACTCGGCCTCGGGCCGGGTGCAGAGACACGTGCGGGACAGGATTGTCCATGTACTGCCTCAGGTGGCTGCGCCCATGCCAGAGTCGGAGACACCCAACTTGACTAAGGCCAAGCAGGGCCGGCGGTTGCACCCCCCCCCCTTCCCCGTGTGCGGTGCGGAGTTGAAGGCTGCTTACATATGCTTCGAGGAGCAATATCATAATGCATGCCAACAGCTCCGTGTGTCCGTACACTCCGCGTATCTGTCGGCTGTACAGAGGGAGTTAGCGGGAGAGGGGCCGGCCGACTCTTCGGAGTTGGCCGCGCAACTAACATTATCTTGCGCGGGACGCTATTCGTAGCTGTGCCTCGCAGATGATGTGCACTGTTATGTGCATGCGCAGGCGGTGGATGTCGGTATCTAAATACTCGACTTACACACGCCAAGACCTACTTGCTTTGCCGTATAAGAGGGTGCCACCCTTTTCCCTGGGGCTCAGCAGGTGGTCCGAGAGGCTGCTCAATTGTATACTTCCATCAAAGACTCATAAGGCCTTGTTGGAGGTACCAAGCGTTAAAACCGCGTAAGCGGGCCTCTCCAATTGTCCCCTCCTACGCTAACGCACGGGTCAGACGTCCACACCTGCTTGGAAGCCGCCGCTTCCTTCAGGTATAAGGGCGCCGGGAGGAGCAAGAGAGGCACGGGCCGGGGCAAGGCAGCTGGTCGAGGCCAACAGCTTTTTCGCGGGGCTGGGAACGATGGGTTCCCATTAGCGCCCGAAGAGCCCTGGGTGAACCCACAGTCGCAAGTTATCGGGAAAACTCATCCGCTCCTCCACTTTTCCGGGGTAAAGCACACTCCGGTGCCTGCTACCCGAGAGAAGGCGGAATTCCTCCGTGCCGAGGTCGACGCACTTCTTATGAAAGCTGCGATCGAACCGGGTCCCGAGGGACAGGAAAGCGAGGGCTTCTACTCGACTTGTTTCCTAGTCACCAAACAGTGATCTCAACTGTCGAGACAGGAGAAAGGCGTATTTTAAGTCTATTGACGTTAGCCAATCTCCACATACCAATACACCCCGAGTTCAAGAAATACATGAGGTTTTCTTTCGACGGGAGGTGTTATCAGTTCAGGGTTCTACCATTCAGGATCTCCACGGCCCCGAGGGTGTTCACCAAGCTGATGTTGATTCCCGCCCAAGTGGCCAGGTCAAAAGGTCGGTTCTGCCATCCGTACCTCGACGACTGGTTACTAGAGCTCTATTGCAATCCCTGAGTCAGATAGCTACACAACAAGTGATAGATATTCTGATCACTCTAGGGTGGATGGTCAATCTCAAGAAGTCAGATCTGAGCCCCACTCAGAATCTAGTCTTCCTAGTGGCTAATTTCAACACGGTGAGAGGACGTGTATCTCTGTCACAAGATATCAAGTCACACTGCTCGTACATGGCTCCAGTTACTGGACAACATGGCGGCGACAGTGGATTTGGTCTGGCGGGCGCGCTTGAGAATGAGTCCCATTCAACAAGCACTCCGTCGACTTTGGGCGAACTCAGAAGATCTCGACACTGTGCTCGAGACTCCGTAGTGGCTCATTACACACCTCCAGTGGTGGACCGAGGTCGGGAATCACTCCCGTTCCGTCTCTCACAGTTCAAACAGACGCGTCACTCTCCGGCTGGGGAGGCGTTCTGAATGATCACACTGCCTCGGGACTATGGTCCCAGCAGGAGATCAAACTGCATATAAATGTGCTAGAACTGTGAGCGGTCAGGTGGGTGTTCCAACGCTTCCCGGATCTGCTTCGTGGCCAAGTGGTTCGTCTAGAGATGGACAACCAAACGGCGATGACTTACATCCGGAAGCAGGGGGGAACGGCGTATCCGTCGCTTCGACGAAAGACGTGGCAGTTCCTACTATAGTGCGACTCTCACGATATCAGGGTGCTACCTGTTTATCTCCCGGGGGTGGACAACGTCCGTGCGGACGCTCTGTCTTGCCGGATCCTCGCTCCTCATGAGTGGAGGCTCGACCCGGGGATATTCAGGATTTTCTCCCTGTTATACAGGTCGTTACAGGTGGATCTGTTTGCGTCTGGGTTAAATAACCAGACACCAACGTTCTGCTCCCGAGTCCACAACCCGAGGTCGGTGGCACCGGACGCCTTTCAGCTAGATTGGACGGACAGTTCTGTGGGCATTCTCCCCAGTACCTCTGATTTCCAAGGTCCTGTCTCAGCTAGGCACTCAGCCTGCGCGACTAATTGTGCTCCTGGCACCCCTTTGGTCGGCGCAGAGTGGGTTTCCAGTAATACTCAGGTTTCTGGCTCAGCCTCCTGTTATATTACCTTTACGACCGGACCTCCTATCCCAGAACGGGGCCCTCCACCCGAATCTCAGGATTCAATGGGTGGCTTGGCCACTGTCAGGAATCGCCTCCAGAAGAGCGGTATTCCTGCACGAGTTGCAGACACAATACTGGCTTCGCAGAGGGATTCGACAAACGTTCAGTACGATAGATAGGCCTGCTATGCGCCCTGGTGTGTCGATAGAGGGATTGCAGATCTTTTTTCTGCAGATCTCGTATCCGTGCTTGAGTTTCTCCAGTCGCGACTAGATGACGGCCTGGCCGCATCAACAGTCCGAGGGTACTCTACAGCTATCGCAGCTTTTCACGTCCCTGTCGACGGGGCACTTCTGGGTGCACACCCATTAGTGCAGCGCTTTTTAGCAGGTGTGGACAGGATCCGACCGCCAGTCCGGCGGATCAGTCCCCCTTGGGACTTGTCAATCATTCTCGATTGGCTGTCCGGTCCTTCCTTTCGGGATCTGTCGTCTCTCTCTCTTCAGCTGTTGAGCTGGGAGACGGCGTTCCTTGTGGTGGTAACGTCCGGCAGACGGGTAGGCGACATTCGTGTTATGTCAGCCGATCCCAAATATAACTGTCTTCCATGGGGTCGATAAATATCACCGGGACAGTCAGTTTTCGTCTACCGGACTATTACCGTCCTAGGGTCGCACACGATTCCACGTGAACGGCTCCTATTGAGCTACCTGCTCTTTCACAGCCTTCCTCGTCGGGGACCACTGCAAGACATGCTCATGTCTTGGATGTCCGCACGACTCTCAAGGCCTATATCAGCAGAAATATGGGTGTCCGTAAGGATAACCAACTATTTTGCTGTTACTGCGGTAGGAAGGTTGGCTCACCTGCGAGTAAACAATCTATCTCGAGGTTGATAGTTTCAAACATTTGTACAGCGTATACGCTTACAGGCAGGGACCCCCCTACCAGGTTGAAGCCTCATTAGGTTAGAGCAGTGGCTGCGTCAAAAGCGTACGCCGCGGCTCTGCCCATTGAGCAGATCTGCTCCGCGGCTATTTCGAGCCAGCCGAGCACGATTCATCAAACCTTACCAACTCGACAAACTCTCAAGCGAGCGTACTCGGTTTGGTCAGTCAGTTCTCCGAACTGGGCAAAGTTCTAATCTCTAGCTGATTGAGCATTCGAGATTTTAGACAGTCTTCCGGTTATACTGCTCAGTAATGGTCCGGATTTTATCTTCTGCGGTCGATAAATATCAGTCCTTACTACTCGATAATACTCGTATTTTGCGCACGCACTCCTTCGATCCTCGGGGACCCTCTGGCCTAGCTCAGCGCTGGTTATGGTCTCTCGTGATCTACGCCCTTATATCACTTGTTCAAAAAAAGTGTGGGGGGGTGGGAGGTGTTTCGAGTTCTCAACTTATGACAAGCCGCAAAAACAGGCTTTATCATAATATATGGTCGACCACGCCCTGTCTCTAGCCCCCGCCTTTCGACGGTGGTGCCTCACGATAAGGTTGGTTCCATTTATTGAACTCAATATTTTATTCTGTTGAATAATCAAATACGATGTATTTATTTACGCCTGTTGCTGACGGATGCCACTTCCTAGATTATCTTTGGGAGTCTGTCTTGATGCAATAAGTGCCCCAAGGAGGATTTAATCAGAAAGAGAATTTTACAAACCTGTAGAGGTTATGAATTCTCTGATGAAATCCTCCTTGGGGCACGGCCACCCACCTCCCCACATTCCATCAGCATTTGACATATGGAAAGTGATTTGGGTGAGAGTTGCTCCCCCTGGCGTGAGGCGCCGTTGGGGGTGAGGCCCCGTAAGGGTGGTCGTATATCATACAAAAACGAAGTTTTTTGTGTGGTAACATTTTTTATTAAGGAAAATGGTTACAACTATGTCATATAGATTTTCTTGAGCAAGGAAAATGCAATAAGTGCCCCAAGGAGGATTTCATCAGAGAATTCATAACCTCTACAGGTTTGTAAAAATGCTTTGTTTAGAAAGGGGCACAGGTGGCCCAGTCGTCTTGGACGCAGCGATTCGCTGTGCAGAGTTGCGTCCCTTGGGCACGCAAGAAACTTGTGATTGTGGGTTCGATTCCCGGTTCGCCCTGATTATGTTTCTAGGTTTGATTGCACCATACCTGTGCTCGTGGGTTTCACCAAAGTGGTAAACATCTGAGACCTGCATCACTTCGGGCTTTCCTCCCACATTAAGCTGACACGCTGCGATATAACTGGCAGTGTTAAACCCAACTCACTCACTTTGTTTAAAAAATTGTTACATGTTCAGCACGAAACCTTTTTGCGCACGGTATTATACTATAAGACTGACAAAACCTACTTCATCAACTCTGTGGACATGGTAAGGTATTGAAATAATGTTTGGAAGAAGATAAAAGAAATCTGAATATTTATTTCCCACTTAACAAAGATTTTTTTACCTAAAACCTTGAAACCAAGCAGTACAGAAATCCAGCCTTAGCCAGAATTATGTGGTGTGCAGTTGTCAGGAAGATCATTGCTTGTGCTGGAGTGGTTAATTTAGCGCGCACACTTGAGGACATTCCCCATTAACCAGTGTATTATGTCCCCATTATATTGGGACACGAACTCTGGACCCATTTGCAAACATAGCTTCCGCAATTAGGGAGCCATTTTGCTTCCTTAGCATTGATGTTACTTTATGAATCTGAACCAGAATAGAACAGTGAGGATCTGGGTTAGAATAGGTCTTCAGCAACCCATGCTTGCCGTAAAAGAGACGACTAAAGGGATTTGGTGGTCAGGCTTGCTGACTTGTTTGATGCATGTCATCGTATCCCAATTTGTGTGGATCGATGCTCATGATGTCAATCACTGGATTGTCTGGTCCAGACTCGATCATTTACAGTCTGTCATCACATAGCTGGAATATTGCTGAGTGCAGCTTTAAACAAACAAACAAAGGACACTGTGATGTAACTGAAATACTGTTCAAAGGGGCATGAAACCCAACTCACTCACTACTAGAATAGGAGCAGTCGAGTAGCCTTGTAAATGCCTTTGGCTTGTCACACCAAGACTCTTGTTGGATTCCTCACATGGGTACAATGTGTGAAACCTATTCTTGGTGTCCCCAGCAGAGATATAGCTGGAATATTGCTAAATAGGGCATTAGACACATCACATTCTCTCATTCATTTACAGGAAGAGCCAATGGATGATGAAACTCGGGAGTTGAAGAAGAAGTTGGAGGTACAGAAGCGGATGCGAGAAGAGATTATCAAGAAGAAGGAAATGAAGCGTCGGCTAGAGGCAGTCCGACGGCGGAAGGAACTTGAGAAGAAGCTGGCCCAGAAAGGTAACTTCCAAGAATCACTGAGAGGTGTCAATATCCTGCATTGTAGACAAGTTGAGATCCTGGGTGAGAATAGGTCCCCAGAACCCAGTGTTGTGGACCAGTGGAGATTGCGGGTTAGAGAAGGTCCCAAGCACTGGCATCGTACGTCACGTACTTGGTTGAAATCTTGGTAAGCCCCCAGTCTCCTATGTTGTGATAAATCTACAGCAGTTCTGGGTCAAAATAGGCATCTTGTCACTTAGGTTGTTGTGGACCTACAGCAGTCCCAGGTCAAAATAGGCATCTTGTCACTTAGGTCGTTGTGGACCTACAGAAGTCCCTGGTCACAATAGGTCTCCAGTCTTCCATGTTATAAACTTAAAGTGTTTTCTTGGTCCCCAGTACCTCATGTCTCCCATGTTGTCGTAAGGCTGATGATGATCAGGTCGTCACTATGTGTGATTTATCCATGTGTGTGGCCATTGATGATTGCTGATGCCACCATTACTTCACAGGCCACCAGGATATGGATGGAATAATGGGGACTGCAGCATCAAACAATATTAACTTCCTTCTCATTTTGTGGTGGAATGCGTACCTATGTTCTATGTTCTATGTTCTGTCATCACCCTTGAATACATGTTGTGACACATATCAAGTTTTAGTCAGGAAGGAGTCCTGAATCGGAAGATAACTCCTATGTCTGGACTAGACGGTCCAGTGATTGATATCACAAGCATTGATCTACACAATTGGGATACGATGACATGCATGCATCAATAAAGTCGAAGAGCCTGACCACCCGATCCAGTTAATCGCCTCTTACGACAACTTTACGACAAAACCTGTTCTCTTCACGGATCTTCCCATGTACTCATGGGTGATGGAGAAGCGATTATATACAAACTAATGAAGTATTGACAATATCACTGAAGGCTTGATTTGATGTGTTCACGTAAGACCAGCATTGAGGGCAGAATTCAAAATCCTTTGTATAAGCGTGGCATTGGCACAGTTACAGTTGTAATGGGACCTAAACATCCATATGAGTACCCTGGGTCACATTTGAAAACATTAAATGGTCTGTGGGGTTTCAAGGTAGGAATATAGGTCCTCAGCAGTCTATGCTTGTGGTGAGAGGCGACTACATGGATCGGGTGGTCAGTATTGGTGAAATGGTTGATTTCATGTATCATATCCCAATTGCGTTGATCGATACTCATGGTAAAAGGCGACTATGTTTGTCGTAAGAGACGACTAACAGGATCGGGTGGTCAGGCTCGCTGACTTGGTTGATGCATGTCATCGATCCCAATAGCGTGGATCGATGCTCATGATGTCAATCACTGGATTGTCTGGTCCAGACTCCCTTATTTACAGACCACTATCATATTGCTAGAAAATGCTGTGTAGTATAGTATACGATTGCGTTTTTGCCAGCAAGATTCAACAAGATTGAACTTCACTGGTAAGGTTTTCATGCCTGAAAATAACTTTGTTTGCTCACTCCGTTTCTCTCACAGGAATGACAATTGATGACATTGCTGACCCCTCCTCTGATTCTGGGCAAGACACTGGCATACAAGAAGGTCAGCCAATACAGGCAATAGGATCTCCAGCAGTCCAGCCAAAAGCAGTACAAGGCCGACAGGCCAATCAGACCATCGGCAGAGGTCAGCCTATCCGTCGACTATCGGGGTCAGGGAACCAGCAAGGGCCGCTAATGCGTCAGATGTCAAGTGGGATGGGTGACCAGCAGTCACAGCAGATCGCGAGGCAGATGGACAACCAGGGAAGGCAGAATGTTGGTGTGAAACGTCAAATGAGTGGAGACGGACCTATTCATGCTAAAAATACCAGAATGTCTCAGCAGGGAAACCAGCAGATGAATGCTGGTAGAGGTCAACAGATGAGGGGTCAAGGTCAATCTAGAGGTCATGGTCAGATGAGAGGAGGGCAGATGAATGCTCGAGGAAGAGGCCATCATCAGGGAGGTCCGAATGGCCAAGTCAACAGTGAGGTGATGAGAAACCAGAACCAAGGATTTCATGAACCTGGGTTTCAGGGTCAAGGTCCAGCAAATAGAGGTCAAGGTCAGGCTATGGGTCGAGGGGGACCTGGAGGCCGAGGGCAGGGAATGATGCAGGGACCTGATCGTGGGGGCTATGGACATCCCAACATGGGAGGAAGGGGAGGGATGCCCATGAGAGGGAATATGCAAGGGAATAATAATATGATGGGACCTAATGGGATGCGGGGCAGAGGTCAGCCCAATATGAGAGGTCAGCCCAATTTGAGAGGTCAACCCAATATGAGAGGTCAACCCAATATGAGAGGTCAGCCCAACATGCGAGGTCAACCCAATATGAGAGGTCAGCCCAACATGCGAGGTGAACCCAACATGAGAGGTCAACCCAATATGAGAGGTCAGCCCAACATGCGAGGTCAACCCAACATGCGAGGTCAACCCAACATGAGAGGTCAACCCAACATGAGAGGTCAACCCAATATGAGAGGTCAGCCAAATATGAGAGGTCAGCCCAATATGAGAGGTCAGCCCAATATGAGAGGTCAGCCCAATGTTCGTGGACCCATGCGTGGCAGAGGCCAAATGCATGGAGGTGGACGGGGACAAATTACCCCCCCTGGAAACAAAGGTCAAGGTGAACCTGCAGGCAACAACCATACAGTGATAACTTCACCACCTCAGACAAGGTCAGTCGTGCAGGGCCAAGGTGACGGTGAAGGTCAGACAAGAAAAGTTGTTGCCCGAGGACGAGGTGCTGCAAGTATCGCAAGTCAAGGCAGAGGTCGTGGAGCAGTTGCTCAACCAGTAGGAAATCAGAATCGGGTGAGTTAGAATTGCATTGTTGATCATGATATTTGGAGCAGCACTGACTTGGTAATTGAAGAAACTGGTCTTTTGGAAATAAGAACCCAATGTGCATATAGGTTAGAAGGAGTCCCAAGCACCCTATTGATGGTTGTGGAAGGCGACTAAATTGGATGTGATTGTTAATTTGGATGTGACTGGCTTGACTGATTGCATGTCACTGTACCCTGAAGCAGGATTGATAAAGGATTCCCAGCAAGGTTCCCCTAAATATTTTAAGACTTATATTAACATTGCATTCAACTTTTTTTTATCTTTTAATTCGTGAAATACAGTCATCTCTACAAAGCCACAATGTTAGTTATAACTGTAATAGCATGAAAATTCAAATTTGGGAATTCCAAGTTTATTTTACATTTGCTGCTAACTTGGGACAGAATATCAGTATCTGAGCCGATCTAGATAAATCTCTCTGGAAGGCATGGCATAGCGATAGAAACTAACAGTTTTAGCCCACTAGTCCTTATAATGATAACATATAGCAAAACCCTAAATAATGGCAAATTTCTACTACAGTCCGTTTGACTCCAAATGAGAACGATGAATTGCAAAATAACTCGAAATCCAGAAAAGTGTATGAAACATCAATACGGTACTTGACCATGAATATCCTGTACCCAACAAAATCTGAATTTTGTTTATTTTAAGACCCATGACAGAAGAAGTTCTTTAAGAAACTATCATGTAATTTTGTATAGAAATGTGTACATGACATATAGGGGGGACAAACCGTGGAAGGCACAGCGCAAGCACGCATGCACTGCACGTTCTGTGGTAGGGGAAATGACAGAGCATTAGAGGGGCCGTCTCATGATAATTTCAGTCGCAATCTGACTTGCTCATGCCATAGATCTCGTTGTCGGAACTGCTGGTGCCTGAACCGCCTGCCACTATTATAGGTTGGACTTGCTGGCCGTTGTCCATCTCATGACCAATAACGTTGCTCTATCTCGTCAACGACTGTGGCCACACAACGCCTCCATGTTTCTACTGTTACCCGACCAAGGGATACCAAACGGACTGTAGTCCCAATGACTATAGCAGTTCGGCCAGGACTGTAGGACATTATGCACATTCTGTCAGTCACTGGTTTGCGTGAGCCAGAAATATTTTCAGGCCACTGTGATAAGTATATCTGTATCATGTCGGCAACAGCATAAAGCAGCAAACAAGCAAAATTGAAACAAGACACACGGTTTTATTAAGTTTTTTTTTATTTCTTGCAGAAAATTGTGATGAATAGTGCGCAGACCGTACGGATAACTAACTTGTCAGCATCGACATCCCAAAAGGTCCTAGATCAGCTGTGCAAAACTGTTGGCCCAGTGGAGGTGAGTCACAGGCTTATATACTGTATTGTAAAATGATTGGCATGTGTGCCACCAACTGATTGTTGAAAGGCATGGCTTAATCATTATGTGATTTGTAAGTACATTGATGCTTTTCACAACGTATGAAAACGTTACTTGACAATTAGGGGCACGGGAATCTCAGTCGCCTAAAGTACTGTGGGGGCACAGGTGGTCCAATGGTCTAAGGCGCCGCAATTTGCTGTGCAGAGTTGCATCCCTTGGGCACGCCAGAAACCTGTGATTGTGGGTTCGAATCCCAGTTCGCCATACCTGTGCTCGTAGGTTTCACCAAAGTGGTAAACGTCTAAGACCTGCATCACTTCAAGCTTTCCTCCCACAATAAACTGTTACGGCAAGTATGGGTTGCTGAAGATCTATTCTACCCTGGATCGTCACCGATACGCTGTGATGTAACACAATAGAGACATATATAATTTCCTGTTTTTCTTGTAGAGCATTTCTCTGGTCAAAGCGGATAAGCAGGCCACCATCAAGTTCTGTAACTCCAATCATGCTACCACCTTCTCAAAGAGATACAACAGGTAAGACTGCCCCATTGAACCGCCTCCCAGGTCTAGTGGATAAAGCCTATCCCGGAGAGCGTAAGGTTCGGGGTTCAATCCCCTGGCCACACCATACCAAAAGACGGTAAAAGATGGAACTTGTTGTTACCCTGCCTGGTTCTCAGCCTTAAGGGGATAAAACAAGGACTGGTCAGCTTGGAGTCAGTATGCTGTGTCTAAGTGGTGTATCCATGTTAAACTGAAGCATGGTTTCTCAGTGGATTATCACAATAAAAATGTCATTCGTCCCTTGCACATGCACACAGAGACAAACGCACAAACAAAAAGCTACATAGTGCAAAAATCCTGAATGCAATGACGTTAAACACCATTTCACCTCACCACTGCACCATCCAGTTACAGTTACCTCAGCTGTAGAAATAGAAAGGGGGAAAATAACATATTAAAGGATGAGATGAGATCTTTCTCAACCTAAATAAAATAAAGTTGTCAACTCTTCAAAGTATTTTATTTCCTTCCTATAAAATCTGACACAGGTTGGTTGGTCCAAGTTGCAATTCATGGTGCAGAGTGGGATATACATCCCTGTTCACTACCCCGGGTTGTCAGCACCATACATGTGCTTGTTTTGGGAGAGATTTTGATGCGAAACAAATCTGCTCGTATTGACGAGAGGCAGCTTGTGCAGGGCAAAAAAGAAGCGAAGAGATGCCTGTCCTACAGGGCGAGTTCGTGTTTCAACTGCATGGTTTGGGAAGGATTTAATTTGCAATGTAGAACAGTCTTGCAACTGTGATATACAGTTGTACCAGTGATATAGCTTCAGCAGTACAAATAGGATATAACCCTCCCCACTCACTGGCACAACCTATTTGTTTCCAGACACATGATTGATCTGTCTCACATCAATGTGGAACTCATCAACTGAGTTGCCTCACCCGTCTTCACATGCAGTCTGGTGGAGTTGTCCCCCTTCTACACATGACCAGGCAGAGTTGTCTCCCTTCTTCACATGACCAGGCAGAGTTGTTCCCCTTCCGTCACAAGCTGCCCTGTTTCTGGAAATGAATGGACTTGTATACTGCTGCCTGACACAGTAGGTACAGTACGGTTTTGGGACAAGATAGATTCAAGTCTATTCTCTTTTCAGATTTACTGCTGTTATTTTTGTATGGCATGTGCCTGGTTTTGTAAAGGTGTTTTGATACTATTTGTCATGATGTCGATAATCATTGTGATGGGAGATACATTCACATCTTGTGAGTGTTTGTTGGATGGCAGTGTGAGGACTGTGTACATGGTAGTGCTGCTGCCTCTCCTGGAACGTCAAGTAGTTGTCACGTATTGTGGAAAAGGGTAAAGACAAAGTGGAACAACACAAGGATTATCAAAGAAAGAAGAAAGGACAAGCGTCTGAAGCCCCTCAGTTCCTGGGATAGTACTTGTTTGTGATTGGCCAGATAGCAAATTGTAACATTGCATCCTTGGATAGTACTTGTTTGTGATTGGCCAGATAGCAAATTGTAACATTGCATCCTGGGATAGTACTTGTTTGTGATTGGCCAGATAGCAAATTGTAACATTGCATTCTGGAATAGTACTTGTTTGTGATTGGCCAGATAGCAAATTGTAACATTGCATCCTGGGATAGTACTTGTTTGTGATTGGCCGGATAGCAAATTGTAACATTGCATCCTTGGATAGTACTTGTTTGTGAATGGCCAGATAGCAAATTGTAACATTGCATCCTTGGATAGTACTTGTTTGTGATTGGCCAGATAGCAAATTGTAACATTGCATCCTAGGATGACTTCGATTTGTGATTGGTCAGTCAGCTATTTGTTCTGTTTCTGAGATAGCATTGACTGATTGGTCAGTTTGGCTGATGAGGGCGTGTAGAGGAAGGTATCGGATGTGACAAGATACCCAGGATACTGTTCCAGATGAAGATGTCCTGATGTTCTGTCGGACATTATTTGTGACTATGAACCAGAGACATGTTTTGTGAAGGATACAAGAATTTCCTCTGCAGCACTGGTAACTAGTGGGCTGCTGGTCAAGATCTGTGACATTTGATATCATATGAGAGTTGGTAACTGATATAATCGAAAAAACATACTAACATCAGAACCGATTTCCTATTTTTCTTTATTGTTTTTAGTAGGTGTAAATAACTTATAATGAAGGCAAGATTCTAAACCAGGATGAAACTTGTGTGTGTATATGAAGATAGGGAGAAGCCAATTTGGGTCAACCTCAATTTTAGTTTCCCACTTTGTTTTATTGAGGACTTTGTTGATCTGATTGTATGTCATTTCAGCTGTGTGTCCTGGATGGAGATTTTAATGATCACAGGAGATTTAGTTTTCCGTATTTTATTCTCCTTAACAAGTGCTATGAACAGTTAATCAAAGAAACAGTAACTTTAGATATTAGTGTCTGGTTATTCAGAGTCGACATGATCAAATACTTGTAAGATGTTACAAGACTCTTCTGTTATTTACAGGGTTGATACTGTTATTATTATGATAATAACAATAATAATGATAATGATGATCAGATAACTTAGGAATAATCAAAGGTTTAGTTGGGTGGTTTCTGGCATGCCATCTGAAGAGTAAAGTGAATCGTCTCAGGCAAATGAGCCCAGCCCCCCTTCAAGACTGCATGGAAAAAGATCTTTAATGTGTGATGTTGCAACAATGTAGCCAAGAAAGCAAGTCCTGATGTCCCACAATTCAATGCTGTTGTCCCTCTGTCAACTTATGTCACCATGGGATCAAGTTGCAGTGTACCGCTTTCTGTTAAGGATACCCCATCGTTTTATTACACCCCTCTATCCAGTTATGAGACCCCACTGTCAAGTTCTGAAGCCCAATTGTTAACATATGAAGCGCCATTTGTCAAGTTAGGAAGTCACTATATCCATTAGAGATGATCCCCTATCAAGTTATGATACCCAACTGTCAATTTGTTACGTCCCACTATTAAGTTGCGATGCCCCACTATCAGGTCACAAAGCCCCACTATCAGGTTACGATGCCCCACAGTCAGGTTACGATGCCCCACTATCAGGTTACGATACACATTATTAGGTTACGATGCACCTTATTAAGTTACGATGCCCCACTTTCAGGTCACGAAGCCCCACTATCAGGTTACGATGCCCCACTATCAGGTTACGATGCCCCACTATCAGGTTACGATGCCCCATTATTAGGTTACGATGCCCCACTATAAAGTTACGATCCCCAACTATCAGGCTAGATGCCCCACTTTTAGGTTATGATACACCTGATCAGGTTACGATACACCTTATCAGGTTATAATGCCCCACTATGAAGTTATAATGCCAAACAATCAGGTTACGATGCCCCACTATCAAGTTATGAAGCCCCACAATCAGGTTATAATGCCCCACTATAAAGTTACGATGCCCAACTGTCAGGTTTTGATGCCCCTCTATCAGGTTACGATGCCACACTATCAGGTTACAATGCCCCACTATTTGGCTATGATGCCCAAGTATTATGTTACGATGCCTACTATCAGGTTACGATGCCTCAGACTTAGGTTACGATGCCCCCTATCAGGTTATGATGTCCCACTTCAATGTAATGGCGCCCCACTATCAAGTTATGACACCGTCTTTCAAGTTATTACCCCCTATAACAGATACAGTTAACCACCAAAGTCATAAGTAGCTGCAACCACTGTAACCTAGGGCTTTCCTCCCGTGTTGAACATGGAGGTCATGACAAGGGTTTGTTCAATATTAACATCACCTACTTCAGCTGGGTTTGCTATATCATATGGTAAACAATCTTATGTTTATGTGTTCTGTGACAGTGTATGTGAAGAAATACTCTTAGAGTCATGTAAGGATGACCTAATGTTATAAACATTTTTGTAATATCTGACGAAACTTATAAAATATCAAGGTATGCTAGGAATATTTAATCTTAAAATATGTTGTTGAAATGACATGTTTTAATGTTGATATCGTAACAAATACAAGTCAAGGCAATATAAATAAATTCCTAAGCCATTTGCATGTATGAAAATAATTTCTCATACTAGATCCAGTTGGTTGACAGCTGTTGTTCATTCTGCTGGATCTGTATGACACCAAAGGAGAAGATGGCATGTCAGAATTCTAAAGCTTTAGAAGACTAGGCAATGAAGGGTACCGGGGTATGCCGACGTACTTCTAGTCAGGATGGTTATAGAAGTGCCAGCAGGCATAGCAATGAATGGGCTTTTTCCGCATTCAAATTAACAATCGTCTAACAATATTTCCAAATAGAATTAGGACGGTAACATTAAATGCTATTGTTAGGAAACAAAAATGACCTCAGATGCTAATGCTGTAAATTTAAATACATGTCGGGTGACCGTATAATTACTCATGGAGGATGTTGGGTTCTGATTGGTCGACAAGTTTCATCGAGTGTTGTTATGCTGTTGTGTATTGAGATCATTCATATTTAGTCTGTGATGATACAGCAGTATTTCTTGAACTTCAAACCCCAGACTTTGGATACCATAGACTTTGAATCCTGTAGACATTGAATCCCATGGACATTGAATCCCCCAGACATTGAATCCCACATGGAACTTAAAGAGATCATGCTCCCATTACGCTGAGAGTGCTGAGAGTTTAATTTTGTTCAACCTGGATGGTGTACATTATTGGTAAACTAACAAATCTGATGTATATTGTTAAATATGCTGTAAAATAAAAAGAATTGTGCTTAAGAATTGGTTTTCTGATTGATCAGTGTTGTGAGTGGTAAGAAACACTGAGAATGACTTTTGTAGATTTTGTCAAGGATTGGGATGACTTTGGTGAATAAGGTACACTTTCAAGAAAGCAAATTTTTTTGTGAAATGAGCATTGACTATTTACTAAATGTGATCAGAAATTTTCAGTAATGCAGGTGGTTATTTTTTTTGTAATGTTGCGGAGAAAAAAGACTATTCCATATTTTTGTAATAGCCCCAAACCCTTCTATGGAAACGAGGTATTATGTTGAAATCTCTAAACTATCAAAGTGTCAGACCTGCAAGAAGGTTGTTTGTGTTAATTTTATATTTTTATTGGTCCAAGTTGATTTTGTTTGTGTGTTTTATATACCGGTGGCATTATTGCTGAATGTGGCATTGAAAAGTTGACAAAGTTTTTTTTATCAAAACCACGTACAAGTTAAATTTGTTGTCAGAAATTGAGAGGTAGAGAAAAGATGTAGCTAATTCCAAATCTTTCAATAATATACTACTCAGAAGAAGTTAAGGATCACTGATTCTTTCATATTTATATAATTAATCTGTCATGCCAGGACAGAATAATCATAGGAAAGAATTGGGTGTTCTTTAACTTCTTTTGAGTGGTATAGTTAGTAGGCAATGATACACAGCTGCATTTTCTGTTAAAAGATCTGATATGCACAACAGAAAATGAGCTTAGGTTGGGGTATTTATGAAGATTACTTATGGTTTGGTCTAGAAATTGGTCAGGAGGTCCTCAATACAGCGAAAATAGTACAGTAAACTACGGTTATAATGAACTCAAAGGGACACTAATATTACTTCGTTATAACAGTAGTTTGTTATAAGCATACGTACAGCACATATACTGCAAATGGCCGGGACCAAAACATAAGTTTCTTGTAATGTATGTGGTAAAGAATTTCAAATTTAGTAATTTCCACTTAAATACCTTAACACTATGAACTTGGGTTTGGCGCCATGGGTTATGGGCTGGAATCAGCTTCTAGCATTGGATGTCAAGTTTGGTGTGTTTCCTATAACACATAAGATTTATGTGGATATCTTAACAGCTCTAGTTTTGAGATAGGACTTTGGAACTTTCACCAGTATGGATAACAACTTCTTTAATACTGTAAAGGCGATGTTTCGGTATAGATCCCTATACCGTTGTCAAGCAAGACTGAATTCTGTACAATGTTCCTTATTCAGTCCTTTACAGTATTTAAGAAGTTATCCATAAATTGTGTCTACTTTGTCATCCGTCAACTTGTAAGTAAAGCCTATCAAACAATTTTTCACCAGTTTCTAATGCTGTATGTCGAGTTTGTTTTTGTGTTTCCTGTATTCAGATTATTTCTTCCAGTGATTTGTGCCTCATTCCATGTAGCTGAAAGTCATCCCTCTCCTCTGAAGGTTTCTCAAGTGAGATCTGACGTTTAACTTTACAGAGTACTGGCATATTGGTCATCTTGTCATCAGAAGTTGTGTCCGTCTGTCTGTGATGCATGTTTTAGCCCATCAGGAGGTTTGGTTCACAGCAGTGTTGGCAATCGGTAATACTTTCTAGGTTTTAAAAATCAATCGATGATCTATTACCGTATTCGACGTAATAAGCGCCCCGCTCTAATAAGCACCCACAGCGACATTTGCTAACATATTGGCAAGTGAACAATCCCAATTAGCCCCCCTTCCGAATTATCAATGTACACAAGACTTATTTATTCGTGTACAATACGCACTCGTGTGTTATATTCACCCTTAGTTATGGGCAATTAAATTCTGGAAAAATGTATCTGTCGTATAAAAACAATTCAGACTGTCAGCACAAACCACGAAATTTATCTTTCAACTCTAATTTAATATTCTAATAAGAGCCCCCTATTTCTAATTTTGAGAGCGCCCTGGGCGCTTATTACGTCGAATACGGTAATGATCAATAAATTGAATAGAACTATCATGTTTTCTGAGTATCCTTCATGAAAATAACAGTGAACAAAATTGAAAACTCATTGAGGATCCGATATTTTACTATCGAGTGTCGTACCCTTAAGTCCAGAGTTCTTGCACTTTGCAAACTTACATCGGAATAATTGTTGATTTCATGTCACTAACATGTGTCCCCTGTCCATCTATTCCGGCAATTCCTGGTGCTATGTGTACATATATCTTGTGCCTAGGTCTGATACTGAAACCTGATCGGTTACAAACTACACATTTTGATATAGGGATGTCCTTTCGTTTGTTGCCCTGTTGCTATAAAGTAACAGGGTGTTGCCTCATCCTACAAAAGTGGGGACCCCCAGGAAGTAATTTTAAGGGTTCTTTCTGGCTATATGAGGACCCAGTAAAGTAATGACATGGTGTAGTGTACTGTACGTTTAGATAATTACTTAGAGCCTGGAATGAATCAATGATCATGTGGACAGTGGTCATGATTGATGGATGAAATAACAGACACCCATTACTGATCTTGATGAGCTGTAGGTACAATGAGTATTATTGTATGTTCCTCGTTTTTCTGTGCCCGTTCTCTATATTTGTGCATCGCGTAAAACCCAGAAGTAATGCTGCTATCACCTTGTGCATTTGTTGACCCCCTACGGTTTGTTCAAAAACTTGACTCTGCAATAAAGTTTGTTCAAAAACTTGACTCATCAATGCAATAAATAGTTAAATAAGTCTCCAATCACTGAATATATGTGTATACCTACGGTTTGTTCAAAAACTTGACCCTTCAATACAATAAAAAGCAAAATAAGTCTCCATTAACTGAATATATATGTATACCTACGGTTTGTTCAAAAACTTGACTCATCAATACAATAAAAAGCAAAATAAGTCTCCATTAACTGAATATATATGTATACCTACGGTTTGTTCAAAAACTTGACCCTTCAATACAATAAAAAGCAAAATAAGTCTCCATTAACTGAATATATATGTATACCTACGGTTTGTTCAAAAACTTGACTCATCAATGCAATAAATAGTTAAATAAGTCTCCAATCACTGAATATATGTGTATACCGAGGGTTTGTTAAAAAACTTGACCCTTCAATACGATAAAAAGCAAAATAAGTCTCCATTAACTGAATATATATGTATACCTACGGTTTGTTCAAAAATTGACTCATCAATACAATAAAAAGCAAAATAAGTCTCCATTAACTGAATATATATGTATACCTACGGTTTGTTCAAAAACTTGACCCTTCAATGCAATAAAAAGCAAAATAAGTCTCCATTAACTGAATATTTATGTATACCTACGGTATGTTCAAAAACTTGACCCTTCAATACAATAAATCGTGAAATAAGTCTCCATTCACTGAATATTTATGTATACCTACGGTTTGTTCAAAAACTTAACCCTTCAATACAATAAATAGCATAATAAGTCTCGATTCACAGAAGATGTGTATATACCCAAGGTTTGTTCAAAAACTTGACCCTTCAATACGATAAAAAGCAAAATAAGTCTCCATTCACTGAACACTGTATACCTACGGTTTGTTAAAAAACTTGACCCTTCAATACAATAAATAGTGAAATAAGTCTCCATTCACTGAATATATATGTATACCTTCGGTTTGTTCAAAAACTTAACCCTTCAATACAATAAATAGCAAAATAAGTCTCCATTCACTGAATATATGTATATACCGGTATAGACATTATTAAATACTGCTAGAAACAAATATAACACTCAGCATAAAATATCTCGATAACTGTTGTCTTTTCTTAACTTGCACTAGATCCACATGTGCACATGGAATGACTGATGTAGGGTATTACTGTCCGCCCTTTCAGTAGTTGTGCAGTGGTGTCAAAGCCCTGACGTGAAACTGATCTTAACAGCCATTTGATAACCTTAATTGTGGTATTGGGGACAATCACGTAACCCTTTGAATGCAAGTTTGGCAGGAGTCCCCTGGTCTTGATAAAGATCCACCCCGAAAGTCCCGAGAGACAAATAGTTAAACTGCAGTTAAATAACTGTTTAAATTCACTGATAGGTGTGGAAAAGCCACTTGTTCCTGTTGTCTAAACTTAGGTTAAAAACAGAAAGTGCAATCCACAATTTACGCCTATAAAAGTTTGGACGAGTGGCCTTTACCACCTTCTTAAGAGTGGAGAAATCGTAATAAACATACAACTCTGGAAAGCAACTTCTGGTGTTTTGCATATGGTGACATTTTGATGTAGATTCTTACACCGTTATCCAGTTTCATAACAGTGTAAGACTTTACACCAAAATGTCACGACATGTGTATGCAATAAACCAGAAGTTGTTATCAATAATGTTGTATGTTCTTTATTGACTCACCGACTTCTACAGGGTTAGAAATTAACACTAGCCTGCTAGCTGGGGGCTAGTACAAATTCCTGTGGGCTATAACACATTTCCTAATTTCCCGTTTGTGTTAACATAACAAGGGCATTGTATCCTTACTCGGGCTAATAAAGCTTTAATGTTTAGTTCTAACCATGTTCTAAAATGCTAATCAAACAGTTGGAGAAAGTGTTTTTTTGTTTTTATCTTCAATTACTTTTTGTTTTATTGGATTAAATCAAATAGATCCTCAGTAATCGCACTGGGATCCCACTTATCTCTGCGAGAGTCGCACGACTGGACTCGCAAGTAGAAAGATGTATGTATGTCACAAATAAATATTGATAAGGTAATGACATGATATGTATTCATGCTTTTGTGGTTTCTCTCACAGTTCCAAAAACATAAATTGCTCAAAACAAGTTAAAGAACATCCACAATTGGAAAGCTGTGTCTTTCAATACCGACCAGCCAAGACAGATTAACCATCATTTGAAAATATCGAGTGTTCTTTAACTTCTTAGTAATAAATATTTAATATAACAATCACCCCTGTTCAATTCTGATCTGGCTGCCAACACTCCTCCCAATCACAGCTCACGAACTTCGTCTTCAGGGTTCCATTGTTTGTCTTTGGTGGTGGCATCAAATGCCAGTTATGGCGATTTTCTCAAAAGTGAAATTTGTTTTAGGCCAAACTTCTTCTTTTTTTAGGTTACAGGTTATTTAAAAGAAAATCCTTTTGTACCAGGTTTGTTGAATTTTCCCCAGGGATAATTATAATGTAACAGTTGCACCATCCCAAACTAATGATCGAAGAAAAAGTATTGCACTTTGATGTCAGTGACAAAAGAAAAAGGATTCTATTATATGTTGAGAAATATGTGTATACCCTCTCATACTAATTGCAGGTGTTTCATATACACACTCAGATCTTATTTGAAATATCCACCAGGGATTAAAGTAGTAGTGTGACAATATGCCAGTACTCTAGTCAAGAACTTGTTTCCAGTGCATGTGTCAAAGTGCTTTAAAAGCATTGTGAAAGTTTTCCAGTCATCCAAATCCTTTGTAGATGACTTTAAGTTCAGTCCTTGACCCAAAATTGACGCTCATGTATGTGGATCAACTACCATTGTGTTGCTTCACCCTCTGTGCAGATATGTACTATTTTCCTGAAGAATGCCATATAGCTGCTGTTAACCTGAGGGAATCAAATGGTGCTATTTTCTTGAAGAATGCTTGAAATGTGATATTGCCCTGATGAAAGGTGAAAATTCCACAAGATATCCATATGATCCCACTCCAGGGAATTATCTTGCAGAAATTGAGATGTGATGTAAGAAAATGTTGTCATCATAGACCTAGTTGTAAACAGATAGTGGTCCTTTTTGACCCATTCGGTGAGTATTCATTTTTATATTTTATATATTTTTACAATTGTTATACTATTTGTTTTGTGCATCTGTTGATGTTAATCAAGTATTTTGTATTCTCCTGTATGACAGGTATATTGTTAGATTGTGATTGAACATTGTTCATGGTGCAAATCTGCTTACATTTCTTTTGCTAAAGATATGAAAATGAAGGCACAACAGGAACAGAATAATCGAAGAATTACCTATTTGGGATCCGGTTTGAAAAGGATGTTAAGATGTTGTACTCTTGCATCATCATGTAAACATTATTTGTTTTGGAATATCCTGTACATTGTTTTCACTGGTTGTCATTGTTTTCATGTCTTGGTAAGTTGTTATATTTGTTTGTCTAGCAAAAAGTTCTTGTTTCATAACAATTTTTGCAGCAAAAAATTACATGCACCATTACAGATCTGCTACTTGTTGTTATTAAATACCATTTCTGAAGTTAGGTCAGTAAGATTTGTAAAACTAGATTAGATTATTTGACTGCTGCTTGTTTCGACCCAAAAAATTTATATGTTTTTTTTTTTGTATGGTGAATGATTTCAACACTGTCAGGCACATATATTTTTGGACTTATTATTTAAATGTATTTGACTAGAAATTTGCTAGATGTACATTGTTCCATGGTTTCCTTCTTGTTTGAAGTCACTGTTTATCTTTCCAATGTACAGGTGAGAGTTTCTCTCAATAGTAAACCATGTCTGATAATAGAAATTACAGATTCTGTCCAAGGTTTTTTGCAATGTTAGGATGTCGGAAGCCCAGTGGTTAAAGCACTGGCCCTTTAGACCAGGTCCGATTTCCCCTATGGATATGCAGTGTTTGAAAATTATGCATTGAAGTCAAGCTGTTCATGCCCCGTACAACGAAGGGGTCTTAGCGCTAAGATGATCATAACTCTCATACTTTAACATGGACTTACGATAGTCGTAGCACTAAGATCACTTTGTGGATCTGTGGAAAGGGGTGTGTTTTGGGTTTTGAAAATTATGCATTGAAGTCAAGCTGTTCATGCCCCGTACAACGAAGGGGTCTTAGCGCTAAGATGATCATAACTCTCATACTCTAACATAGACTTACGATATTCGTAGCACTAAGATCGCTTTGTGGATCTGTGGAAAGGGGTGTGTTTTGGGTGGGTGAGGCAGAGGCCTCATTGATGTGAAAGAGCAATCTGAAAACTTATTGACCAAATGTTTATTTGGATCTTGGAATTAGGGCATAAACAAATGCCTCGTTATGAGGAGATAGTAGAAACTTATTTCACCTAACCTAGATTAGAATCCTGATTTGTATGTCAGACAAGGTTTGCTGTGCTGGCTGGAGTGTGCCCTTTGTTCCCTCTTAATCAGACTCGGTGTATCAGACATTCAGTGTTGTACAGTAAGCCAGAGCACATCTCATCCTTCAGACACCTAGGCTTCCCAAGCAACTCTGCTATACAGCGGCGGTCGGGTAGCCTAGTGGTTAAAGCGTTCGCTTGTCCCGCCGAAGACCCGGGTTCGATTCCCAACATGGATACAATGTGTGAAGCCCATTTCCGGTGTCCCCCGCCGTGATGTTGTTGGAATATTGCTAAAAGCGGCTTAAAACTATACTCACTCGCTCACTACTCTGCTATACCCAAGACCTGTACAAATGAGGAAGGACTAGTGACATTTCCTTGTGGACTTTAGCCATTAGGCAGATGGCCACTCTGTAGCAGACCAATTTTGCAGAATAGTGAAAGTATACATTTATTTCTAACCCTGACATGCTGTGATAAAACTGGAATACTGTTAAAAGCGGCGTTAAACACAACTCACTCACTCACTAATATTCATGTTTATTTATTAACTCAAACACGAGCAAAATATGTTGCAAATTCACAAACAGTTGAATCAGATATTGGAGAGTTGGTGCCAAACATGATATGGATTTTTGTAAAATTCTCTTCAGGTAGTGAATGTACACTAGTAGTGTAATGATCCGACAATACAGTATGGTATCCAGATACCAGGCCAAGGATACAATCGATCATTTTACAAACCCTGTATCGCGGTACATGTGATACTTGCCGTAAAAGGTGACTATGCTTGTCGTAAAAGGCTGGATCGGGTGGTCAGGCTCGCTGACTTGGTTGATGCATGTCATCGATCCCAATTGCGTGGATCGATGCTCATGATATCAATCACTGGATTGTCTGGTCCAGACTCGATTATTTACAGACCGCCGTCATATAGCTGGAATATTGCTGAGTGCGGCGTTAAACAACAAACCTACCAACCAACATGCGATACATTACATAACATTACAAGTTATATTTAAGTTAAGACACATGAATAATAACAGAAATGTTCAACAACCAGCTTACACAGATTCTCTAGTATTTCCCCTTTGGCTGCACCTGGTATGACCTTCTCAGTGCCCTCTAGCCTGTATATTTTTGCCCTGAAATTTTGAAACATATGATTCAGGGTTGTGATTTACCTGCAAAATGATAGAATATCAACTTATGAAATAAAAGTGCTGTATTGGGATATGAATCGTATTGCATCCATAGTATGGGGATATGTATTGTATCACGACCGCATCATATCATTACTCCTCCAATGCACAGTAGAGTTACAGGTAAACACGTGGTCGGGTGGTAGAGCATATGTATCGTATCACGACCGCATCATGTCAATATTCTCTAATGCACAGTACAGTGACAGGTAACACTCTTGTTCCCATGGTGACTACCTCCTTGGTCTAGTGGTAGAGCGTCTGCCGGAGAGCGGAAGGTTGGGGTAAGATCCCCCCGGCCGCGTCATACCAAAAGATGTAAAAAAATGGTACTTGTTGTCAGCCTGCTTGCCGCTTGGCATTATGTGACTAAAACAAGGACTGGTCGGCTCTGAGTCAGTATACTGAATCTGTGGGGTATCCATGTTAAACTGCGGCATGGAATCTCAGCTGGCTAACACTATGAAATCGGCATTAGTCCGGACTTGTACAAGCAGCCACCCACATGTGCATGCATATCGCCATGTAAGTGCAACGTTCTTGAATGCGACGTTAAACCCCATTTCACCTCACCGCCTTACATGGTTGTTGTGAACAGTGTCTCAGGCTACTGGCACTAGTTACATGTTTAATATTCTGTATTTTCAATGAGCTTTAAGAGATATCAGTAGGGTTATGAATGTTCTCATATCCAATACATTGCGAAAATTGGACCATACCGCTCTATTCAATGGGATCGCGAAGCATGTTTGGCCTTTTCTTCTGTGTAGAACAGTGGCGGTTAAACTTAAGTGTTGAATGGGTATGATGCTTGAATCTTTATTCCCTGTCTGGTTCGGATAGAGCAAAGTGCACATTTCACACAATGTATAACTTGATCTCATGAAATTTTATTTCAGCATTAACCATTTTTGTCTGATCTTAAAAGACAGTGGTAGTACTTGTACTATTTGTCTCCCTTTGTCTGTTGCTCTTGGGGCCTCACTCGCCCTCTTCTTTGTCTGTGATGTCACGTGATGATGGTAGAAGAAGTTGTCTTCAGATGTTGTCGCTCGTGCCCTGTATCTCCCTTAGTGCCCTGTTTCTTGCCACAATCCTATAGTCATGGCTTTGATATCCCACTTTGACATGATAGTGTTTCTAGGTTTGTCAGCACTATATCCATGCTTGTGGGTTTTACCCACACTCGTAGTGCTAAGAAGGTCGATACTCCCACACTTTGACATAGACTTATGTCAGTCGTAGCGCCAAGATGATCGATACTCTTCCATACTTTGACATAGGCTTATGACAGTCGTAGCGCTAAGATGATCAATACTCCCACACTTTGGCATAGGCTACGATCTCTTCTTGGAATAGGGCTCTGACCCAACAGCTCAGAGCAGTATTAAACAGCTAAAGCATTAAAACAATTCTCCTATTTTGGGGGAAATAAGTTTGAGTTACGGTAAGTATTTTGCTTCATTTTCAGGCCAGACAAGTTTCATTATTTGTTTCCTGTGGTTTTATCCCCAGAATACTGAATTGCAGGGTTGTGCAACATTGTTTCATGAGGAGCTGGTAATCTATGGTAGCTCGAAGGTTATTCTATATATTACCCATTTAATGGTCAGATTTGACATACTTCACTTTTCTTGCACCAAAATGGCTGTTTTTGTCAGTTTGAATTTTGGTCTATAGTTCCTTGCTGGTTCCTAGCTGCCCTTAAACTCGATTGACTTAATTATGTTGTTGAAATCATTCACAGCAGTAACCATATCAGCAGACATACTAAACAAAGCTACGATTGTTGCAGTACTAAGATCCGTTTGTAAAATTGGGACATCCAAGGACCACCGATTATTTTTTGTCTTTGGAACGCTTGTAATACAATTGTAGGTTATCCTCAACAGTGACACAAGTGGACAAACTGTCTCTGGCCCCACACTTTACTGCGCAGAATTATTTCGAATCGTGCCAGAATTCAAAGATCATGGGTTCGAATCCGATATTGGCCCTGATTCTTGGTTTGTCTGCACCATGCTGTGCTCGTATGTTTGACCAAAGTGGTAAACATCTCAGGTCTGCATCATTTCCGACTAATTTTCAAAGCAGCATAAACCTTTTCTCAATAATTGTGGTACATGGGTTATAAGAATGTTTTGTGGCGTTTTGCTCTTGAGAAGGGTGACCCTCACAGACAAAGGATCCTAATCTTACTAAAACAGTTGTAATGTTAGAGAGTTCCATCTTTGTTCACTTCAGTTGCACAGATTTCTTCACCTTGGTGAATGATGTGTGTGTGGTCATGTGTTTCAACATCTGCCTGAGGCAAGTGAGTTAACTGACTATAAAAGTCCAGTTTCCCCCCTTGCAGAACTAGGCTGGTATTACAGAGTTACATTTTGGCTGTACTAATAAGTCTATGCATAGTCCAATCCGGTTTGATGTGCACCGCCAACTTGTTGTCAACAGATATTTTTCAAATCTTTTCATGTTTTTAATCAAGGTGCTCATGTGATTTGATGCACTTTATGATGTAAGACCTATTTATCCCAATATACATCTTGATCATCAATCAGTTCGTTGTGACTGGGCACCGCCATTTTGTTTGAAACAAATGCAAATGAAACGAGAGGTGGAATCTGATTGGTCCATTGGAGGGGTTTAAAAGGGACATAACTTGTAATAGCCACTGGTGACGCTATGATGGAGCCCAGGAATTCCAGCTTAGTTCGGCAAGGGTGGAAACTTGACTTTTAAAGTCAGTTAACTCTCTTGCCTCTTGTTTCAGTAAATGGGGAGAGTTTAAGGCCAGCTTTCCATTGACATGTTTGAAACTGTGCAGCTGGTTGTATTCCATTTACCCACACTTCATGCACCCTTCCACACACAACTTGTACAACGACGCATTGCATGCACCCTTCCACACACAACTTGTACAACGCCACACTACATGCACCCTTCCACACACAACTTGTACAACGCCACACTGCATGCACCCTTCCACACACAACTTGTACAACGCCACACTACATGCACCCTTCCACACACAACTTGTACAACGCCACACTACATGCACCCTTCCACACACAACTTATACAACACCACACTACATGCACCCTTCCACACACAACTTGTACAACGCCACACTGCATGCACCCTTCCACACACAACTTGTACAACGCCACACTACATGCACCCTTCCACACACAACTTATACAACGCCACACTACATGCACCCTTCAACACACAACTTGTACAACACCACACTGCACGCACACTTCCACACACAACTTGTACAACGCCACACTACATGCACACTTCCGCACACAACTTGTACAACGCCACACTACATGCACCCTTCAACACACAACTTGTACAACACCACACTGCACGCACACTTCCACACACAACTTGTACAACGCCACACTACATGCACCCTTCCACACACAACTTGTACAACACCACACTGCACGCACACTTCCACACACAACTTGTATAACGCCACACTGCATGCACCCTTCCACACACAACTTGTACAACGCCACACTGCACACACCCTTCCACACACAACTTGACCAATATAGTCTATAGTTTTGATTTATAATAGATAGAAAAATGCTGATTCAACGTTACATATGAAACTTTGTCGGCTGCAATTATGTTAGGAGGTTCCAATAAACAGAGACATCTGATTTGCTTAGTTTGTGGAAAAACCCTCCTGGTATTTTCAATTCTGTTTTTGGTAACTCAAATCAAAACAATAAATTAGCACAACTTCTCAGCCAATGAATATGGCAGAAGATCTTTGCATAATGTAACTTATGCAACTAGCTGATTCAAACCTGTCAATGGAAAGCCACCCTCCAACTCTTCGAAGCATGTTAACCAATAATTGTTGCCCAATGAATGTTTTTAAGAGGACTACGCTCATCATCTGGTGCCTATTTTCATTCCATGTCAGGACATAATGAATGCTTTGTGTGCAACTGAGACATGTCTGTATTTGTATCATTATACATGTATCATTTTTAGATATACATTCAAAAATTGAGTCAGCAGACAAAATGTCGTTTGAACCTTTTGAAACTCGGACTGCCAAATTGCCCAGCCTAGTCCTCTATTAGGATTAATGACTTTCCAAACATACAATAGTCTCTGGTAATGTATGTGCCTGTTTTCACGCCTTGTGTTGAGCCTTTATGAAAGACTAACATTTTGTTTCAGTGTAGTAGTATGTGTTTTTCTGAAAGAGTATTATGTGGTTTATATTTCTAATATGAAGGTTGTTTTAGATTCTTTCAGCTTCCATGGCATCCTTCCTAGAAGAAATTTGATTGGCTGATTTTGCTGAGTGATTTAATGATCTGATCAGAAAATCCATTGTCATCTGATTGAAGCAGTTGTGTGCAGCTCTTAAGAACATATTGGCATCCCCATTCTTGAATGCAAAGAATGTTTTTTTCTGTTTTGATACCTGTCATTTTGTTGATCTTGTGTTTATACAAGATGGTGCTCTGTGATACATTTTATGAAGATTGTTAAAAATATTTTTCATTGAAAATATTGTTTGTCTTCTTTTTAAGATGCATTCTGTTATTGATCAGACCAAGGGAGTTCACTCTCATTTAAGTTTGGAAGCATAAGGTGGGCTGTAAATGGGTCAGTTGTTACCTGTGGGTTAAATGGGTCACAAATTACCCAAATAAGGGTATGTTTACAGAGAAAGAGCAGTGGCTTGGCTTAGTGGTTCAGGCTTTGCTGCATGACCAGTGGACGTGGGTTCAAGTCATCATATATGGTTTGATTGTTTTGTTGTTTAACGCATCACTCAGCTATATGATGGTGGTCTGTAAATAAGTCTGAACCAGACAATCCAGTGATTGACTCCATGAGCATCAATCTACAAAATTGGGATACGATGACATGCATCAACCAAGTCTGAGTGCCAGAACACCCGATCCTGTTAGTCGCCTCTTACGACAACCATAGAGTAGCCTGTTACGACAAGCATGGGTTGCCGAAGACCTATGCTCTACCTGGATCTTCACGGGTCTCCCCACACATGAAGCCCATTCTTGACATCTCACAATGGAACTTGGCAGGATATTGCAAATAGTGGTCTAAAACAAAAGTTATGCTGTAAACACATGCACCATTTTACTTCCTGAAATATACCTACACATACATACATGTCTGTGTCATGTGAACACATTTGTAAGTAATATTAATCCAGGAGTACTTTATACACTTAGTTTCGTGGGTGAAGCAAGAGTATATCTACATGTATGCAGATTTCCCCAACTGAGTAAATGTAAACTGGTCATGCGAATGCTAAGCAGAATTACACTGTCCATTGAATATTTTCTTTCCGGTGTAATTTCATCCTATCTGTTGTTAGTAACAGTTTGTCAAGACATGATGTAACTTTCAACACCGACAGTTCATCTCATGCTTTTGACAAGGCAGCTGATTTCATGGAGCACTGGGCATGGTTGCGAATATGGTGACAAAATCTAAAGGCAAAGGGGGACAAGCTAAAAGATCCAAAATATTCACACCTTTTGTTAAAACATGAGTAATCTTTATTATTCTTATACAACCTTTCAAGGCTATTTCTAGCCCCTTCACGAGATGCTTTGTTTTGTTAGTTATACCAATATGAACACATAGCAATTTAAAAATTTAGTCAGGTGCACAATGACTCATGGTAATGAAATTGGTACATGTGTTTTGGTTATATCACACGAAGAATGCCTGTACGTTGATCATCTAATACGTCTTAATGTCAAATAAACAATATGAAAGCAACACATTAACCGGGCATCATAACAGGAGAGGTCCACTGGTCCACAGTCCAATGCACTGGAATTGTAAGTACAGAATTTCGTCCCTTTTGCATCACAGACACCAATGATCGTGGCTTCAAATCTCTGTTCAACCTAAGTTTTATTCCAGGTTTGTAAGCACCACACCCATGAAGGCTCATGGGTTTCACCAAAGTGGTAGAATAGGTCTTCAGCAACCAATGCTTGCCGTAAATGGCGACTATGCTTGAGGCTTGATGCTAAGAGGCGACTAACGGGACTTGGTTGATGCACATCATCGTATCGCCATTGCTTAGATCGATGCTCATGTCAATCACTGGATTTTCTGGTCCAGACTGCCATCATATGGCTAGAATATTGCTGAGTGTGGCGTTAAACAACAAACAAACCAAAGTGGTAAACGTCGGAGACCTACATCACTTAAAGCTTTCCTCCACATAAAGCTGACAGGCCCTGATATAAGCGGAAATATGTACTGTTCAAATCAAGAATAGCCAAGAGTAGTTCACCAGATAGGAGAATATGGAATTTGCAGCCAAAACCACATGATCAGTTCATCGTTTCCTCAGGATGCAGATTGATAGCAAGACGTGTTTGATGAACAACACTGAGTGAGTGAGGTGTCATGTGACTTTCAGCAATACTCCAGAAACCAGAAAGATTTCATACATTGTGCCTGTGTTTCAATTGCAAACCAAGGTCTAGAGTGTGGCCTTTGTTGTTTGAGGCCACACTCGGCAATATTCCACCAAAATGATGATGATCTAAAAATACTTGAGTCTGGACCAGACAATTCAGTGATTGACATCCCGAGCATTGGGATACGATCGCATGCATCAACCAAGTCAGCATGGATGACCACTCGATCCCATTAGTCACCTCCAGCGAGAAGAATCGGTTGCTGAAGGCCAATTATAACCCCGATCTTCACAGGTACAGCATGGGGTACTGGGAGACTTTCAGCCTTAAATTCCCGGGACATTGTCACCTTCGGACGCTGAGAAACACAAACGCAACAAACATTATGCAGTCAAATTTGTCCTTTATTACATTAACTACATGTATAGGTTGATGTAAACAACTAAACTATCATTTATATACAAAGTAATGATATGTTGCCAATAAGGTTTGATCATGTATCAATGATAACTTATCATTTAATATCCAATTAACTTATGTATTACATTGTGGCTTTACACAGTTAGTTTTGAGAAAAGTGTTATTGTTTAAGATACGTTGTGTTAATATATCAATGATGAAGAGAATGTGCAAAAAGTATATACACCAATGAGAACTTTTAATGACCCAGAACATGATCTGAAGTCGCATTGAGAAAGCATTATGAACACGTCATGTGACACTTCTCAGCTAATCGGAACACGGGATGTCTTGGTTGACAAAGATGCATACATATGGGCCTATATTTGACGAATGGAAGTGGGTTGTTTGAGTCGGGGTTCACAACCACAAGTGATTATTAACAGTCATTATCTTGTCTTTGGTTTGAATACAAATTGAGCCACAGAAGAAACACTCAGTACCTTTTGCACATTATCATTAAGCTGACAATAGTCAGGAGATGACATCCCACCAGTCTGGTGCAGTTGGAGTTTGGCTACTTTTATCCCACTTTTGGTTCATTGCCATTGGAAACCTTCAGTTCAGTGAAGAAGTGAAGAAAAACATAATGCTGTTCAGTATTTTTCAAAATCAAAACCCAGTTCACGGTTGACTGATTAGTGCAGCATGTTTCATTCAGAAATATTCAACGGTTTCGACACAGAAGAAACAATCCGTACCTCTTGTACTTTTGAGAAAACTAAGCTGATAATATTCATGCCAACGTAGTGTCAATGGTCACCAACCCCAAACAATAGAATTTATGAATTTAGATGATTTATGATCAATCATCGAGATGAGCAGGTGAATTGTTCTAAAAGCCACTTTGAACTGTTTTTCAGTCACGACAGTTTCATGTGGGAGGAAAGCCCAAAGTGATTCTGGTCACAAACATTTACTGTGGTGAAACCCACAAGCACAGCTATGTGCTGACACACCTAGAATTAATCAGGTCCAATCTCATTCAAATCAGATAGAGGTATTGTGTTTAGCAGGAGCCATCTTCCCGAGGCAAGCGTGCCATATAGCCTATATCAAGGCCTACTTTCTACCCTTGCCACATCAATGCAACTTTTCTTGGCTCGACCCCTTGTAATGAAACGCGATATCCAATCAGATTGCTGTTCATATCTCGTATAGCTTTACAAAGATGGCGACTACCATAGGCGATGACCTAGTCTATCATATAACGAAAACATTCGCAATTTCACCCCCTACACAAAACCATAGGCAATAGTTGGTGGGTTTAAAATATGAAAAGGACAAACAAAGACTGGCAGAGGTAAATCACTTTCATAGGAAGGTGTACCAGTCGTGGATGTTGTTTTTGTGAAACGTTCTCTGATTGGACTATTGATACGTACGATAGTCCAATCATATATAACACAGGAAAGAAGGCTTGGTGTGGCAAGGGTGGAAACAAGACATTCATAATAAACTGTCTAGTGGACGCTCTTGCCTCGGGAAGATGGGTGGGAGCAAGACAGTTTTAAGGAGAGTGCAATCAGGGCAAATCTGGGATGTGAACCCACTATCTGAGATTTCTGGCATGCAATTCTGCACAGGGAATACTTGTGTCTTAGATGACTGGGCCACCAGCCCCCCAAAATTCTTCAAGGGGTCAGGAAAGATCAACCATGATGCTCAAACAAATATGAACTGAGAGACAAGCTAATATTCAGATGAGTGACTGAGAGCACAGTTTGACAGCTGTAAACTAATTGTCAAATACATTAATTAATCTGAGTGCGTGTGCTGCTCTATATATCCATTCATGGAGAAACAAGATCGGCTAAAACATTTGGGAAAAACAAATTCATTGACAAACATTGTTTGGGAAACCCATGTCCAATACAACACAATTGTGTAAAGTTGGCATGTACTAATCACTGGCAAGGTACATGTATTGTCTCACAAATGCTTTGATAAGCTATTCAAATAACAAATGTCCAACATACAATTTTTTTCACATTAATCTAGTTACCCGGTTTCACATATGTTACGCAGAATACTTTGGACCACAGAAAGGAGCCCAGTGCTCATCTGTTATTGATTGACATCTAGAATATTGACTGTACATAAAACAATATGTGTCCTCGCTTGAAAGTGCATGTATACTTTGGAAAGAACAGTCCTCTGTGGTGTTTCAGGAGACAGTTTAATCAGTTGGCTGTTCAACAGTTTGTAGATACTTGGCTAGTGTAGGATGTCCTCCCCTCTGAGCTACACATTCAATGTCCTCATTACTGTCTGTTAGAAGTGTGAGGTCAGCTTTGTGCTGCACAAGGAGGTCCACCACATCTTTATGTCCATGGAATACAGCTTTCATCACAGGTGTGCATCCATGCATCCCTCTACTGTTCATGTTAGAAGGAGACAGAAGATGTTGTACTATAGCTGTGTTTCCCCCCTCACAGGCAAGATGAAGTAAACTATCACCAAATGTAGCCGTCAGTGTGAGGTCAGCTTGGTTTGACACAAGGAGGTCAAACACACTTTGATGCCCATGGACAGCTGCAACCATCGCTGGTGTCCATCCATGTCTGCCTCTGCTGTTGATGTTAGAAGGAGACAGGAGATGTTGTACAAAAGCGGTGTTCCCACCCTGACAGGCAAGATGAAGTAAACTATCACCAGATGTAGACACCAGTGTGAGGTCAGCTTGGTTTGCCACAAGGAGGTCAAACACACTTTGATGCCCACTGACAGCTGCAAACATCGCTGGTGTCCATCCATGTCTGCCTCTACTGTTGATGTTAGACGGAGGCAGGACATGTTGAACTATAGCTGTGTTCCCACCCTGACAGGCAAGATGAAGTAAACTATCACCAAATGTATCCACCAGTGTGAGGTCAGCTTGGTTTGCCACAAGGAGGTCAAACACACTTTGATGTCCACTGACAGCTGCCCTCATAGCTGGTGTCCATCTGTGTCTGCCTCTACTGTTGATGTTAGAAGGAGACAGGACATGTTGTACTATTGCTGTGTTTCCACCCTGACAGGCAAGATGAAGTAAACTATCCCCAAATGTATCCACCAGTGTGAGGTCAGCTTGGTTTGCCACAAGGAGGTCAAACACACTTTGATGCCCACTGACAGCTGCCCTCATCAATGGAGTCCATCCAAGCTCCCCTCTGTTGTTGATGTTAGAAGGAGACAGGACATGTTGTACTATAGCTGTGTTTCCACCCTGACAGGCAAGATGAAGTAAACTATCACCGGATGTATCCACCGGTGTGAGGTCAGCTTGGTTTGACACAAGGAGGTCAAACACACTTTCATGTCCATGCATAGCTGCCTTCATTGCTGGTGTCAATCCATGTCTGCCTCTACTGTTGATGTTAGAAGGAGACAGGAGATGTTGTACTATAGCTGTGTTTCCACCCTGACAGGCAAGATGAAGTAAACTATCACCAGATGTATCAACCAGTGTGAGGTCAGCTTGGTTTGCCACAAGGAGGCCAAACACATTTTGATGTCCACTGACAGCTGCAAACATCGCTGGTGTCCATCCATGTCTGCCTCTACTGTTGATGTTAGAAGGAGACAGGAGATGTTGTACTATAGCTGTGTTCCCACCCTGACAGGCAAGATGAAGTAAACTATCACCAAATGTATCCACCAGTGTCAGGTCAGCTTGGTTTGACACAAGGAGGTCAAACACACTTTGGTGTGCACAGACAGCTGCAAACATCGCTGGTGTCCATCCATGTCTGCCTATACTGTTGATGTTAGGAGACAGGAGATGTTGTACTATAGCTGTGTTCCCACCCTGACAGGCAAGATGAAGTAAACTATCACCAAATGTATCCACCAGTGTGAGGTCAGCTTGGTTTGCCACAAGGAGGTCAAACACACTTTGATTCCCATAGACAGCTGCCTTCATCAACGGAGTCCTTCGAAGCTCCCCTCTGTTGTTGATGTTAGAAGGAGACAGGACATGTTGTACTATAGCTGTGTTCCCACCCTGACAGGCAAGAAGAAGTAAACTATCACCGGATGTATCCACCAGTGTGAGGTCAGCTTGGTTTGACACAAGGAGGTCAAACACACTTTCATGTCCACAGACAGCTGCCTTCATTGCTGGTGTCAATCCATGTCTGCCTATACTGTTGATGTTAGAAGGAGACAGGAGATGTTGTACTATAGCTGTGTTCCCACCCTGACAGGCAAGATGAAGTAAACTATCATCAGATGTATCAACCAGTGTGAGGTCAGCTTGGTTTGCCTCAAGGAGGTCAAACACACTTTGATGTCCCTTGAAAGCTGCAACCATTGCTGGTGTGAATCCATGACTCCCTCTACTGTTGATGTTAGAAGGTGACAGGAGATGTTGTACTATAGCTGTGTTCCCACCCTGACAGGCAAGGTGAATAATTTCATTTCTATACTTGTCTATCACATCCATTTGTGATACTTTGCTCAGTAACTGTAAACATTCCTCTGATCCTGTGTGTGCTGCAACCATGACAGGGGTTCTGCCATTCACATCAATAGAGTTTATAACATTATTCCCAGGTTTCAAGTTTAACAAGACTTTGAGGGATTTTTCCATTCCTGACTTGCAGACCAGGTGAAAGACATTTTGCATGTACTTGTCACTTGTGTTAATATCAGCGCCTTCCTGCAGTAGACATACAAGTGTGTCCGAGCTGCCATATTCAGCTGCTACCAGCAAAAGTCTGTTCAGTGTCAATAGATAGTCAGGTCTTTCACTCCTCGTGAACAACCATTTCAATACTGTCACATTGTTGCTTTGTGCACATCCTTCCATTGCCTCACTGATCTCTCCTTGAGTGAACTCTTCTCCAGTTGTGTGTTCTATATCTGTGACTAGATGTGCATTATGTCCAAGAGCTGCCCAGTACAGAAAATATTTTCCTTTGTCTTTCCTGTGAAGCCACGGTTCCTCCATAGAATCCTGATGGAGATGTTTTGTCCCGTCACACTGAAGTTTGCTGAGCAAAATAGAAACTGTTCTGTCTTGTTTGAGAATTGGATGTGTCACTGATTTAGAAAACTGTCCTTGTTTAATTGACTGTGCAAACCTTGTGGTAATGAGGTCATCATAATTCTCTGAGACATATATCAAATGGAGATGATCGTCAACTTTCGTTTCATCAACCTTATCACCTTGTAGTCTTTCAAACAGAAAGGCATCTCTGCAGTGCTTCAAAACAAAGATTGGACTGATGTTGTACAAGGCACAGGCGCAAGCATCATAGATTGAAGAATGAGCAAAGCCAACAGTGTCTCCTCTTGTGAAGAATGTTCCTCTCAAACTTTTAGCTGCTTTGTACATGCCTGCACGTGTAGCATCAGCCATCAGCTGTAAAACAGTTTTGACCAGGCTGTCCATTTCCCTGTCCTCGCCTCCACTGTCTAACTTGGTCAGGTCCAATTTGTTTTCACACAGTAGCATCAGAGCCAAAATGGCTGATCGATCGTTTCTCTCTTCAAGTAAATGCTTTAGTTCTAACCTAAGATAAAACAGTGGTTCCTTGAAAAATAATTTTGCATTTTTGAAGAATGATGACAATTCAAAACAAAGTTTACAAATAAGAGGGAATCCAAAGATATTTGAATTGATTTCCAGCTCACTGTAATCAGGTATATGTTGCATGGAACAGTCACCAAGAGCATTCCTATGTCGTTCAAATATTGTCCTTTTCTCGGTGTCAGAAAGCCAGTATTTATCTTGCTTAGTTAAATCCATTACTGTTTGACTCTTGAACAGTTTGAAACTGTTGTACTGCAGTTTTGCAAGTCCATCATGGAAGTTGTATGACTTCGACGTGAAGATAACACGAACATCCTTTGCTTGACTTTCTCTTTGGCCCTGCACTTTCTTTCTGGATTTATCTCCGTCATCTTCTTCTGACTGCAGTTCCTCTGCTGTCTGCTTGTGTTCTAAATGGAGGAGAAGGTTGTTTAGAAAGGATTTCACCTGTGAAGTATTTGCAGATAATCCAACAGTACCAAACATGTCATCTACTATGAGAAATACTCTGGGGTGTCTACTAAGACAGAGGTCTAGGTCAAACTTCTCCAGGTTGTCCACAAACACGACCGCGTAGCCCTTGGGTCCATACTGTGAACCCAACACCAGAGCCATCGTTGTCTTGCCCTCTCCTGAAGCCCCGCAGATGGTCACATGACCAAATGTCTTCAGTTTTTGTTTCACTTCTTTGTAGGCTTCAGTTGGAATAAACATCTTCCTCGCTTCGTTTGTGCGTAAATCCAGAGTATCTGTGAACAAATGAAAAGCATTTACCACACAAGGAAACATTAGGATACAAACATAGAACAAAACAACATAGTTGGCTATTTCATAGTCGGGTGTCACGATAAATCAAAATATCGAGATATTGCTATTGGTATGCACTTTAAGTCAATAAATTGATTGTTAAATCAGTTTCCGATCAATAGTATCATGTTCAGTTAGGAAAATCTATAGTTTTGATTGTATTTACCATATCAATAAAATACATGCAATGCTGTTAAACGTTAGGGGTGAAACGATACATATCACGAGTGAAAATATCTTGACTAGATATGTCAGAGAAACTCCAAAGGGAAAAGTTTGCTGCTTGTTGCTAGTTCAATTCCTGAACTTTGAACCACGCTAATTACAACAATTACAACTCCTTTAGCAATATTTTACTACAACACGATCGGATGGGGGGGGGAGGGTCGGGAGGTGTCATTTATACTGAAATAAGTAATGTATTTTAGGGAGTGTATCATCATGTATTGATATACAGATATAAATGTTTTGTGTATCGTATCGTGAGAGAGAGAGAGAGATTGTTGTTATTCACTCATCTTACAGCCATGAACGCTCTCACCTCTCCCGAGTGTTCCTTGTCCGGCTTGTCCAGTGATGATGTTCAGAGTGTTGGCCACCTGGGAGGCCCCTGGAGGATGGTCACCTGTCAACACCAATGAGGAATCATTGGTAACCATGGCCACAAACTTTGAATCAGATGCATTTCTTGAGAGTGACGTGTACTACTTGTCAATCAGCCCTAACTTAACAAATAAACTTGTGGAGGTAGTGCAAGAGAGTCCATCATCATTATTTTTGCATTAGCCACTCAGCATTTGTCCAGCTGGTCAGCATATTGTTAGTCCTGCCATCACCAATCTCGATAACTGAAGGAACACATTTCCTGATGAGAGACATTGTAAATTTAAATCTTCCTGGGTCAATTTCATAAATGACAAACATGGTGACCTTAGGCCACACATTTATTTTTTGTTTCATGGGCCCGCTTCCCCTCCTGATCGCAGTCGGTCCATTGAGAAAATAAAATTAAATATAAAGTGAGGGAGTGAGTAAATTCTATATGTGTGGAAAAGCTGGAATAAATCTGTGAAACAAACCCCAAAAAAGTGTGGCCTTATGAAGGTCAAGGACACCAGTGACACCCACCTGAACCTAGTCTGGTGACAGGTGGCTGGCTCACTGGGTCAAGGTCATCCTCGCGCCCGGCTGAACCTGCCATTACCAGGTGACCTCCAGGTTCCTCGTCTGAACTGACCACGCTGTTGCCAGAGTCCTCCTCTGCAGCGAGATATTCCTCATCTGAACTGGCCATGTCAATGTTGCCTTCAGAATCCTTCAAAAAAGGTCACGTGACCTTCAGGTTCCTGGTCAAACTGCTCAACAGAAGTGGTCATGACCACTTAAGACAACGGTCCTTATCTGAACTGAAAATGAAACCCAAGCATATCAATGTTTTAATGACCACAACCTTGCCCTTGTTCTGACAGTAACCTTCACCTTACTACACATCTTACCAGTCTCACCGCTGTACATGTAAATATTCAAATGTTGCTGACTGACAATGAAAGTCACTGGCATCTGAGTTAAGTTTGTCTTAAGGACCACAGACTTGATGTTGTCCCGACAGTGGCCCTATGTTTATTGGACACGATCAAGTGATATCCCCTGGATTCATCTAGACTTGATTCGAGGCCCATATCACCCCCCCCCCCCCCCCCCCCCCCCCCCCCCCAAGTTTGCATAAAATGTCAGTAAAATTCTCCAAAGCGAATTATTATCAATGGTATGAGGCATTTTGCATGTGTGGTCATGCCATGGAGACAGTGTCATGGTGCCAGATAGAAGCCCCTTAGGGCGCACGCCCAATGGGGTTGAGAACCCTACCTGTTACCTAGAGGATACATAGGTCACACTGAGCCAACTAGACAAAAGGACAAATATGTCTGACCACATTCATCCAATAATTGCTAGTAAAAGAAAAAATACCAATTGTAGTAATAATGAATATTTTGGAGAATAAACCATAAAGGGGTCGATGACCATGAGCTGTTTATTTCTTATATGAGATATCAACATAATGTACATCCTCTTTAAGGATGTTCATAAAATGTACAAGCTTTATAAAACAATTCCCATATTTAAATGATGAAGACTCCCTGATCAATGTCAGAAAAGTCCATTTTATGAATATTATGTTTAAGTTTAGAATTTCCCGCATATTCTCACAATCCTCACTTGGATTATCTGTACCTATTCTCGCAATACCAATTGTCATATTTCTCCCATTTTCTTGGATGCGATCGTTCGGGCACTATGTTTGTTTGCGTTGCCAAGCTCACCAGACACTTACCTCTAAAATATAATGTCAAATTGACAACATCATCAAGTTGGAAGCATATGTTTGAAACTCCAGAAATGACGTCATGATAGAGCAATGAATTACTGTGAAATAAACCACGCTTCGCTCTTTATTGTTGTTGCGATCGTGTAGCTGTCTTATACCTAACCATAATGTAACCACCTTCCAACAAATATTACCCAAAAAACTTATTTGACCCAGACATCAGTGTAAAATAGCCACACACTGCTCTGTGACAAACTACTAGTTATAATGTTAAAGGACCGTCTCCGTGGTCTAGTGGATGAGCGCCGGAGAAGGGAAGGTCCTGGGTTCGATCCCCGGTCGTTATCCCGTCTGGCGCTCGGCATTATGTGGCTCGGAGTCACTGTATTGTGTCTGAGTGGGGTATTCATGTAAATTGAGGCATGGTATCTGTGAGCTAGCACTATAAATTGGCATCAGTTCGAACTAGTACAAGCATCCACACAAACACATGTGCATGCTTATCGCAAGTGCAATAATACCAATTCACCTCACCTATAACGTTAAAGCCACATCTTAATAAGAAGAGGTTGACCCGTGAAGATTCGGGGTAGGATAGGTCTTGTTGTAAGAGGTGACTAACGGGGTGGTCAGACTCGCTGACTTGGTTGATGCATGTCATCGATTCCAATTGCGGGGATCGATGTTCATGATGTCAATCACTGGATTGTCTGGTCCAGACTCGATTATTTACAGACCGCCATCATATAGCTGGAATATTGCCGAGTGCTGCATTTAACAACAAATAAACAAAGAAGAGGTACCATGTCCAGCACCATGGAAGAAGCAAAGACATGACAAGGTACCAACTACTTTCAGACAACATCTTGGCGTCAAACTGTTTTTTATAAATTGATTTATCAAATCTAAACAAATACCACTTAAACATGTTAAAAATACTTTGGTATTTGATCACTATTCTGAAGTGCAGAATCTGGCCAATGGTAACAACTGTAAATTAAAATTATAGAATAACTACTGACGAAATGATGAAAAAATTCTGAGTTGGAATTATCATTTCAAAATTGTAAATGTACTATATTTCAAAAACTCTCGAAATTTGTAAACCATTCACTTTACATTTGGTTAACCAGGTGTTAACATATTTTGTGAGGCAGATGTGAGATTTGATACTTTACAGCCAAAGTCAATCTTAAATTTGTTATGTTGATGAAACTGTTGTGAAACACAGATGTATATCTGGTTCTGGAATCTTGTCACAGACACTCACATTATCAGACCCAATTACATCCCCTGCAGGGATGACGTTTCTCCCTGAGGCAAGGGAGTTAACTGACTCCTCCCTTGCCGAACTAGGCTGGACTTTCCAGGCTCGATTGTAGCGCCACCAGTGGCTATTACGAGTTATGTCCCTTCTATGTTCCTCCTATTGACCAATCGGATTCCATCTCCCTTATTTGCATTTGCTTTAAACAAAATGGCGGCGCCCAGTCAAGACGATCTGCTCGGTAGTCAGGGTCTGTATTGTAAAAAAACGGGTCTTACCTCGCGAAATGCATCAAATCCCATGACTACTTCATCAAAAACAATAAAGAATTTGCATAATAATTATCTGCTTTGCAAATCCTGCAGTCGACTGAAATCTGCATTCTGAAATCCATGTTGTTGATACACCAGACTATGAATAGACTCGCCAGTTCAGCCAAATTGTAACTCAATAATTGCAGCCTAGTTCGCGGCAAAGGTGGAAAATGGACTTTTACAGTCAGTTAACTCCCTTGCCTCAGGAAGATGGCCTGGCATGGCTTGTCATGGCATTTTGTATCGGCAAACCATATCAGCCCGGGTGGTAAGAAATTGAACTTACGTCCTTCAACTGCTCGTTTACTGGTAGACAGTGACTTATTGTTGCGACAATTTTACATTGAATTCGCAGAAAGAACGTGTGCGAATTCGAAGACATGTTTTGATTTTGGAATTGAATGATAATACTAGTAAAATGCTAGATATTTTTTTATATTTGTATACTTATCCTGCATTACTCCTTAATGCATATTACTGCTTGTTCTTGACAGAGAAAAGAGCTGCGTGAGGGTCTTTGCTTGAAGAAGTTGCTCCAACCAGCCCATCACGCAGCCCCCACGTGATCAAAGGAAGTGACGTCACGGATCCACACATTACTCTGTAGTCCGAAACATCGGAAGGCATCGTGGAGAGGAAGATCTGCGATGGGGGTCCCTTTAGACACAGTTATGCAGGATAAGTATACAAATATAAAAAAAATAGCTAGGATTTTACTAGATTTTTTACTTATCCTGCATTACTCCTTAATGCATCTGGACGGAATTGGAGGTGGGCATACCTTGAGATGTGGACTTTCATCTGTTATTTGCAGGCTCTGTTCCCTTGCCAATCCTTGGCTGTATGGTCGACATTGGGTGACCACTCCATGTGTGGGAACCTCCAATTCCCTCAGCCCGTCCTCGGCTGTGTGGTCGGCATCAGGTGACCACTTCATGTATAGGAAACTCCGTTTCTGTAAGCCCGTCTTCAGCTGTGGTCGGCCTGGATGACCATTACATGGAAGGGAAGAGTCAGTTATGCGTTGTGTCCTAGTACTGCGCAGCCTGACAATAACGTTCGGTTAGGTCAAGACTGGAGCACCGAGCCATATGCAAATGTGGCATGAACCTTCTAGTCCAGGTCTTACGCCAGGGGGGTCGAATGGCCGGCTCTGGACTTGGAGGGCTGGTCAATGGCGTGTAGTAGTGGGGACCTGCTGGGCCACTAGTAACGGACCAAAGCTGTGCGTGCCTTGCACATCTTCCAATGCGACGTCTCGCAGGTAGTGACTGGCGAAGACCGTGTTGGATCGCCAGAAAATCCCTCCATGATGCCGCGTAGAGAGCAGTTGCTGTGTAGCGCCATGGTGGAGGCGACCGCCCGGATCTCATGCAGGTTGTTGGAGCGTTGGGGGTCCAATCTGCTGCCTCGTAGGCCTGGAGGATGATGGCTCGTAGCCAGAGGGCTGACTTCCGCTCGCGAGGTCGCAGATACTGGTACGAAGAGGTGTTGTCGTTGTCTACAGTTTTCCTTGTATCGTCGGATGTAGCAACGAAGTGCTCTAACCGGACATAGACGGAGCTCTAGATCATCTTCCGCGCCCACAATCGATGAAAGAGGGGGGATGAGAAACGATCTGGGAGCTGATTCTTTGCAGTGAAGTCCCAGCACAGGCCCAGATGCTAGGCTCCATGTGCTCCCTGCTCAAAGAGGACCCATGTGACAACTAGGGCGTGTAGTTCACTGACACGGGCTGCTGTGGCGAGCGCCAGTAGGAAGACCGTCTTTTCCGTCAGCTTGTAGAATGACGACGTTTCGAGTGGCTCAAAAGGAGCGTCTCTCAGCAAGGTGAGAATGACGTTCAAGCCCCAAGCTGGTGTACGACATTTCGCCCTTTGGTCTTCCAGCCTGAATGAACGGATCAGAGCCTGTAGTTCCGGGATTTACGTCATGCGCGGTCATGATGGTACTGCCCTTGAACTTACACTTGTGACGCAGATGGAGCATGAACTCGGCCAGGAATCGGAGCGATGCAGATGTGGGGTCTAGGTGCTTTCCCCTGCAAAGGTTCTCGAAGGATTGCCACTTGTCATCATAGAGGCTTCTGGTGGTTGGGCGAAGTGCCATCTTGATGGCCCTTGCTGCTCTGGATGTCACAAGTTTGCCAGCAACGACCCAGTCTCCCACGTACTGGAGTGTCGACAACTTGGACGGCTGGGGGTGGAAGTCCCAGTCGTGCTTGTCTGGCTATTCACTGGAAGTCCCTGCGGTCGGCATTACCTCCGTTGGAGTGGCCACGGCGGGACTGTTATGGGCCCAATGCCCTGCCTTTGCCTCTACCCAGAGAGGTTGATGTGGTACCGCGCCACTGGGGCTGGATGGTGTAGCGTCGCGGCTGCTATGAGCCAGACCGGGACGCCTTAGCGAAGGCTGGCTGTGACACCCTAGCCAGGGTCTTGAGAGCCGTCTCGTCTTGGGCGAAGGCTGAGACTCGAGATTGAGTCATTGATGTACAGCGACAGGCGTCTGGTAGAGTGGTTGCAGTGTTATGCATAAGCGACCATGCAAGACAGTCTGTACAAATACACTGCACGGATCCCATAAGGTCGGTTGACCTGATTACGGTCGACAATGTTTACAGTCGTTGTTCTTGACACGTGACATGTATGTCGTCCTGCGCAGTAAACTGTAGCCCCGTATGCTGAATGGACTAGTTCAAGCTCCAGACACGGCCAATCCCCTGTGAACCCTGTGGTTGACAGACCAGT